ATCGCGCCGCCTCCTGCCCGGCCACCCCCACCTGCCCGCCCGCCGCCTCCCAGGAAGTAGCAAACGGGAGGCGCACCGCACCAGCGCCTCATTGCATCAATGCCCAGCCGAGTGCCCCCAGCCGCTACCCACCCGCCCACAGACCCCGCCCCTTGTTTGCTGAAGACTGCCATTTTGTCCCCGTCCTTGCCATTTGCCCAGCACTGCAGGACACACTGCCGCCCTAATCCCCCATTTCATGCACCGATCCCCCCCTTCTCTTTCTTCTTTTCAGCTGCCTCACCCCCTGCCTCCTTTTGAGGGGGAGCCTGTAACCGCTAGCGTAAGCTCAGGCGGGCGCTGGGCTGGGTGGTCGCTCACAACGAGGAGGTGTGCAGGCACTGAGGCGTGAATAGAAATCATGGAGCGAGCGGGAGGGGCGTGTGTGTGTGTGTGTGTGTGTGTGTGTGTGCGTGTGTGTGGAGACGCTTCCGAGCTTGGCGAGCCGTCAGTCAGGAGAGAAGTGTGCAATTTGGGGTGCAGGCTTGGTGGCCATATCCGCCTACCCCACCAGCGCACAAGCGCCGCAGCAACTGGGCAGCTACACGCCGCCTCCGCCGCCTCCGCCGGCCTTGCCGCGGGGCTTGGGCTGGCGCGGGGCGGCGCCGCCGGCGCGGGGGGTGCCGCCGCCGCGCCCGCCTGGCGACCCCAGCGCTGCCTCCAGCTCCGCGGCGGGAAGGTAGCGCAGGGGGCCGGGCAGGCGGGCGTTGAGGGCCTCTGCCTCCTCTGCCGTCATCTGCCGCTCCCGCTGCAGCAGGTTGTCCCGCACCTTGGCGGAGGCGACGCGCTGGCGGCGCCCCGCGGCCGCCGCCGCCCCGCCGCTCCCGCCCTCGCCGCCGGCATCCGCCGGCGGCGGCACCGGTGGCGCTCCGGGCGCCGCGGGCAGCAGCGGCGCCGCGGCCGCGGCGGCGGGCAAGGCGGCGGCGGGCAGCGACGCATCCTCCGACCCCGCACGCTGCCGTTTGGCGCTGGCCGGGTGCGCGGCCGCGGCGGCGGCGCGCTTGGGCCGTCCGAGGCCGCCGCCGCCGCCCGCAGACGGCTGCGGCGAGACGGACATGGCGGTGGCTCCCGCTGCCGCCGCCGCCGCCGCCACCGCTGCATGAGGGGCGTGTCGTGGGGAGGGGCCCCTATCGGGGCCTCCCACCGGCATGCCACGCAGCACGGCAGGCTGCGCCGCCTGCAGCGCCGCCGCCACTGCGGGATCCATGCCGGCTAGCTGCGCCTGCTGGTGCGGGGGCAGGTGCATGGCCATGCCGGGCATCGCCCCAGCCGCGCCGGGAGGCCCAAACATGGCCGCCGCCACGTCGGCAGGCACCTGCGCCGCCGTCGCGCCGCCGCCCGGCACGCTCACCAGCATGCCCGCCGCCGTGGCCGGCAGCTGCTGCCCGCCGCCGTGCATCAGCTGCTGCCGCGGCGGCGGCGCCAGCTGCAGCGGCATGGCCAGGAAGGCCGCGGCGGCGGCGCCGGGCTGCATCTGGGGGCGAGGCAGGTGCATGGGCTGCTGCGGCTGCTGCTGCATCGCCTGCTGCTGCTGCTGCTGCTGCTGCATGAAGAACTGGTGCGGGGCAAACATGTCCACAGCAAACGAGGGGGCACCGTGCGCCTGCGGCATCGGCAGCATCTGCTGCTGCAGCGTCTGCTGCTGTTGCGCCTGCAGCTGCTGCTGCTGCTGCGCCTGCTGCTGCTGCTGCATCGCAGGTACCGCCTGCGTGTGCTGCTGCATGTGCGGCGGCGCCTGCAGCTGCGCCTGCACGTGGGGCGGCGGCATGAAGTGCACGCCGCCGCCTGCGGCCGCCGTCGGCAGCCCGCCCATCGCCGCCGCGGCCAGCATTGCCTGTTGCTGCTGCTGCTGCTGGTACTGCTGGTACTGCTGGGGCGGCATGGGAGGCTGGGGCAGGGGCATGGCAAACTGAGGCAGCTGCTGCATCTGCTCAGATGGCGGCGGAGTTACGCCTGGCTGCGCCGCCGGTGCCCCTCTCAGGGCTGCCGCCTCCTGCTGCTCCCGCTGGTGCTGGGCGGCGGCAGTGGCGGCCGCCGCCTCCGCCTCCGCCCGCCGCCGCTGCTGGGTGTGGTGCAGCCAGGCCAGCGCGGCCTGCGGGTCCTGCTGCCGCAGCTGCCACCACTCCTGCTGCTGCAGCGTCACCAGCTGCTTCTTCAGCCGCTCCCGCCGCTTAGTCACATCAATCAGCATGCTGCGGGCAGGGTGGCAGTGGTGGTGGTGGTGAGGTGCGAGTGGAGGGTGTCCGGAGGAGGGCGCAACCAACCGACGCAGGCAGGGGCCGTCCTGCGCCGACCGGCCCGGCCAATCGCGCCAGGAGTTGGCAACCCTGCATGCAAGCAGCTGCCCGCCCTCGCGCCGACCAGCGCCCTGCCCCCCAACCATGTTCCAACCCCGCCGCCCGCCGCGCACCGGCAGGTCTCCAGGTTGGCGCGCAGGGTGTACATCGTGTACCGCTCCCCCTCCTGCGCAGCCAGCGCCTGCTTGGCGGCCGACATTCGCTCGGCTGCCTTGGCCTTGCCCTCCTTCTGCGGCGCGGGCAGCAGGCAGCCGCAGCAGCAGGCGGGTCGGGCAGGGAGGCGGCAGGCGAGGGACGGATGCACAGGCACCAAGCAGGCTGGGAGCGGGCAGGCAGGGGAGAGGCGGGACGGAGGTGCAGCAGGGGTTGCCATATCAGCCTGGCAGCTGCGCATGGCTGCTGCACCGTCCAGCACGCGCCATCCATCACCCATCCATCGCCCCGCAAGGCGCGTCGCGGGGCGCCAGCCGCACCTGCTGCGCTGCCGCCACCTTCTCCAGCCGCTCCGCCAGCAGCCGCTCATCCCGGTCCTTCTGCGCCTTGCTGTGCAGCGCGCAGTACACGCGGTACTGCCAGGCCGACTTGCGGGCGGGGTCGGGTCGCACGGCTGCACAGACAGGCAGGCAGGCAGGCGCAGGGGGACCGCGGAGCGGGCAGGCAAAGGGTCGCTGTCGGCACGGCAGGCACAGGCCAGCCAGGGCAAAGCCAGAGCCTGGGGGCAGCGCAGCTGGAAAGCAACGCACGCTGAGGGCATGCCCGGGCATGCGGTGCATTGTAATATGAAAAGGGAAACAAATAAAGCGCCAGCGCGCGACGCCCACCTGTGTACAGGCCGATGTTGCGGGCGCAGAGGACGTGGAAGGCGGTGGGGCAGCCGCCGGGCTGCTGGCAGGCCAGGACGGCGCCGCCGGTGAGGCCGCAGATGGCGCACCGCCCCTCCCACCTGCGGCGGTCCGGCAGCGATGGGAGGCAAGGCAGGCAGGCAGGCAAGTCTGGCTCTCATCCTCCACGGGTGGCAGGCCGGCCAGCGAGCAGGGCATGGCGTGCCGCCTGTGGCGCAGACGGTTGCTTGCTGAGTGGCACACAATGCCCCCGGGCGCCCCCCCAGCGTCCCCACACCTCACCATCACACACGCACCCCCTCCACCTGTCCCCCCCAACCCACCACCAACCACCCACCAGCCAGCAGCCAGCCAGCCGCACGCCCCGCACCTCTCCGCCTTGACCTTGTCCAGCCCGCCCACATACTCCTGGCGCCCCGCGCCCGGCACCTCCCGCAGGCCGATGAAGGTCTCGGGGATCCACAGCGCGCAGGCCTGCGGTGTGTGTGCGGTGTGCGCCGCAGGGGCGAGGCGATGGTGGGCAGGCGGGCAGGTGGCGGTGGTGTGCGGGTGCTGGCAGGCGGTGGTGCACGAGGGCAGCGCTCGCACGGCCGACGCCCAGCAGCACCAAGGCCCCAGGCAAGAGAGGTGGGGACCCTTGGGGCCAAGCACTCACAGCAGGCTGCGCGCGCGCACGCTCACCGAGTGCACCCAGCGCCGCCCATCCTCTGCCTTCTTGAAGGCGCCGTACTTGATGGGGCAGAGGGCGCAGGAGCAGCTGCGAGAGCCGCCTTCCAGCGGTGCGCGGGTGGTCTCCCAGCTGGGCGGCCGGATGGCGGCCTGCGGGCGGCGGCAGGCAAGCAGGAGAGACACCCGGCATCAGCTCCCGGGCTGGCCGAGCCCTGCGCAGATCTTCCAATGGTAGCCTCTGGTAGCTGGCATTCGGGGACAGGAAGTGGAGGGGGCACAGGCCGTGCAGATGACTCTCTGTGTAAGGCCCAGCCGCCCCACTCACCGGCGCCACGCCCTGCGCCCGCAGCCGCTCCTCGTGCTCCCTGCACGGCTCGCACAGCCAGTCTCCCTCTGGCAGCACGCCGATGCCGTAGCAGTGCTGGTGCACTGCCACGTCGCATCGCTCACAAAATACAATAGGGTTGGGGGGCTCTGCGGCACGGGAGGCGAGGAGGCACGAGGAGCGCAGCCATGTGTGTGTGTGTGTGCTCAGGCAGGAAATCGACAGGAAGCCATGGGTGGAAACTGTGCCGGGCCTGAGGGGGCCTGAGGCTGCTGCATACGCGCCCTCAGCTGCGGCGCCAGCAGCAGCAGCAGCAGCAGCAACACAGGCGCGAGGGGCCACACGGCGGCGGCACCGCCAGCGGCGCCACACCTGAGCGCCCGTCGCCACACACGGCGCAGAAGGCCTCCTGTGTGCTGTTGTCCCGGTGTGCCAGCACATCATACAGCTCCTGCATTGGGGGGAGCACAGGTAGAAGCACGGAAGATAAGAATAAGCAGTGGGCACCACAAGCGGCGGCGGGCGCTGCAGGGCGGGAGGCCAGCAGGCACGGGAGCTCCTGGGACAGCGGCAGCCGGCCCTGCTGCTGTGCTGGGGCAAGAATCACGGGCGGAAGCAGAGCGCGGCATAGGCACAGCGTGCTATCAGGCAGCGGCGAAGAAGGGTGCCGCCCCAGGCAGGAGGCGGCAGCGGCTCACATTTGGCGCCAGCGTGTACTGCAGCGCGGGCGACCCCTCGCGCCCCTCCTCCTCGCCCTCGTACTCAGCCTGGTAGCTGCCGCGCTGCCGCCCCAGCACTGCGCCAGGGAAGCCACACCGCATGTTCCTGTCTGTGCACGCGCATGCATGTGTGCATGTGTGTGTGCGTGTAGTGGTGGGGCCGTGCCCAGCACCGCTGCACCTCATCAAGCTGCCCGCCGACCCGGGCCAGCCTGCTGCGCACCCTGCCTGCCCTCCCTCCCTCTCACCAGGCCGCGGCGAGGCCATAATGGATTGCTTCTTGGCCGCCTGCGCCTCGGCGTGCGCCTGCTCACGCCGCTGCCGGTGCTGCTGCCGCTTGATCTCCCGCACTTTCTGCACGGCGGCGGGCGCGGCTGGTATTTATGGAAAGCTGCAGGCGGGCAGGCTCTGGCCTTCCAGGCAGGCTGCGGCCCGCCGGGCCAACCATCACGGGGCGGGCTGCTGTGCCAGGCAAGCCCAGAGCCAGCCAGCCAGCTGTGCCGCACCAGGATCCAAGCCTTGACCTCCTCCTCCTCAGCCACCCGCTGCGCCGCCGCCGCCCGCCGCTCCTCCGCCTCCGCCAGCACCCCAGCCAGCGCGGGCACCAGCCTCGCCCGGTTGATGGCCGCCTGCTGCATCAGCTCGCTCTGCGGAGCGGCGGGGGACACAGGCGTGGCAGGTGAGCGCATCCGCCACCTCCACAACAGCCACACGCTGCCGTAGACCGATGCAAACAGCACACTCGGCTCTTCTAGTCCCACCTCCCGCCAACCAGGCCGCCATCCCAGGTGCCCCAGGAGCACCACACGCGCACACACACTGCCACGCACACACACTGCCACACACACACACTGCCCCCACCTGCAGCGCCAGCATCTCAGCCAGCACCTCATCCTCGGGCGCCGCCGCCAGCAGGCCCGGGCAGCGCTCCACGCTGCCGCGCCACTGCTCGGCGGCGGGCGCGTCGGGCTCGCCGCCCGCAATCAGCGCCGCCACAGCCTTGGCCACCGGATGCTGCGGCCCCGTCTCGCCCTCGGGCCTGGCGGCGGCCGTGCGGACGGCCTTCTTGGGCGGGCCTGTGGCGGAGCGGTGGCTGCTCTTCTTTCCAGCCAGCAGAGCGTAGTTGCTGACGCCGCGGGCGCGGCCGCCGGGGCGCGCTGGCGCGCTGCCGCCGGCCCCGCCCGCCGCCGGCGACGCCGGCGGCCCCTCGCCGCCGCCGGCTCCCAGCCCGCCGCCGTCGCCGGGCGTGGCTGTGCCTGCTGCTGCTGGGTCGGCAGAGCCGTCCTCTAAGCTACCCAGGCCGGCCATGTCAGCTGCGCCCGCCGCCTCGCCCTCGCCAGCTGCCGCGCTCCCAGGCAGCTGCTGCTGCTGCTCCGGCAGGCTTGGGAGGTCAGCCGCAGAGGGGACCTCTGGCAGCGGCGCTACAGAGCCAGGGGTGGCGGTCAGCAGCGAGACGCCGGGGGGGGCAGCCTCGCCGGGCGCCGGCCCTGCCGCGCCGTCGGGGTCGCCGCCGTCTGCGCTCGCGCCGCCCTCGGCCGCGGCAGGCGCGGCCGCCTCCTGGCCTGCGGTTGCCTGCCTGCTGGCAGCCAGCACCTCTGGAGCCGGCACCTCCACCGCCTGCTGCATGGTGTGTGGCTGCACAGCGTGACGCAGCACGAGCTCCGTGTAGGGGTGCAGGTAAGCCGCCGTTGCCAGCCGAGCCTCCGGGAGCTCTGCTGCTGGCACGCCCTCGGCCGCCGCCGCCGTCTCCTCGCCAGGCGCCTCCTGCTCCTGCCTGCCGCCGGCTGCCGCACGGGCCGCTGCCGCTGCGTCCCTGCCAGCGGCCTCCCTGCCAGCCTGCTCCAGCGTCTGTGCCCACGGGGGCAGCACCCGCAGGCTGCACCCCAGCTCATCCGCCAGCGGCGCCAGCCGCTGCCGCAGCCACTCCTGCATGCCGGCGCGGCTGGCGGCATCCAGCTCGCCGGCGCCGCCGTTGCTGCTGGCGCCAGACTGGAGCCTGGCGAGGGACGCCTGCACCGCCGCATCGCCATCTGCCGACAGCGGCTCCAGGCCCCCCAGCTGCATCAGCTCCGCCAGCTGCAGCAGGCGGGGGGAGGGGGAGGGGCAGCTTGCTACCGTCACCACTGGTGAAACCCCATTAAGGGAAAGGCTGCGCCGTGCTTTTGGGCGCCAATGGCGGCACAGACAGGTGGGCACAGGCACACAGCCGGTCGACCCCATCGAAAGCGCCACCCCGTGCACAGCTGGCCAGCCCCCAGCCACGCCGCCCCACCTGCTGCACCAGCATCGCCAGCCGCTGCTCCGGCAGCACATCCAGCAGCTGCCCGGCGGGGGCTCCGCTGGAGGTGGTGGGAACGACCGCCATGGCGCGCGCCGCCGCGGCCGCCGCCGCCGCCTCGGCCTGCTCGGCCACCGTGGCCGCTGCCGCCGCCTGCGCCTCCAGGTGCTCCTGCCGCCGCAGCTCCTCCTCCTTGCAGTGCCGCGAAACCAGGCGGCTGCTGCGCCGCTGCGGGCAGGGCGGCGTGGCACACCACGGCAGGCAATCGGGCGAGGGTGGTGGGTGGAGGGCAGGGCAGTCGTGGGGAAGGCAAGCAAGGCAAGGTGCTTCAGGCTGGGCTGCCAGGCGGGAGAGGCAGGGCTCCGCTCCCCGGCAGCACAACCATGCTGGTGTGCAGCGCCACGGGGCAGCTTGCACACACAAGCCTCCTCCTTCCTGGCCAGCCGAGAAGACAGCCCCCCCCCACACACACACACGCGCGCACACCTCTGCGTCTGGGCTGCCGTCGAGGCCGCCCGAGGGCCGCGAGTCGACTGCTCCTGTGTCCCACTCACTGCCGCCGCGCGTGGCCGCCGCCACTGCGGCGGCCCGCGCCGCCTCTGCGGCCGCCTTGGCCTGCGCGTGCCGCCGCTGCTGCTGCTGCTCGTCCTCCAGGCGGCGCCCGCAGGGCGGCACCTTGAGCGCCGGGTCGTCCCGAGGGTCCAGCAGCATGGGCAGCAGGCCCCGCAGGTCTTCTTGGTTGAAGTCCCGGAAATAGTCCTGGCAGGGGAGGGGACAGAGGGGGAGGCGGGGGCGGGAAACGGCATGTGGGTGCTGCACGACGGACGAGGGCAGGGAGCGAGGAAGCAGCCGATGGTGCCACGGCGGGCCCCGGGCCCGCGCCGCGCGGGGGGACGGCAGCGGCTGCGGCTGCGCGGGCAGCCTGCCGGCGGGGCAGCCCCGGGCGGTACCTCGATGTACATCCAAAAGGCGGAGGGGTCGCCGCCACCCGCCCGAGCCCCCGGGAAGTGCGATTCGGACGGCGAGTGTGGCGCGCCGCTCTTGGACTTGCTCTTCTGCTTGCTCTGCGCCACCTTCTTCTTGTTCTCCTCCAGCCGCACGTGCACCACCGAAACGGCGTCCTGCATCGTGCTGGGGTAGAGGCGCGAGAGGTCCTTGGGCGGCAGCGCCTTGCCTGCCGCCACCGCCGCCGCCCGCACGTCCCGCCCCGCCGTGAGCGCCTCCTCGAAGGTGGCATCCTCTCCGACCAGCCATTGCACGGCCTCCAGGGCGCTCATGGCCGCAACAGCCGACGCAGGAGGGGTTTTTGGGCAACAAGCAGCTGGGCGCCGTCGGCGCCTAGAATTGCTGCAAATATGATCTTCAGCAAACTGCCGCCACTGAGAATTCAAGCGCGAAGGGCCGCAGGCCGCAGGAAACAGCTCCGATGGACATCACGCCCGCCACTCGCGCTGCCGCGCTCCACCGTTTCCCTAGGTTGAAAGGCATCGTTTTCGAGCATCGCAGCACGTTTTCGAGCGCCCGGCAATGAAACGCAGTACGGGCTGGAGTACCGCACTGCCCAAACAACGCCCACAGGGGCTGTGCTCATTGCCAACTGCGCCAACTTTCTTCGTAAAGCACTAGATCGCATCTTGGCCACGTTGCCTCCTTCGTGCACGCCGCCTTTCGACGACGCGTTTTCGCCTTCCTGCTCCTGCTTCCGCGTAAGCGCTGCCGCAGGTGCCAAACAGCCAGTGCAGGTCGCACATTGCAACCCCCAGCCGAAACTCACAGCAGCACCACACCCGCAGCCGTCAGGCAGCGCCAGGCGGCGAAGCGGTGGTGGCGGCCGTGCTGCGAAGCGCCCTCCCTTCCGCATCTCCCTGAGCGGGCGAGATGGGGTGCAAGCCCATCTGCAGCGTTCCAGTCAAGTTCTCCCAATACCTGTACTTCGTCGGCTTCCTGCTGACGGCCATCTCCAGCTGGCTGCTGCGGGACTATGGCGGCAGCGCGCTGGACTGGAGCCCGCTCAACGAGGCGCGTGCAACAGGGGCCCGGACGGGACCCAGCCAGCCCATCGCCGACAGCAGTCGGGTTCCGCCTGCCGCCGTGGCAACCGCCGCCCCTCCCGCGCCTCCCCCTGCCCCTTGCCGCAGTGTGTGGACCCCTCCGACCCGCAGTCCACCGCCTGCCTTGGGCAGCAGGCCGCGATGCGCATCTCCTTTGGCACCTTCCTCTTCTTTGCCCTGCACCTGGTGCTGCTGCTGGGCGTCACCGCCAGCTCCAACCCGCGCCTGGCCCTGCACACAGCCTACTGGCCCCTCAAGTGAGGCCGGCTGCGCCAGGCAGCGTGCACGCCGCCGCTCCTCGTGCCCCCTGCTGTCGCCTCGCCTGCCCCCGCTTGCCCCCCGACCGGCGGGCGGCCCCGCTGCCGCATGTTCCTGCTCTGGGGCGGCCTCATAGGCGCCTGCTTCGCCATGGACAACACCTCGGTCAACGGCTTTGGCCAGGCAGCCCGAGTCTTCTCCGGAATCTTCATCGTCCTGCAGGTGGGCCGCGCTTTGGAAAGGTGGGCCGCCGACGCGGCACGGGGCGCAGGGCCGAGCGCCAGCTGCAGGCCGTCGCCATGCTGTGCAGCGCGCGCCTGCTGCTGTCGCGTGCGGGCTCTCTCCCTTGCTCCTCACCGTGCCTGCCTGCCTGCGTGCCGCTCCCCAAATGCAGCTAGTCATCATCCTCGAGTTTGTGTATGTGGTGAACGAGTGGCTGCTGGAGCGCGAGAAGTGCGCCTTCACGCTGGTGGTGGCCACGCTCCTGATGATTGCCGGCTCCTTTGTGGGCATCGGCTTCCTGTACCATGTGCGTGCTGCCCCGCCCGGCCGCCCTCTGGGGCAAGGCGCCTTGGCGCACAGCTGCCCGCATGCAGCCCCGGCGGCAAAGCCGTGCGCGTCGCGGCCAGGACGCAGCGCCGCCTTGCTGGCGCCGCCACGGCCGCCCGCACCCGCGCCCGGTTGCTCACCCGCGCCACGCACGGGCGTGCCGCCTGCCCCGTCCTCCCTCCCTTGCCCGCAGTACTATGCGCCCTCCTCCTCCTGCAGCCTCAACATCTGGTTCATCACATCAGCCATCCTGTTCTTCCTCGTCTACGCGGGCATCTCCGTGTCCCCGCTGCGCCACGACAGCGCAGGCCTGTTCACCTCTGCCGCCGTCTACGCCTACGTCACATACTACGTCTGGTCGGCGCTCAACAGCGAGCCCGCGGACGACGCGTGCGCCGCCACCTCGGCCGGCGCCAACAAGACCATCCAGATCATCGGCTTTGTGCTGGCCATCCTGGCGGTGCGCCCCCGTGGAACCACGCTGCCGCGCTGCTGCGGCGCGCAAGCGCCGAGCGTGCGGCGTCGGCTGGCGGGGGCTGGTGCTGCGAGCCAGCTCATCCTCGCGCACCTGGCACCGGCTGTCGGTGCCTGCCGGACGGCCATTCGACCCGACAGCCTCCTCCTCCTTCTCCTACCCTCCCTCCCTGCACTGCAGCTGGGCTTCAGCACCATGAGCAGCGGCGTGAGCAGCCAGGCATTCGACCTGGCCAAGGGCACCGGCACCGACGACGAGCAGCTGCCCTACCGACCCGACTTTTGTGAGGCGCTGCCTGCTGTGCACGCTGTGCACCTGGGGCGTAGTGCAGTGCGCGCTCTCGCTTGCAAGAACACCTCGGGCGTCGGAAATGCCGTGCAGCTGCTGGGGCCGTCTGCTGGGGCTTGGGCGTGTGTGCCAGGCATCGCCCTGGCCCCGTAGTGGCATTGAGCATTCCGCTGCTGCCTTCTTGGACTGCCTGCCTGCCTGCACACAGTCCACCTGATGTTCATGCTGGCCGCCTGCTACATGCTGATGCTGTTTGTCGGGTGGGACCTCGCGGGCAGCGGCGGCGACTTCAACCTGGACCAAGGTGGGCCGCCTGCTGCCCTGCTCTCTGTGCCCGCCCGCCCGCCGCCACGCCCAGCTCGCCTGCCCAGCGCTGCACTGACACAACCACAAATGTGTTCGTTGTGTGCGCGGTTGTGTTTGGGGGCAGGCTGGGGCTCCACCTGGGTCAAGATGGCGGCCAGCTGGCTGTGCGCCGCGCTCTACACCTGGAGCCTGGTGGCGCACCGCGTGCTGAGCGGCCGCGAGTTCTAGCTGGCGCGGAGAGGGCGCTGCAGCGGCAGCGGCAGCGCCGGCGTGCTGCCCGTCCCAGCTGGGAAGCCCGGACGCCTCCCTCTGCCTGACCTGCCCATCAGAGCAATTGGTCCACTCCTCTCCTGGCCGCCGCACCCTCTGTTCTACTGCCTCCTCCTCCTCCTATGGAACACCGCATGTATCCTGAGAAGAGGCTGTACCAATGGCTGAGACGCGTCACACAGATTGATTAAATGTGGTGCTGCACGGGCGGGGTGGAGCAGTTCTGCAGTGTGTGCGGGCGCAGGAGCATGCCGCGGGGCAACAGCGAGGCGTCTGGGGCAGAAGGAGGAAAAGGCAAGCGAGCAGGGGGAGGGGAGCAAAAGCAAGAGACGGAGGGCGGTCGAGACAGGCGGCTCGTGGCTGGCCCGCACGCTAAGCGGGGCAGGCAGACGAGCCAGTGCCCATGGGATGAGCAGCAGCAGGCTGCTGCCCCCCTGGCTGTCCAGACGGTCGTCCTGCAGAGCCGCATTCGTTTGCAGTTGCGACCGCACGGCTCACGCCGGCAGCTGCAGCCGCTTGTTGGCCTTCCAGCACAGCGCATAATAGAAGAAGAAATCTGCAGGGCATCGGATAAGGCACAGCAGAGTGAGGCTGGTGAAAATCGCCACCACAGGTGATGGCAGGCCGTGGCAGACGGCGGGCCCGCCGGTGGGCGGCGGGGCTCACCCGCGTACAGCGCCGTCTGGATGACGCCGCTGATCCACACAATCCACTGGCGGTAGTGCCTCTCGGTGGCAAAGCGGTAGATCCAGTTCAGGATGTAAAAGCCGCGGTACGCGCTGCAGTACAGGCAGGCAGGCAGGCAGGCAAGACACGCGTGTCAGCAGCTAAGCAGCCCACAGACTCTGGCTTGGCCACCGGCAGCAGCCGGGCGGGAAGGCGCATGCGTGCCAGCAGCTCGCCGGGCCCCGTGCCAGCAGCCGGGCGCGGCGTGCGCGGGCGGCCCCCACGCCACGCCACCCCACGCCGCCGCGCCGCACCCCAGCAGGGCCACATAGTTGGCTGTGAGGTTGTCGATGTTCTGCGTGCGCTGCATGAGCACCAGCTGCGGCAGGATGGCCACGGCCTCGAGGTAGATGGAGAAGGTCCACAGCACCTCGGTCAGCGTGAAGCGGTGGTTCAGCACCAGGGCCAGCAGGAGGCAGGGCGCGATGAGGAAGACGTAGCGGAAGGTGTCCTGCGGGGGGCGGCGCGGGGGAGGCGGGGGGCCGCCGAGGGGCAGGGTCGGCTGACGGCAGGCCCGGCAGCGGCGGGGGCGCACGGCTGAGGCCAGCGGCAGCCGGCGGGGGTGGCTTGGCTGCTGTGTCCCCGCCAGCTGCTGCTACAGCTGTGGGCCGGCTTGGGCCCATCCTCCATCCAGCCCCAAGCGCATAGCGATGCAGCCGAGCGCTCCATGCCCGGCAGCCTGCTTGCCTGCTCGCGGTCGTACGTCTGCTTGACGACCTTATCATACCGCATGTACCGCACGATGCTAAAGGCGGTGGCCAGGAAGGTCACCTTCATGAAGGAGTTGTAGCTGCACGGAAGGGGGCAGGAGGCAGCGGGACGCCAGGCACGAGGTGAAGCAGGCGACGAGGCGGCAAGGTGGGCTGTGCCTCGGTGGAGGCATGGCCGCTCGCCCCCTTGCCGCTCGTGGGCCACTGGCCCAGGCCTCCCAGCTGGCACATTGCTTTCAATCAGCATGCTGTAGACGAATCGGCTGGCTGCCAGGTGCACACCCTGCTGCAGGTTCCTGCCGCCGCCCGCTGCCCCGCGCAGCCGACGGCCAGACCCAGGGCGGGAGCACTCACACAGAGATGAACGAGTAGAAGAGGTCCAGATAGCGGCACACAAACACCAGAGCGTAGAGCTCCTGCGTCTTGAGAGAGATGCCTGCGTGCAGGGGGGCGGCGATCCGGTGAGCGGCAGACCTCCAGTCGACCGATGGCAACAGGGACTCCTGTTCTGGGGGTCTGCCGATCCGCCTGGGCGTTCCACGGTCATCGCCCACAGCCAGCTGCTCACCTCGGCACGACCTCGTGGCCCGGATTTTCAGCAACAACACCATGATGCTGAGCAGGTGGAACATGTCGCCACAGAGGCGGAACAGGTTCATACTGGCCAAAGCTAGCGTTCGGACTGGCCGGGCCTCGGCTGTTTATGCAGGTCGTTTGCCTGCCTCGGGGGTGCCTGGAAGGCAGGGTGGCAGTGGTGGGGGCGCTGAGGCCGCTGTTTCAGTCCGTCCCGGCCGAACAGTACAACTCGACAGTACACAGAGCCGCTGGAGGCACTCTGGGCCTCCCCGGATTCGGCATGCATTGCCCAGCACACAAGGGCCGCTACAGCCACCGCTCCCACAACCAGTCACAATGGAACATGCAGGCTGTGCAACAAGCACAGGGGCCGCCCTCGCGCCTGCAGACGCCCCACAGACTGCGCAGCAGCCAGCCAGCAGCTGCTCGGAACAATGCAGCCAGCAGGGGTGTGGCGGCGGCAGTGATGCAGTGCCGCCCGAAGCGGCAGCGCCGCCAGCCGGCACGGACTGCATGAAGTGCCGCAAGCAGGATGCGCAGGTGGGTAGCGCAGCAGGAGAGCATACTTCGCTGAGCGACCCAGCACTCAGCACCGTGCCTCTGGCGCAGCTGCTGCTCGTTGGCGCCTGCGTCCCCAACACCCCAACACTGCACTCCACCGGCGCCCTCCCATCCCCTGCACCGCCCTCTCTGTCTCCCGCCCGCAGCTGGTGGCCCGGGGCCGCGAGCCGCTGTGCTACCCATGCCTGCACGACCAGCTGCTGTCCAAGGTGCGCAACGCGGTGCGCCTCCACTCCCTCATCCTGCCCGGCGACCGCCTGGCCGTCGCCATCTCCGGCGGCCACGCCTCGGCAGCGCTGCTCCACTTCCTGGCGGAGCTGCGCAACCCGCGCACCGACCGCCCCGCGCGCGGCAAGGTGGGTGGGGCGGGCCCTGGGGACGCCGGGCAGCAGACGCGTTGCGCCTCATCATTTCAGACAGCGGCTGCACCCTCTGTCCCGCCCTTGCATTGTGATTGATGGTGGTGGCAGCAGACGCACATGCTGACAGGGGTGGCAGCCGAGGCTTGAAGTCACAAGCCCGCCACCAGTCTGCCAGCGCTGCCCCGGCCGCCTCCCCACCGCCCACGCCTCACCGCCTGCCGCCCCCTACCGGCTTGCCTGCCTTGCCGGGCAGGTGTCCTTTGGCATGCGCCTCATCCACATCGACGAGTCGGCGGCGCTAGGCCTGGATGCGGGGCAGGCGGCGGCGTGGCGCGCCAGCGTGGAGGCGGCGGTACAGGGATACTGCGGGGACGGGGTATCCTACCATTGCGTCCCGCTGGAGGCCGTCTTTAATGCCGGCGGCGACGCGGTTGGCACCGGAGGGCTGGCAGGCGCGCCGGCGGCGGGCGCGGGAGTCCAACAGGTGCAGCAGGAGCAGGAGCAGCAGCAGCGGCGGCAGCGGGAGCGGCTGCAGGCGCTGCTGTCGGCTGTGGAGGACGCCACGGGGAGGGAGGACCTGGTGAGCCACCTGCGCGCCCGCCTGCTGCTGCACACCACGGCGGCGCTGGGCTGCGGCCGCCTGGCGCGCGGCGACTGCGCCACCTCGCTGGCGGCACACATTGTGGCGGCGGCGGCCAAGGGCTGCGGCTACTCGCTGCCTGGGGATGTCCGCCTGATGGATGCCAGGTGTGTGTGGGTGCGCGTGTGTGGTGGCTGAGTGGTGGCTGTGGGTGCCTAGCGGCGCGGTGCGTGGTTCCGGGGGTACCAGTGCTGCTGTAGGCTCGGCATGGCGGCGCCATGCCCGCCAGAGCCCGCGACAGGAGCGCCGCCACTGGTGCCGCAGGCACGGCGCCGTGCTGCCCGCCTGCTTCCTGCCGCTGCGGGAGGTGTCGGCTCGAGAGCTGGGCCTGGTGTGCAGCCACTGGCGCCTGCCGCTGGCAAGGCAGCCGGCGGCGGCAGCCGAGGCGGGGCTGGCTGAGGGGCGGGCGGCCAAGAAGAGCATCAACGCCCTGGCGGCTGCTTTCATAGCAGGCATGGAGGCTCACAACCCAGGTAGGCAGACCCAAGGAGAGACCACGGTAATGGTGATGCGGGGCAAGGTCAACCCTTATAAGTTGCTTTGGATGAGCTGTGCGCTGTGCATGGGGTCCCGCCTGCCTCGCAATGACTGAATGCCATGGGTGCCCTGCTCTGCTGCTGGTGGGTGCAGGCAGCGTGCCCAACATCATAAACACCATCTCCAAGCTGGAGGCCTTCCCCTGGAACGACCCGGCTGTGGCCCAGACCAGCCAGCAGGAGCGGCAGCAGCAGCAGCAGCAGCAGCAGCAGCGGCAGCGGCAATGGCAAGAGGAGCAGCACGGGCAGCAGGAGCAGCATGGGAAGCAGGAGCAGCAGGAGCAGCAGGAGCAGCAGGAGCAGCAGGAGCAGCGTGCGGTGCTGTGCCCCATCTGTTTTGCTCCGCTGGCGGATGACGAGATCCCTGGCAGCGGCTGTGGAGGCGGCGGCGGCAGCGGCAGCGAGCACACCAGCGGTGGCACCGGCACGGCAGTGGCGGCCGCGGCCGCTGGCAGCTGCCTCAGCTGCTACCGCCAAATCCTGGGCAGTGCCCCGGAGCAGGTGGCTGGCGCGCTGCCCGACGCGGTGCGGCAGCAGATGGCGGCGCTGGCGGCGGCCCCCTTGCGTGTGGCAGCGGCGGACGCATCGGACGGTGTCGAAGGGGTCGGTGTGGAGCGCTTACGTGGCGAGATAGCAGATTTTCTGTTGGAATGAGTGTAACAGGTCTGATCTCTGTTTAGCAGCCGGTTGATGGGAGTTGTGTCAAATGAGGGGCAGGTGGCGGCGGCGAACGCCCGGCGTGCCTGCTGAGACCAAGCCATCGGTCCATAGGCAGGGGCCGCCAGCGTGTCGCTTGTTGCAGCTAGGCAAATGCTGCGCACCGCCAGCAAGAATGCGGTGAGTTGGGGCGTGAGGCGTAACATGTGGTAGCAAAACTTCGCGTTCTCTACCCCCCGACAGGCCCGCGTGCTTTATTACCCTCCTGCAGGTGTTTATAGCACGTGACGGAGCTGCATGGCGTCTGCGGCTGGACAGGCGGGCGGCGGGGTTTGCCGCCGCTGCCGCCGCCGACGCGCAGCACACCGCAGCAGTCGACGCTCCTGGTGGTGCGGCCGAAGCTTTCAGCCAGCTGGCCAGCCAGCCGGGCAGCTACAGGTGCATTCGTACGCTTCTTGTGGAGTTTGAAGCCATGCGCTTATGTGCCGATACCTGCCGCGGGCATTTTCTCTGTCACGTGTGGCTCCATGCCTGGCATCCAGCCACCCCACCTCTCTTGATGCCGCTTGCAGGCCCGTCGTCAGCGGCTCAGTTCTCAAGCGCCACGGGCGAGACCTGACGCTGGAGGCTGCAGAGGGCCGGCTGGACCCGCTGATCGGGCGGCATGATGTGCTCGAGCGCACGATGCAGGTGGCCGCGGCCCTCCCCTCCCCACCCGCCGCCGCCGCTGCTGCTCTGCCGATGCAGCAGCGCACACCCGCTGCGACCCGCCTCGCTTGTAGCTGCGCTGCCTCTTTGTTGCTCTCTGAGTGGACGCAGCAGCGGGCCCCGAGGCGCGCCCGCCGCCTGCCTTCACCGCCGCACACCACCGCCACCGCATGTGCCGCAGGTGCTGCTGCGCCGCACCAAGAACAACCCTGTGCTGATTGGGGACCCTGGGGTGGGCAAGACTGCGGTGGCTGAGGGCATCGCGCAGCTGATTGTGTCGCCCGCAGCACCGCCGGGGCTGGCGGGCCGAGCGCTCATCGCTGTGGATGTGGGGTCACTAGTGGCGGGCACACAGTACCGCGGCGCCTTTGAGGAGCGGCTCACGGTGCGACTGGGGGGGGGGGCCTCGGGGCGCCCGGGGCACATGCGCCAGCCTGCATCACATGGGGCTCCCTGCGGGTGGCCAGCCTGCAGCTGCTCACTGCTGGCCGCCAGGCCATGGCCAGGCCAGGCATGGCAAGGTGCTTGCCGGCCTGGGCGCCTTGTGCTCGCTGCCCACCCTCCTGCCGTGCCGTGCCCTGCCCTGCCCTGCCCTGCCCTCAGTCTCTGCTGCGGGAGGTGCACATGGCTGCTGGGCGGGTGATTCTGTTCATCGATGAGCTGCATATGCTGATGGATGCGGGGAGGGTGGAGGGAGGCATGAACGCAGGTGGGCGCCTCGGCTGGCTGAGTGACGAGGCACGCAGGACGGCAGTCGTGCCGCGGCTGCTCTGCCAGACAGGGCCGCTGCATGCTAGGGGATGCGGGCCACCCAGACCCTGCCGTAACTGCACATACAACCTCCCACCCACCCAGCCCCTGCTGCAACCCTTCACACAGCCTCCACCCCACCCGCCTCTGCCCCTGCAGCCAACCTGCTGAAGCCGGCGCTGGCGCGCGGCGACCTGCACTGCCTGGGCGCCACCACTGTGGAGGAGTACCGCAAGCATATCGAGCAGGACGGCGCCTTTGCGCGGCGGTTCCAGGTGGGTGAGGTGGAGGGCAGGCGGGGGCCGCTTGTGTGTGTGTGTGTGGTGGGTGGGGGGCGCTGGAGCTGGCAGATGTGCCAGGCGCTGGCTCTCCACCGCGGCTCGCCTGGATGCCCTCACGCACTGCCCGGCTTCCCGCTCTCTCCACATGCCTGCCTGCCCTGCCTGCCTTCTTGCCTGGCCCGCGTACCCACCTGCCCAATCATTTGCCTGCCTGCCCGCAGCCAGTAATGGTGGAGGAGCCGACCCCAGAGGAGGCGGTGACGTGGCTGCGGGGCCTGAGGGGGCGGTACGAGCGGTACCACGGCGTTCGCTTCACAGACGCCGCGCTCAGCACAGGTGGGCCATGATCGAGGGGGCGACCATCCTTCCTCAGGGAACAAGCATTCAAAATGAAGCCTGTGTGTGGCTCCTGTCGCCTCCATTGCAGCCTGATGCACCTTGAGTGGCTGCTCGCTCTCTGCAGCCATTATCAAAGCTTTGCGTTATGACCGTGCTTTGTGGTCTCCCTCCCTCCCCGTGTGTGCACTGCAGCCGTGCGAGCAGCGCAGCAATACATCCCCGACCGCCGCCTGCCCGACAGCGCCATCGATGTGATCGATGAGGCCGCGGCACGGGCCCGCCTGCATGCCGGAGCAGCGGCGGCGGCGGCGGCGGCAGCAGCGGCGACCCAGGCGCACGCGGCGGCGGCACTCGGCAGGTCGGGGGCAGGCGTGCAGGGGGTTGCACCGTTGTACAGCAGTGGCAGCGGGAGCTGGGAGGAGAATCAGCGGCTGATGGAGTGGCTGAGCGCTGTGCGGCAGCAGTCGGAAGCAGGGCCTCAGCTGCCAGCGGCAGCAGCAGCAGGAGGGCCAGTGTCGCCAGCAGCAGCAGCAGCATACCAGGCACAGCCCGCCGCCAGCATAGCATCGGGAGCGGGAATGCCAGGAGCTCGGCCGCTGCCAGCAGGCGTGGCGCAGCTGGTAGGCGGCGCCGCGCCGCGAGGGGCCAATGCAGCCAACGCGCTGTCCTGCCCTCACTGCGGTACTCCTGCGGTACCATCAGCTGGCTCGGGTGGGTGTGGACTGTGGCTTATTGGTGCCTGTCGTGGATGATGCCACTCCACATGCTGCCCTTCCTGCCGCATGTTGTTTTGTTTTGGCCGCACCCCACCCAACACGCCGTCGCACACACCATCAGCGCACATGCCACCCACCACACACAGACACAAACACGCACAGTTTGGCCCGCTGATACTGCAGAGACGGTCACCTGCAGCAGATGCGGCTTCACCTACCTCAGCATACCTCAGGAGAAGCTGCTGCTGGGGGCATCGCTCTTCATGCACCGCCGCAAGCAGCAAGTGCCGCTCCCACAGCAGCAGCCCTGGCAGCACGCCACCCAGTCACAGCGGCAGCCGGTGGCGGCCGGAGGACAGCCCCACCCTGCGGCGATAGCACCATTCGCTGTGGTGCAGGACGCAGCACCAGCAGCGGCAGCCGTGCCAGAACCAGCAGCCCCGGCCCAGCCGGCAGGCCCACTGCACAGCAGCAGCAGCGGCGGTGTCGGCAGCGGCGGCAGTCGTGGCAGCGCTGGTCCCTTGGTGGTCGACTCGGCAGATGTGCTGTCGGTTGTGGCAGAGGCCAGCGGCATCCCCTCAGAGCACCTCTCCCAGTCTGACTGGCAGTCGCTGTCCAGCCTGGAGGCACGCATGCGCCTGCACCTGGCAGGACAGCACGCGGCGGTGGCGGCCGTGGTGGGCGCGGTGCGGCTGGGGCGCTTGGGCCTGCAGCGCGGCAAGCGGCCGCTAGCCAGCCTGCTGCTGACGGGACCTCCGGGAGTGCGCGGGCCGCGCCTCGCACCACTCATGCCCTGCTGTACCCCCCATGCTGCTCCTGCCGCCCCTCCGCCCTGCACCGCCATCGCCGCCTAGGCTAGCCTGGCCTCCGCGCCCGACGCAGCATGCCGGAGCAGTGCCTGCCTCCCTTGCCGCCGCTACCGCCTTCCTGCCTCCTCCTGCGCCCCGTCGCCACCGCCTGCCTGCCTCCGCATGAGCCCCTCCCCCTTCCTCCCCACCCCTCCCCTGCTTGCCTCACAGGTGGGCAAGGCCACGCTGTGCCAGGCGCTGGCCTGTGCCCTGTTTGGCTCCGACCGACACCTGCTGCGCCTCAACCTGGCAGAGTACGGCGACAAGGCCTCGGTCAGCCGCCTGGTGGGCGCGCCGCCGGGGTATGTGGGCTTCGGGGACGGAGGCCTGCTGACGGATGCAATCAGGTGGGGCGGCTGGGTGGGTGGCTGGGTGGACGTCGTCGGTCGCCCCGCTGCCACGCCTCTCCAAATGTAGCTGCCACGGCTGACGCTGGCGCTGGCGCTGGCACTACCGCTGGCGCTGGTGGTGCCGCCGCCCGCCCGCCCCACGCCCAGCGCACCCACTCTGCCCCGGCCCTGTGGCCGCCCCCCGCCCCGCAGGCGGCGCCCCCACAGCGTGGTGCTGCTGGAGCGGGTGGACCGAGCCCATCCAGAGGTGCTCAGCCTCATAGTGCAGGTGTGGCAGTGCCGCACCACGCAGCACGGGCGCCCCTGCCTGCGCCGGTGCCGCCGCCTGCTGCCGCGCCGAGAGCTGCGGGGTGCGGGGCGCCTGCGACGCATGCGCTGCGCCGTGCTGCAGCTGCGGTGTGTGGCGTTGCATGCATGCCCGTGTGTGTGCCTCACATGCGCGCATCCCGCCGCCGCCCCTGCGCCCGTCGCGCAGGTGCTGGAGAGCGGGCAGCTGCAGGACGGCATGGGCAAGCGGTGCGACTTCCGCAACGCGCTGCTGGTGCTGGCCACAAGCCCCACCGCCGCGCCGCTGCCCGAAGGCTGGGCGGACGCGCCGCAGGCAGCGGCGCCAGCACCAGCCGAGTCGGGGCCTGGCAGCGTCGCGGCCGGGCCGGCAGCTGGGCCTGGTGAGCGGGGCGGCGGCGCGGGCGAAGCGAGTGGCACCATTGGCGTGTCGGTTCCAGAGGCGCACGTCCACCCAGAGGCCTACGCGTCTGGAGACAGCAGCAGCAGCGGCGGCGGCAGCGTGCACAGCGCTCACAGCGCGGCTGCGCAGTGCCTGCAGCCCGACGCCGGCGGCAGCAGGCTGGGAGCGGCGCCACAGCAGCAGCAGCAGCAGCAGCAGCAGCAGGCGGCGGTGCATCCCCTGCGCCACCTGCCCTCCGAGCTGCTGTCCCGCCTGGACTGCCAGGTCAGCATGGCGCCGCTGTCGCCAGCGGACATGCTGCGGGTGGTGGAGCTCCAGCTGGCAGAGTGCCAGGCGGCGCTGGGGCAGCAGGGCATCGGCCTGCGCGTCGAGCCGGATGCGCGGCGCTGGCTGGCGGCCCGCGGCCTGTCGCCCGCGTCGGGGGCGCGGCGCCTGCAGTCGCTGCTGCGGGAGCAGCTGCTGCTGCCTGTGGCGGAGGCGTTGCTGGGGGAGAGTGCAGGGCGGCGGGCAGGCAGTATGCCTGTGACGCCCACGGCGGCGACAGCCCGCGTGGCGCCAGACGGCAGCCGCCTGGACATCCGGCTTGAGGGCTGACCTGCACACCGCCACATCCGAACTGGTGCCTTGCTTGCTTCTTCCAGTGATTGCAACGCGGGCCCTGCTGGGACGGCACACGTGTGTCTGGAGCGTGGCGAGTCAGCCTGCGCGTGCGGCTCTACCGGCTGGTAGGGAGGAGCCGCTGGTCAGCCGGGCAGCTCTGCTGCGGCATGTGGTGGCCCCTGCGCTTCAGCACCAGCTGCTGCTGCTGCTGCAGCAGCAGCAGCGGCAGCAGGGCAGCCCCGCGACAGGCTTGCTGCTGCCGCTGCAGCTGGCAGACATGCTGCTCCCGGAGCCAGCAGGTGCGGCTGCTGGCCAGGATGCCGCTGAGGAGCAGCAGCAGCTGAGGCAGCTGCAGCCCCACCTCCGTGCCCTGGAGGGCTGCCGCATCGACAAGTTGCCCACAGCGCTGCAGGCGGCTGGCATTGACAGCCTGGAGCTGGCGGCTGGCATCCTGAAGCGGTGTGGCGCCGGCGGCGGCAGCAGCGCAAGCACATATTTCCAGCAGCAGCTGCCGCCCCTGCCGGTGCCGCCTGCCAGCCAGCAGCCACAGCAGCTGCAGCAGCTGCGGCAGTGCATGCTCCAGCTGCCGGCTGCCCCTCTACCCTGCTGCGGAGGCAGACGAGGTGCTGCAAGCCACGCTGCCAGGCGCCATACAAGCCGCGATGATGGCCGCGGCTGCGACAGCGCCGCGGTGGCAGCAGGGCGGCGCTGGTGCCGGTGCCGTCCTGCCAGGCGCGCATGCTGCTGCGGTGGAGGCGGCCTGCCGAGCTGCCCGGGCGCTGGCCCTGTCTTTCAACCAGGCGCCCATTGCAGGCGAGCAGCAGGCCTGGCGGCCGCACCATCACCGCCCTCAGCGCCGCGCCAGGTGGCCGCAGAGCACACCCTGCAGCACCTCACCCGCCACAGCGCCCGCCTAGCGGCGGCAGCCCTCGGCGACGCCTCCCCGACGCCCAGTGCAGCGCGGGCGGGCACACTGCGTGGGGTGGCACTGACGCCGGCAGAGGGGGCCAGCCGCTGGGGCTGCGCTGCTTCCGAGAGCTGTGCCAGCTGGCGACCGCGATACAGCCAGCACAGTACGACTGCGCCACTCTCCAGGCCGGCTTGCTGCAGCTGGCTCAGCAGCTGCTTCGGCCGGGCCCAGCTGGGCAGCCTGCTGAGGTGTCAGGTGGCCTCCTGCCCGTGGAGCAGGTTCGGCAGCAGCTGGCGGCAGCGGCGGCGCAGCTGCCTGCGGGGCGCCTGCGCGACATTGTGCTGCTGGGCACACAGCAGCAGGACCTGGCGCAGCGGGTGCCTGCCGTGCTGGCGCCCAGTCAGGCGAAAACATTGTGAATCACAGGCACCGCACTGCGGCAGGCTTGCCAATTTGACAGGTAGACAGCTCGTCTGTGATGCCTGGGGCCAAGGAAGCCTCCAGTCTCAGTGGTCGCAAGAAGCCTCGGCAACAACAAATTGAGCTGCTAAGCTGCCGGCCCTGTTGACAGGGACATGTCTGTATTTGGATTGATGCGCGTATTCAGCTTTGATCTCCACCAGTTGCAGTGTTTCTGGCCCTCGTGGCAGCTTTGGCGATGGGCGGGCGATGAGGACTGCTGTCGCGTCCAAATTTCGCCAATCAGCTGGCGATGGCACATTGAGGATTGGCGAAATGCGGGGGAGCCACCCTTGCGCCTGGCACAGCGCAGCGGCCACATGCGGCGCCGCTGTTGCTTTGTCGGCACTTGCCTCCCTTTTGGGGGACTGGGGGCGAAGCCCCCAGCAAGCTGGCGCTTGTTTAACACTATGGAGTGAAGTTCCTGAGGAAAATTGGCCATTTCTCCTCAAAATATTGGCGATGTCAGTCATGGGGGCTGGCGACGCGCTGGCGATGTCGCCCCGCCGCCTGCCCTCATTTAGCCAGCCCTGGCTGGCGATGGGCTTCGGCGAATCGCCAGCCAGAGCCGTTTGTTGGCCCGATTTCGGCAGCATTTGGCGATTTCGCCAGCTTTCAGAAACACTGACCAGTTGTGAAGCATTGCCTTGCTGGCGCCCAGCAGGCGCCCAGCAGGCGCCCAGCAGGCGCCCAGCAGGCTAAAACAACACGGTGGCTGGACAGCGTATGATACTCCACTGTCGAGGGTCCCTGTGTACAGGTGTGCTTTGCGCACAGGCTGGCTTCCCGCGGGCACGCTTCCAGTCGCCCAAGATGTCGGCCCGCGCAGTCCTGCTTCCGCCTCGCCTGGCCTCGCTCTCATTCACTGCCCGGCCCACACGGCCAGCACCTAGGGCGCGGCGCCCCAGGCTGGTGGCCGTTGCTGCAGCGGCGCACAGCGGTTCCGACGGCGGCGAGACGCACCGGCGCACCGACCAGAGCCCCCCGAGCGTAAGTCAAACCGTGTGTGACTCCTGCACTGTGAACACGCGCCTGCTGGTTCTGTCCACGCAGCTGCTTGCTGCGGCATAGGTAACCTGCCCACCGGCAGCGCTTTCGCTCCCCACCGCCCTCCCGCCATCCCTTCCCTGCCTTCCCCCTCTTCACAATGCATGCAGTGCAGGGCATGCAGCGCCCATGGTGGGCGTGGTTGTTTGAACCGCCGCCACCGACCGGCCAGGAGCTGGAGGCGCAGATTCGCCACGAGATGAAGATCTTGGAGCTGAATCAAATCGTGGAGGATTGCCGGCGAGGGGGGGAAGGAGTTTGATAGGAACGTCGAGAGCATCGAGCGGCATTTTGAGCATCTAACACGCCAGCGCAAAGCTGACAGCGCTGCACATAGCACGCCTTCCACCAAGGCGGCTCCGCCGCCCCCTCCTCGCCGTGGGCCCTGGCCTCCCGTGCCCCAGGCACCTACACCTGGGCCCGCCACGCACGGACTGCTGCAGCCGAGGCTTCTGCGGCTGCTGCCGTGGCCTGGGCCTCCGCTGCTGCGGGGCATGAGGCGGCTGCCGAAGCAGCGACCCAGCACGCTGCCTCTCAGCCGGCGGTGCAACAGGCCAACGCTGCGGCAGAGTGGGCGCGCGCCGCGGCTGCGTGGCGCACGACGCCCTGGATGTGGCGTTGCAGGCCAACCCGGAGGCAGAGGCTGTGCAGCAGGCGAGGGCAGCGGTGGAGGCGTCCTGCGGCTTCAAGCGCCAGCGCCGCCGCCTGCAGGGCTGATGCCCTGCTGCATGCCCGCACCGCTTCCGAGTGTGCATGCCAAATTCCCCGCCTGGCACCAACAACAACAATTGCTGTCTGCCCCCGTGCCGCTTGAATGATTGATGGTTCACTCAGAATAAGTTGTTGCATTGCATGTTGTTGTTTGCTTTGTGCATGTAAATTTTGTGCATGTAAAGGATTTATTAGTTGATGGCAATTGGGATTGTTGAAGGTGTTCATTGCAGTTGCCCTGAACCCAGCTGCCTGCTGCCTGAAGTGAACCTGAGGCACCAAGTGGTGGATGTGGGCACCTTCATGTCACTGCTCTCCCCATACAAGATGATGCATGTCACTTCATGTGCACTGCTCATCTCACATGCTTCACTCAGCACACACAACATAGCTGGGCTCGGCAACGAGCAATGAAGCACACAGCAGCGAAACAGCTGCGGTAGTGTGCCACGAGGTATTGGACAGCACGCAAGCGAACAAGACTGACCGCATTGTGCGTCTGTACCTGGACCCTGCAGCCCGCCTGCGCTGCGGCAAGGGCGAGAAACCTAGCTTCCACGAGACGTCTTCATGTGCTCTGCCTGCCCGCGCTCTCCTCTCCCGCTTGCACCATGCTACCGAACAAGGGCTGCCGGCCGCAGCGCCCATCAGGTGAAAGTCAACCAAGCAACGAGGAGGAGAGGGGCGGCGTCAAGTGGCCACGGCGGCTGCGGCGGCGGTGGCGCTGCTGCTGCCCAGCCTGGCCCTTGAGATGGAGCTGTACTTGCGGGACAGGAGGCGGAAGAAGTCGCGCCAGTAGAGCTCACACCGCACCCAGTCCAGCGGCGCCTGCAGCTGGCGCGAGGCCGCCGGCGTGGCACCAGCTGCCGTGGGGGCCGCCAGCGCGCGCCGCGCGTCTTCCAGCATGCGCCGCGGCGACAGGCAGCCCGTGGCCAGCCAGGGCGCGATGTTGGAGGAGAAGTTGGAGCCGTAGGCGGCGCCCAGGGCGCTCGCCGCCGCCACAAAGCGCTGCAGCTGGCGCAACGCCTCGCCCTCGCCGCCCTGGGGCTGCCGCCCTCGCCGCTGCTGCCGGCACCGCAGCCAGCGGGCAGGGGCTGCAAGCCCAGCTGCTCCAGGGCGGGGATGTCCCCAGGGTCCACCTCCCCCCCCCAGCGGCAGCCCATGCAGCTCCCGGGGCGCAGGCAGGGCCGCCCGCACCTGCACACCCTCGATCCGCTGCCTGAACTTGTCTGCAGGGAGGCCGGGCAGGGCGGGGCGGGGCGGGGCGGGGCGGGGAGGCATGCACACACGTGAGGAGGGAGGCGAGCAGGAGCTGCACGCGCGCATCGCCACCAATGCGGCTTGGCGACACAGCATGCGACGCGCTCCAGCCCAGCCAGCCCAGCCAGCCCGCCAGCGGGTTGTGGGCGTTTGCAGCTGGGCAGCGGCAGCAGCAGCGGCGCGCTGGCGGGGCCCACCAAAGTTCTGCGGCAGCTGGTCCAGGCTGAAGGGCAGGCAGTCCAGGCGACACAGCGTGTTGACCAGCAGCAATTCACTGCCATTTGCTGCAAAAGCTATGCGCTACTTCATCAGAAAACAGGGTGCCCCTTGAAGCTGCACCCTAGCTGTGGCAGCAGACCAACGCCATCAAGCGGCAAGCCCAGTGGTGGAGGACACAGCGCAGTGTCGCGGCCAGGCGCCCTGCGATGTGGGCTGACTCAATTCACCACTCCCCACGCGCTCCTCCTTCACCACGGCGCTGCGGCAGGGGCGGGGCGGCAGGTACCTGTGCAGGGCGGCACCAGGTGTCGGTGCAGGCTCTGGCCTCGGTTCTTGGGATTGATCGACTGTGAAAGGGAGGTAAATTACCACAATCGCTGCCTAGGCATGCCTGCTGGGCCATGCTGAGAGAGCGCGCTCATTCAACTCGCTCAAGCCCACGCGTCTAGAAGTCCAGGCGCCAGCGCAGTCGCTGCATTGTCGTCCTTCACCGTGCAAGCCCTCGCACGCACTGCCACAAACATGATGGGGTGGTGGAGGGCGCTGCTCCTCCTCTGCGCCGCCCTGGCGCCCCTCTGCGCCGCCCTGGACAACGGCCTGGGCCTACGGCCGGCCATGGGCTTCAACACGTGGGTGCCGCGTTGTTGCCGCCGCCGCCGCCTCAACCGCTCCCACCCGCCGTGAACGGTACGTGCGCCGCCAGCAATTCGGGGCCGCTAAGCAGACGCTGTGCCTGTCCGCAGGTGGAACGCCTTCCGCACCAACATTGACGAGAAGTCAATCAGGGCCACAGCCGACCTCATAGTGTCGATGGGCCTGCGCGACGCAGGGTGCGCTGGGCGGCGCCGGCAGCCTGCTGCTGCACAGCACGCGTTGCCGAGGCCGGCGCAGCTCCTGTCATGCCCACGGCCAGCTCAGAACAACAAATTCTTGCTGGCTGCGCCCCGCCATGTAGCTACGTCTACCTGAATCTGGACGACGGCTGGTCGGAGCGCAACCGCACGGCCGACGGCCGCCTGGCTGCCAACAAGGCGCGGTTCCCCTCCGGCATCAAGGCGCTGGCGGACTACGTGCACGGCAAAGGCCTCAAGTTCGGCATCTATGGTGACGCGGGCAGCATGACGTGCGCCAAGTACCCGGGGTCGCTCGGCTATGAGGAGGTGGATGCCCAGACCTTTGCAGAGTGGGGTGCGTGGCGCGGCGCAGAGCGAAGAGCGTTCGTACCGTGGCTGCTGCTGCTGTGGCTTGCGCAGGGACTGGCTCGCGCCGTTGGCATTGCTGACGGGGCTTGGGGAGGGGAGGGAGCTGTGCGGCAGCCGCCACCTCGGCGGCCTTGCTGCTGACCTTCACAGACATTCGGTGATGGCCAGCCGCTGATGGCTGCCTCTCCGTCCTTCCTTGCCTGTCGCCAGGCGTGGACTACCTTAAGTACGACAACTGCTACGCAAAGCAGGAGCAGTGGGTGATTGACCGCTACGCCGCCATGCGCGACGCGCTCAACGCCACCGGCCGCCCCATCCTCTACTCGCTCTGCGACTGGGGCGTGGCTGACCCATGGCTGTGGGCGTCAGAGGTGGGCGCATCCATTCCTGCCTGGCCCGTGCCGCTTGTTGGAGATGCATGCAGCGTATCCACCGCTTGAGTTGCGGGTCGGGAGGCTCCTGGCTGTGCCTCCCCTGATGCATGCATGCATGTTGCATGTGCTGCTGTGACGCCCGCAGATTGGCAACAGCTGGAGGACCACTGAGGTGATGCTGCCCGCCTGCCGCCCAGCCCAGCACCTCTACAGACCCATCGCTCCTTCGCGCATGCCTGCCATGCTTGCGCTGCATGCCATGGCTGCTGCGCTGGCGTGCCTGCCGATCCTGTGTGTTGCTGGAGAGGCTCCCTTTGGGGACGCCTTCTGCACCTGATGCGTATCACACACAGCCGCCGCTGCAACGATGGTGCCCTGGCATGCGCCGTCGCTGCCGCCGCAGGACATCACCCCCACCTGGGACAACATGGTGAAGCTGCTGGAGTACAGCGTGGGCCTCAGCCAGTTTGCGGGGCCCGGCCGGGGCTGGAACGATCTGGACAGTGAGTGCGCCTGGCCCGGCCCGGCCGCCGGCTGACCCTGGCCCTGCACTGGCTGGCGGCCCGCGCGTGCGTGTTGTGCAGGCTGGGGTTGAGTTCGTCCCGCCAGCTTCCCAGCTGACGGTTCTCTGGCGTTTGCTTCCTCCCCTGCTGTGCAGTGCTGTACGGTGAGCGCCGGCGCCCAGATGGTCACAGATCGAACCGCTCTGCTGCTTGCCTGCCCTTGGGTCCCCCTTTCACGTGCCGGTACCTTACCTGCCCCCTTCTCCTGCCCCCGCAGTGGGCAACAGCCACCTGGGGGAGTACCACCCCTTTGGCCCCTTCTACCAGGAGCAGCGCGCCCACTTTGCGCTGTGGGCGCTGTTCAAGTCGCCGCTTATCATCGGCCACGACCTGCGCCAGCTCAACGACACCTTCCTGGACCTGCTGAAGAAGAAGGTGGGCAGGTGGTGGTGGTGATGGAGGAGGAGTGGGTGCATTGTGTGCATGCGTGTAATATTGTAGTGGTGCAAGGTAGGCTGGCGCTGGAGGACGCTGATGGAATCGACATCTCAGTGATGTCTTGGCTGTGCAGGAGATCATCGCGCTCAACCAGGACGAGCTGGGCGTGCCGGGGGATCTCATCTGGCAGCAGGGCACCAGAAAGGTGGGCCGGCTGTCTGAAGGGGTGGCCCGCCGCTGACAAGGGGTGCTGGGGAGGTCTGCTGGCACCGCTTGCTTGGCGTGCCCTTGCCTGTGTTGCAGCTGCCCGACCTGCTGCCTGCCTCTGGCGGGTGCAGATCTATGCAGCGCCGCTGGCAGGCGGCGCGCGGGGCGTGGTTCTGTTCAACCAGCAGACCACGCAGAGCCAGTACCCCATGAGCAACCTGACTGTGTTCTGGGAGCAGATTGGGCTGGTGCCCGGTCAGCGCGCCCTGGTGCGGGACCTCTTTTCAGGTGGGCCCAGCCGGGGTGGCAGGAGGGGACAGGAGGGAGCAGCCAACAGTGGTTAGGAAAGGCATGCTGGAAATAGGGAAGCATGCCTTTTGGGGTGTCCCAAAACCAACCTTCCGCTGCTGATGCACCTGTGTTGCGGGCGCCCCCTCGCACCCCTCCCTGGTGGCCTGGCGCGCAGAGGAGGACCTGGGCGTGTTCCGCGGCTCCTTCTCCGCGGCGGTGGCGTACCACGATGTGGCGGTGCTGCGCATCACTCCAGTGGAGGGGCCGCTGGACGACAGCTGGCGCCCTTGGCATGCCCAGCCGCTGTACGCCCCGCAGCCCATCAACATTGCGGTGCCCCAGGCCTCGGCGTGGATAGAGGGCTTCTCGGAGCCCGGCAGCAGCAGCGGCGCGGCGCAGAAGGCGCGGCTGCCGGCGGCGGCGGGCGCCACGTCGCTGCCCTCCGCCAAGGGCCCGCCCGGCTTTGCCATCGTGCTGAGCGTGGTGGCTGCGGCGGCGGCGCTGTGCGTGGTGGGATACTTTGTGGTGCAGACCTGGCGCATGCGCGGGTGGCAGCAGCTGGAGGAGACCGAGGGCGCGCGCAAGGCGGCAGAGCTGGCGCACACCACCAACGGGCGCCGCCGCGACGGCGTCAATTACTAGGGCAGCCGCTGGAGGAGACCGAGGGCGCGCGCAAGGCGGCAGAGCTGGCGCACACCACCAACGGGCGCCGCCGCGACGGCGTCAATTACTAGGGCAGCCGCTGCTTTCAGTATTTTTAGGTCTGCAATTTCCCTCCCTTGCTCTTTGTCTCTGTTGCCAGCTATTCTGTTCCCTAGAAGCAGCTAAACTGTTTAGTAAACAAGCATTCTTCCAAGCGCTGTGCCTGCTGGGGCGGTGCCGTGCTGGCGGCAATGCCTGCATAAGCTGCGAAGTGTCGGGGAAGGCGTCCAACATCTCTTGCAGCGTGTCTCATTCTCTGGCCTCTTGCTGCGAGCCTACGACCATGAGTCGGCGAGCCATCGTCTGTGTGGTTCTGTCGCTGAGCTCGACGGCGGCGGCTCTGAACAATGGACTCGCGCTCAGACCACCGCTGGGATACAACACGGCAAGTCCAGCCGCCGCTGCGCTTGGGCTTGCAAGCGCCACTGCCGGCCCGCCCGTTGACCGCCTCTGGGTGCTGCCCCAGCCCTTCTGCAGTGGAATGCATTCGGCACCAGCATCGACGAGGACATCATCAGGGCCACGGCGGAGCGTATGGTCTCTCTGGGCCTGCTAGACGTTGGCTATGAGTATTTGAACGTCGACGACGCCTGGTCGGAGCCGGCTCGTGTGGATGGCCGCCTGGTTGCCAACAGGGCCGCGTTCCCCTCTGGCATCAAGGCGCTGGCGGACTACGTGCACGCCAAGGGCCTCAAGTTCGGCATCTATGGCGACGCGGGCTCGCACACCTGTGCCGGCTTCCCAGGCACGCATCAGGAGGCGGGCGGGTGATGGGTGCTGGGGTGCCGGGTAGCCACAGGCTGCATCACCGAGTGCTGGTGCACACCCCCCGCTGGCTGCAGGCTCACGAGGCTACGAGGAGGTGGATGCGCAGACCTGGGCGGACTGGGGTGAGCGGGAGCAGCCTGGGGACCCCCCCCTGCTGCTGCCCACACGCTGCTACCTGCCTGCTAGTGCCGACCGACACCGATGCCACCCACAGGCGTGGACTACCTCAAATATGACAACTGCTTTGCTCCAGCCAAAGACTGGGTGATTGATCGATACGCCGCCATGCGCAACGCGCTCAATGCCACGGGCCGCCCCATCATCTACTCGCTCTGCGAGTGGGGCGTGGCTGACCCCTGGACCTGGGCCCCTCAGGCACGCCCTGCTGCCGCCCTGCCGCCCTGCCACCCTCGAGCCTGTTGTGGGTGTGCAGCAGCAGCGCTCAGGCTTCCTTCCCGCCGTGCTGTGTGCAGGTCGGCAACTCCTGGCGCTCCACAGAGGTGTGCAGGAGGGCAGGACTGCCCTGGACTGAATCAAAGCCGAGCCTTGGGTTTAGCGTGCCGCCCAGCACGCCGCAACGCCCACCATTTCCAGCCAAACCCACAACAACCCACCGCTGCGGGTTCAGCCCTGGGCTGCTTGCGCTGCTGTGCCGCCCGCTGGTGGCCAGCACCCAGCTTGGCATGCACGTGCTGGACCCAGCCCGCCCTGCCCGCCTGCCTGCTCGCCATCAGGACATAGAGCCCAGGTGGGAGAGCATCCTGAAGATCCTGGATTACAACACGGGGCTGGCGCGCTTCGCCCGCAAGGGCGCCTGGAACGACCCAGACATGCTGGAAGGTGGGCGGCTGGGCTGGGCTGGGCTGGGCTGGGCAGCTGGGCTGATGGGTATCCCGCCGCAGCAGCAGCGGCGATACATTGCGCCTCCTCGAGCCGCCGCACCGCATGCCCCCTCGACCCCGGCTGCAGTGGGCAACGGGCAGCTGACGTCGGGCGAGCAGCGCGCGCACTTCAGCCTGTGGGCGCTGATGAAGGCACCGCTGCTGATCGGCGCCGACCTGCGCACGATCCACCCCGACAGCCTGGCCATCCTCAAGGCCCGAGAGGTCATTGCCGTCAACCAGGACGACCTGGGGGTGGCGGGCGATCTGATCTGGATGCAGGGCGCCAACCGGGTGGGTGGCGGCCGGAGCGAGGGGCTCTCGTTCTGTACATGCAGGGCAAGCACAGCTGCTGCCGGCGTGCTGAGCTGGCACCAAAGTTTCCCCCACGGCTCCGCAGGTGTACGCCGTGCCGCTGGCCGGTGGCGGCCGCGCCGTCGTCTTCCTCAACCTGCACACCACGGGGGGGCAGTACCTGACCAGCAACATCACAGTCTACTGGGGCCAGCTGGGGCTGCCGGCGGGGCGGTCGGCACTCGTGCGCGACCTGTTTGCTGAGCAGGACCTGGGGGAGCACACCGGGTCCTTCACAGCGGCAGTGCAGGCACATGATGTGGTGGTGGTGCGCATCATGCCGGTGGGAGGCGTGCAGGGTGACACCTGGCGGCCCTGGCACTCCCAGCCCATCTACGAGGCAAACGGCGGGGAGCGGACTGCGCGGCAGGCCGGGGCGCGGGCAGGCGCCGGCGCCCTTGCTGCGGGGCGCAGGATGGGCCCTGCCGACCGCCAGCACGCCATGTTTGGCGACGCCGCCTGACTCGCACTTGCGCTGGTGGCCATTCTGCTGCTCCTGTGCCTTCCACCCACTCGCCGCAGACGGCGAGTGCGGCCTGGAATGCCCGTGGCCAAAGCGCTCTGAGGCACGCGTGTTCTGGTTTTACTGTTGTTATATGCTTTTCTTCTTATGCTCTTCTTCTTTTGCTGGCTTGCATGCTTTTGTACTTTGTATTTGCTTGCCGGTTCCTTGCCGATTCCTTGGCGCCGCCGCGCCGCCGCCATGCGGTACACCCTGGTATTGCTGTGATCGTGCTTTAAACCGGCATCCAGGGGCACTCCAGCCCATTATCGTCATTCAGCTACACGCACGGCCCGCCTAATTGAGAAGGTCTCTCTGCCATCACTGCCATCACATGGCGGACTTTGAAGGTCGGGGGCGCCCTGGCGCACGCCTGGAAGTTCAGAGATGCCTGGCAAAGCTGCCTGTGGTGGACCGCCGCCTTGAATCGGGGTGCCGCCGGGCCCTCGGCACCCCACCGCCGACCCGCCCACCACCGCTGCCCCGCCTCACGACTTGCCGCTGCTCTCTGCCCACGCCTGCAGACGACTCCAGCCTGCTGGCCATCCTGCTGGATGTCAGCCCCGCCGCCGTGGCGCACCTGTCGGCCACACCCGGCCTCAGCCTGCAATCGATGCTGGAGCAGGTGCCGCCTGCTCGTCTGCCCCGTGCCCACCAATCAAAAGCATGCTGAAACAGAGTTGCATTGTTGTCCAATGGTCCCTGTGCAGCTGCTCACTTTCGTGAACGCCTTCATGCTTCTCAACGATGCCAACAAGCTGGCGGTGTTCACCGCCGGCTCCACCGGCTGCCACCTGGCCTACTGCTCCCCGCGCTGCTTGCCGCCATCCGCCACGGCGCCGCAAGCAGCGGCAGGCATCGGGCCGCCTTCGGTAGCGGTGCTCGAGGGCCTGCAGCAGACAGTGGCAACAGCAGCGGCGGCAGCAGCAGCGCAGGTCGGGCAGAGCGTCCGGACCTGCGGCAGCAACTGCCAGCTCAGCAGTGCGCTGAGCCGCATGCTGTGCTTCCTCAACACCCAGCAGCGCCGAGCGGCGGCAGGCGCCGGGCTGGGCGGCAGCGGCGGGGGCGCTGGAGCGGCGGGCGCCGTGCCGTCGCAGCGAGCGCAGCAGCCGGCGCGGGTGCTGTGCCTGACGGCTGCGCCCGACGTGCCTTCCCAGTACATATCTGTCATGAATGCCATCTTTTCGGCACAGGTGCGGGGGTTTGCGGCAGCGTCTGGCGGCGAGAAACTGCCGGTGCCATGCGGCAGCCTATGGCACCAAGGGCTGCCTCAGCCACACCAACCATGCGTCTCTGGCTTGCACCCGAACCAAGCTCCTGCTTGCGGCTGCTCTTGGGCGCCTGCTGCAGAGGAGCGGCGTGCTGATCGATGCGTGCCAGCTTGGGCGCCGCCACTCCACATTCCTGCAGCAGGTGGGTGTCCTGTGGCTTGCGCTGCCTGCTAGTTTCGTCGATCATTGAGCACTGCCCTTGCTTGCTCCATGTCACGTCCTGGCTCGGCCGCAAAGGCTGGGCTCGCGAGACGGGCAGCCCGCCTCACGCCAGCTGCTGCCTGCGCTGGAATGACTCGCAGGCGGCCTACCTCACTGGCGGCGTCTACCTGAAGCCCAGCAAGCCGGTGGCGCTGGTGCAGTACCTCAACGTAAGCTGCCGGTACCACCACTGCTGTCGGTACTGCTGCTGCCGCCTCCCGCCCCCTGTCCCTGCCTGGCAGCTGCTGGGCGCCGCCATCACCTGCGCCTTCCTTGGATGCCCCACTCGCCCCTGCCTGCCGCAGTCTGTGTTTGCGGTGGATGCCGCCACCCGCCAGTTCCTGCGCATGCCGGGCACCGCGCACGTCGACTTCCGGGCCAGCTGCTTCTGCCACAAGCGCCAGATCGACCTGGGGTGGGGCTGCTTGCGGGGTGCTGGTGCCAGCCTGCTTCTCAGGGGGCCAGCTGCCGCGGCTTCCAACTCCACGCTGCTCCCTCTCCGCGGTGCTTGACGCTGCAGCACCTGCGGCAGCGTGTTTCCTGCGCTGTGTGTCCTGCTGGCTGAAAGCTCTAACCCCGCCCTACCCGTACCCCTTGGCTGTGCAGCTACGTGTGCTCGGCCTGCCTCTCCATCTTTTGCGAGCAGCTGCCCGCCTGCACCACCTGCGGCACTGAGTTTGGTGCGGGGGAGGGCAAGAAGTAGGGGGACGGTTGTGTTGGCCTTGTCGCCAGCGAGAGGAGCTGTGAATCGCATGCCTCACCAATACAGCATCTCTAAAGAAAACATGCCAGTTGCTGCATTGCTGTAAGCATGCAAGTCAGATACCTGCATTGGAAGTAGCTACGACAAGGGGAAGGGTTGGTGGGCGGCCGAGCGCCGCAGTTGCTGCCCGCAGCAGGGATCCCGCCTCGGCGTGGGAACCGCCAGATTGCAGCAGGACGTACCCATGCAGGCAAAGCGCCGCGGGGGCAGGGGGCAGCCACAGCGGAAGCAGCGGCGGCAGCAGCGGCGCCGACGCGGGGGGTGGGGAGGCGGGCAGCGCGGCCAGGCGGCGGCTGATTGATCCAAGGCTGACCTGCCCTGCACCTCAGGGGCTTTTCACCGGTTTGCTCCCAGGATCTCAAGAAATCAAGCGTTTCCACTTTTATTGCATAACACTATACACCATGGCGCCTGGCTTCCTGGGGTGCCTCCTGCTGCTGGCGGCCGCGTGCCGCTGCCCAGCAGTGGCGGCGCTGCGCGACGGGCAAGCCACCACTCCGCCCATGGGCTTCAACACGTGAGTTGTACGTGTGCAGCGCCAGCCAGCCAGGTCCGAGGCCGGCATGCTGGGTGCGGCTGCGCGGCCGGCCGCCGCTCCCAAGGTGTCCGCTCGTCTGCGCCGCCGCCGACAAGCATGCTGCCCGAGGCTTCGAGGCCGGGCCCTGCCCGTCCACCACGCCTGCGCAGCTGGAACGCATTCGGCGCCAGGATTAATGAGGACCTCATCCGCGACGCCGCTGACCGGATAGTGGAGCTGGGGCTGCGGGATGCCGGCTACACGTGTGTGTGGCCATGCTATGCCGGCCCGCGGCAGCCGCCACCAGCCGCCGCCTCCAGCAACCCTGCATGATTCCGACCGGGCTCTCGCATCCATCGCATGAGAGCGCCCGCCCAACCTTGGAGCGCAGGTTCCTGGTGCTGGATGACGGCTGGAGCGACGTGGAGCGCACCGGGGATGGCAGGCTACAGGGAGACCGAGAGCGCTTCTCCTCAGGCGCGCCGCTGCTGCTGCTGCTGCTGCGTGTGGCGCATGCTGGCGGGACGACTTGGCCTGCCGGCTTGGCCCCTGCCTGCCTGCAGGCATCAAGGCACTGGCCGACTATGTGCGCGGCAAGGGCCTGAGGCTGGGCATTTACAGCGACAGCGGTGAGCCGGCGGCAGCAGTAGCATTGCTTGTGGCTCGGCGCGCAGCCAGCAGCGCTGCTCTCCTGCTCAGCGGCACGGCCGCTCTGGCCGCTGCAGGGCACTTTACTTGCCAGGGCTTCCCCGGATCGCGCGACCACGAAAGGGAGGATGCCCAGAGCTTTGCAGATTGGGGTGCGGCAGGGGCCAGCCTTGCTGCATGCACGCCGCATGGGGACTGCGGCGGGGTGCCGAGCTCGCATGTGCATCTCAGCAGCCGGGAACTAAGCAGGGCAGGCATCAGAACCTCGGCGTGATGAGCTTGCGCCTGCCCGGCTTGCTGCTGTTGGGTGCCACCAGGGGTGGACTATCTCAAATACGACAACTGCTTCGTCCATGATGACCTGCTTGGGCGCTTCGTCGCGATGAGGGACGCCCTGAACGCCACCGGCCGCCCCTTTGTCTACTCGCTCAGCGAGTGGGTATGTGGCGCAGCGGGGCGGCGGCCGCCAGTGCCCTGCCGCGAGCGGCGCTGCCGGCCTGGCCCGGGGCTGTGCTGCTGGCTGACAGCGCTGTTGCTGGGCGCCTTTGCAGGGCATTGGCGACCCCTGGGTGTGGGGCCCACAGGTGGGCGCATGCGCAAGGCAGGAGAAGCACTGCGTATCAGTCCACCCGTCTCCCCGCTTGCATGCATGCCCGCGAGCCAGCCACCAAACCTTCCTGCTCATGGATGTCACTCGCCTTTTCCCCAGGTGGCTCACGCCTGGCGCACCACCTTTGATAGCCACCCCAGCTGGCCCTCCATCATGCTCAACCTGGATGAGTCGGTGGCCCTGGCGCGGTACGCGGGGCCGGGGGCCTGGAACGACCTGGACCTGCTGGAGGTGGGTGCTGAGCTGGCAGGCATGCTGAGCTGGCAGGGGTGAGCTGGCACATGGTGGCCTGGCACAGTCTTCAGCTTGTGCCAGCCAGGCAAACGGCTGGGTATGTACCACCGCTGCCCTTGGCGCCGCAGGTGGGTCCCACCGGCTCCCCCAACGCCCGCAGCTACCTGAGCCACCAGGAGGAGCAGGCCCACTTTGCGCTGTGGGCGCTGCTCAAGTCGCCGCTCTTCGTCGCCGCAAACCTGCGCCAGCTGTCACCTGTCACGCTGGCCATCCTCAAGACCCACGAGGTCATTGCAGTCAACCAGGACGAGCTGGGGGTGCCTGGGGACCTGGTATGGAAGGCGGGGCCTAAAGAGGCAAGAAACATGGAACTGTTGAGCACCAGCCGTGTGGGGCCATGGACTGTGCCGTTTGGTGCATGTCACTCCCAGTTTGAAGCTGAGGCCAGCAGCGGCGCTGCTGTCCCGAGCGCAGGTGTATGCCGCGCCCCTGGCAGACGGCGGCCGGGCGGTGGTGCTGCTCAACAGGCACAGCGTGCTGTCGCAGGCACGTGGCGATGCCGCCCGGCCAGCTGCTTGGATCTGCTATCTGCTGCTTCAGCGGTGCTGCCGCTCGGCAGCGCCGCTGCATGAAAGCAGGCTGTTGCTGGCCAACCCAGGCCCGGTGGACCCCCCGCCCCTTGCAGCAGTACCAGGCCTCCAACCTCACGCTGCGCTGGCAGCTGGTGGGATACCCGCCCGACACGCGGGTGGTTGCCAGGGACCTTTTCCAAGAGCGGGACATAGGGCAGTACGCGGGCTCCCTCACCGCAGAGGTGGGCGGGGTCACCACGGCACCGCAGGAATGTATGAGCGGTGCGGAGCCGCCTGGCGCCGCCCGTGGGCGACCATGTATTGCCTCTGGTCCTGCCTGTTGTGTGAGCTTGCTCGAGGCCCCCCGCAGGTGCATGTGCACGGCGTGGTGGCGCTTCGCCTCACGCCGGTGGCCCCCGACCCCAGCCACAGCCAGTGGCGGCCCTGGCACGGCGTGCCCATGTTTGAGCGCCACCAGGAGGACGAGGAGTGGATCCCGCCGCTGGGCAGCGAGGGCAGGGAGGTGCAAGCCGGCAGCTGATCAGGATGATCACGATCCACGCTGCACGCCATGCTAGATGCTGCCCTGCTTCACGCAGGAACCGTCTCGTCCCTCGTTTACATCTGTTTGCTTGCATCGCGTGTGTCCTGCCCGTTGCCCGAGGATCCCCATCCTCAGCTGCAACACCGAGCGGCGAGCGCCTATGCCAGCACCAGTGGCTCCACCCAAGACCCACTCATGCCCCGACGGCCCTGCCGCTTGTAGGCCCTGCTGCCGCCGCCGCCGCTCCCGTCGCTGCCACTTCCCAGCAGCGTGGTAGGCCTGCCAGCCATCAGCAGCCAGTCAACCTCTGCCTGCTCCGAGCGGGAGCGGCTGGTGCTGCGCCCCGCGCCTCCGCCAGCGGCGCTGCTGTGGTGGAAAGGCCGCCGCCACCTATCCGTGCTGGTTGGGCGCGGCTCCTGCACACAGGCAGCATTGAATCCATGCGTGGGTTGGTACAGGCGCTTGAGGGGGGTCCCAGATGCCAGCAAGACCACCAGGAGCATGAGCTTGCGCCGACTCACAGCAGACAGGCTCTTGCGCCGGGCCCTGGCACTCCTGCCCGGAGGCGCCTTCATGCCGCTTGCTGTCCCTGGCAGGGGCTGCCCTGCTGCCTGCCAGGCCAAGGGCGACTGACCCCTGCTCCTGCCCCGTGCGCCGGCACTTCCTGCTGCCCTCTCCCTGCAAGGCTGGCTGCCGAGCCTGTCCCTGCTCCCGCTGCCATGCCCCGGCAGCACCGCCTGGCGAGGCAGTGGCTGGTGTAGGAGGGAGGTGGCTGGCGGGGGGTCTCGCGTGTCAAACAGCCAGGCGGGAGCTGCCGCGCCCCTGGCTGCCTTTCCTGAAGACCTCACAGGCTGCTGCCGTGGAGAAACATGGGACTCCAGAGCGCGGCTGGCCAGCTCGGCGCTGGCGGCAGCCTGGCGTGCCGCCTCCAGCTGTGCGCGCCGCTGCTTCAGCTCCCGGATCAGCTGCCAGCTGTCGCGGTGCTCCTGGTGCTTGTTGGTGGGAGAGGGAGGCCGGCACGCCGCCTTCGGGCTGCCGCTTGATGAGTTGCCCCATCTGTTGACGTCAGCACTGGCAGGAGCAGCGTGCGCTGCCAGAGGCTGGATTGTGGGGTACCGCTGCTGCTGCTGCTGGCTGGCCGCTGGGGGCAGGGGCTGCAGCTGCAGGCGCTGCTCTGCTGCCTGCAGGCGAAGCTGAAGGGCTTGCAGCTCGCCGTACACCCGCTGCAAGTCGGGGTTGGCTGGCGGCGGCTGTGGCTGCTGCACGCCGGGCAACTCCTGGTGCTGCTCCTGCTGCTGCTGGTAGGGCGGCAGAGCAGTCGGCAGCTGCGCGGGGGTGGCAGCCAGAGGTCGCTGCCCTGCGTGCATGCTGACGGTGGTGTGGCAATCCCGCTGGCCCGCTGGCTCCTTTGCCAGGCCTTCCCTGGCCGGTTGTGGGCATGGCGGCAGCTCCGACACCGCTGGCTGCCCACAGCGCCGGTCTGCGGACAGCGGCTGCCGGTGCTGCAGCAGCTGCTCGCCCAGGCACCGCCTCACCAGGTGGCTGCCTCCTTGTGGTGCTGCCTCGCGCACCGCTGCTGCCTGCATCTCTGATAACGAGGGCAGCGGTGGGTACCGGCGCGCTTCGAGCGCCTCGGGCTCCTGGGCGCCGCAGGGAGCGCCAGCAGCCGCAGGGCCGCCGACGGCTTCCAGCTGGGCGATCCGCACCCGGCACGCCTGCAGCTGCACCATCAGCCCCCGGTTCTCCTCCACGGCGTGCTTGAAGAGGCTCTGCAGCGACAGCAGCTCGCGGGCCTGCTGCAAGGCCGCCCGCTGGCCCTGGACCGCCTGCGAGGCGCGCTCCTCGGCCGCCAGCCTGCGGTGCACGAGGGAAGCGCCCGATGTGAGGTGGATGCTGGCGTGCTGTGGCAGGCATGCAGCCGCTCGCACCTTCCCTGCTCCGACCGGCCCAGCGCCGCCTGCGGCAGCAGCACACAACACAGGTAGCCTTGTTAGGCAAGGGCGGCCGGGGCCACACGGGGAGAGCGCCGGTCACTGGCAGTGGTGCCGGTGCCGGCCTGGCGCCGCACCCGCAAGTCTTCGATTTGCACACGCAGCTGGGCATCCTCCTCCTCGACGCTGGGGCTGTCCATTGGTTCGGGCTAGTTGCGGAGCAAGGGTTGTTGAGCGGGGCGGCTTCCCTGGCGGGCTGGCAGACCCAAATTGGGCATAATTGTGGGCGGGGAAATGCTCTAGAGAAGGGTGGGAGCCGCTCCCGGGCTGTGTAGGGCGGTGCTGGACTTGACATGGCAAAGAAGAGATGCTGGATAGCCTCTCCCGGCTCGTTCAGCAATCCCCGATTCGCCTATCATCTCATTCATGCGTGTAGCCCACTCTGCCGCGCACACCCGTCACCTGGTCAAACCCGAGCTCTCGAGCACGCTCCTCCTCGCGCACGCTCCCCTCCTGAAGTGATTGAGCCAGCACACAGCAGCAGGCAGCTGCCGGGAGCATGGCGGAGGTGGAGGCTCTGCCGCCGCTGGCGCCGGCGCTGGCGCCCAACGCCGCGGTGCTGGCGGCCCAGCTGGGCCAGCTTGCTCTGGAGCAGTCGCTTGAGCAGTCACATTCACCCTCAGAGCAGCAGACTGCCAGCCCGCCGGGGGCGCCGTCACGGCAGCCCATCCACGAGCGGCACACCGCCTGCAGCAGGCTGCATGCGCTGGTGGATCCAGAGTCGGAGAGCGCCGCCGCGATCAAGGCCCTGCTGCGCATCGGCGAGCCGCGGCCCGGCCCTGCCGCGCTGCCGCAGCTGGGCGCCGGCGCGACAGAGTATGCGCGGCGGCATGGGGAGAGCATCCGCGACCTGGTGGCCCGCAAGCGCCAGATCTTCCTGGCGCAGATGAGCCTGGACACAAAGCACAGCGAGATCGCCAAGCTGGAGCAGCGCAGTAGGCAGTGGGAGGAGGCACTGGCGGTGAGCTGCGGCTGCTGCCCCAACACATGGCCGTGCCTGCGCCTGTGCCTGTGCCTGCTGCACTTCCGTGCGCAACCCCACCCTGCTCCCAAACACCATAACCTCCCTGCCTCCTGCCTACCATGTCTGCCTGACCCAACTGCTGCTGACCCGCCATCACCTGCTGCCTCTGCGTGCAGGCCTCGGAGGCGGCCCTGGATGCAGACTCCCAGCGGTTTGAGGAGTACCTGAAGGAGAACGACGCCAAGCTGCAGGAGGCGCTGCGGCGGGCCGAGGCGGAGGCGCGGGCGCGCGCCGAGAAGGCGGCAGAGGCCAAGCGCCTGGCCGCCGCCATCGCCGCCCTCCGCTCCGAGATGGGCAAGATGGAGGAGCAGCTGGAGGAGTGCAAGACGTGGGCGGCAGGGGCTGTGGGCTGGGGTGTCTGCATGGGCGGGTGTGGTGAGGGTGGTGGGTGAAGTGGAGCGGGCACAGCGGCAGCGATCGTGGCAAATCCTACAGTGCAATGCAGGCTGCCGGTCGTGCAGGCACCATCCCTGCTGTTCTGAAGCCGATCGCTCCTCTGCTGCCTTTCCCTTGCCCTTGGCTGTCTTTGTGGCAGCCTCAAGGCCTTCCTGGACAGCGTGACTCCCCAGGAGTGGTTTGAAGGGCTGGCGGCGCAACGGGACAGCCAGAAGGCGGCGCTGCGGGCGGCCTGGCAGGAGCAGTGCGACGCCATCGCGGCGCGCAAGCGGGAGGCGGCGGCGGCGCAGCAGCGTGCGGAGAACGACATGCAGTGGGCGCGCACGCAGCAGCAGTTTGAGCGGGCGGAGCGGGCGCAGCGCGAGGCGGCGGCGGCGCTGCGCGAGGCGCTGGCGGAGCAGGTGGGGGGACCCGCCACCCCGACGCCACAAGCTGCTGCTGCCCATTACTCGATTGCGTTGAATGCAAAGGGTGGTAAAGGGGTGTGGTGGGTGGCTGCTGCTGCCCAGCTACCCAACTCCCAGCCCTGCCTGACCGGCTAGTGCCCCTGCCGCACCTGCCCCCTCCCCTGGCTGCTTGCATGCAGGACCCTCCCGAGCCGGACTACGGCGTGCTGGATGTGGAGGAGGAGGGCCTGCACTTCCGGGACCCCTCCCAGCTGCTGGCGGTGTTCAGCCAGCTGCAGGGCTCCAACATGTTCCAGATCCAGACCGCCCAGGACGCAGAGTCGGCGGTGGAGGCGGCGCGCGCAGACCACGCCGCCACCACAGCCGCCCTGGACGCCGACGCCGCCGGGCTGCGGCGCCAGGTGGCGGAGCTGGAGGCGGGGGTGGCTGCCAGCCGGGAGCGGTCGGCCAGACTGCAGGCCGCCGCGCGGCAGAGCTTGGAGGGCGGCGGCGGCGGGGTGCTGGGCAGGGAGAGCAGCGGCGGCAGCGTCGCCGGGGCCGGCGGCGCCGGCTCCGCCAGTGGAGGCGGCGGCGGCAGCCACCCACAGGTGCAGCCGCTGGGGCTCGGCCTGGGCCCGCTGTCGGAGGCGGTGGCGGCGGCGTACGAGGCGGCTGGGTTTGCGCGGGACGCCAGCGTCACGCCGCTGCAGATGCTGCAGAAGCTGGAGGGGCGGCTGGAGGAGTGGCTCGCGGCGCTGGGCCCGCCCGGCGGGCCGGTGGCGCTGCTGGCTGAGCAGGTGGAGCGAGGGCGGGAGAAGGAGCGGCGGCAGGCGGCGCGCGCAGACAAGCTGGCGGCGCGGCAGGCTGAGCATGTGAGCGCTGGGGGCGGGCAGCAGGCGGCGGCATGGCACGGCCTGGCTGCCGACCATGCCTACCAGCCGCAGGCTGCCCTCCCAGTGTAGCGCTGTGCTCTGCGCCCTGCTGTCAGGGCCTCCTGGCCCACCCCCCTCGCCTGCTCATCGCCGCCACGGCTGGGCTGCAGGAGTCGCGCGTGGCGCGCGTGCTGGCGCGCGCCGCGGCCCCCAAGTTCCAGAAGAGCGGCAAGCCGGCGATGACGCGCAGCGTGCTGCAGCGCGAGGAGCGGGGCGGCGGCGGCGAGCGGGACGACGACGCGGAGGAGGAGCTGCGCGCCTTTCTGGCGCTGGTGGATGAGGCCATCCCTGCCGACCAGTGAGGAGATGGCGCTGGCAAGGAGGCTTGACGCGGGGCGGGAGGCTCCTGCTGCAGCTGGCCAATCCATCCCTAGTTGAGGGCAGGTAGTTACGAGTTTCTAGATGAAATCAGAGGAACGGGAACTAGCAGAGCGGGAATGGAAAAGAGCAGAGAGGGGGAGAGCAGGAGGGAGAGCAGAGCGGCGGCGCAGAGTCAGTAGGCGTCAACAGTGGGTCAGGCGGAGAGTGGCAGCAGGGGTATGCGGTGGCTGCTGGCGCAGCGTCACAGCCGTCAGACGTAGTCCCGCCAGCGGTGGCCGCAGGAGCAGCAGGAGAAGTAGAGCGTCATGCCCTCCTCCGTGCTGGAGGTGAAGAAGACGGCCTCGTTGTTGGCGCACTCTGGGCAGCGCACGTCGCGGGTGCGCGGCAGCGTGGGGTCCGACCGCACATCCTGCGACAGAGCAAGAGCAGCGCTGTTGATGCTTGCTGAAGCAGGCAAGCCCTAGCTGGCGTTAGGAAGCTGCTTAGACAGGCAGGCAGAGGCGGGTGCGTCGCGACGGGCGGCGGCGGCGGGCGCTTGGCGCACCTGCAGCACCACCGACTTCTCCCGCGACGTGTGCTGCACCTCGTTGCGGTACACGCACCACTCCTTGGGGTCCGCGTCCTCCTGGTATTGGCAGGAGCGGCAAAAGTAGACGAGCTTCTTGCGCTCCTTGTCCTCGCGAGGGTACAGCAGGTCGTTGCTCTCTGGGCAGAATCGCAGCACGGGTCCGACCCCAGTCATGCTGCAGCCCGTCGATCAGGCTGCGGCTTGGGGGATGGGGGTGCAAGGTGGGGGAGGACGAGGGGCTGCAGGCCTGGCTGGCACCTCAGATCGGAAGGGGAGACACTGGCAGGGGTGATGGCGTGGTGGCGAGCCTTTCACCGCCGTCTTGAACCCGCAGCACGCAGCAGCATGGAATTTCCGGGCCTTCGCATGCCTTGCCGCGGCAGTTGCTATATTGAGGCCATCCCTGGTCACCATCACTTGCAAATTCAGGGCTCGCAGCGCACCCAGGCAGCCGGAAACAGCACAGCTTGGGCGCCACCATGCCCAAGGTCTCCAAAAAGGCCAGCAAGCAGGATGACATCCTGCAGCAGGCGGCCCCCATGACGGGCATAGAGGCGGGCATGGAGGAAGGGGAGCAGCAGCATGCAGCGGGCCCGGCGGCGGGGCCAGAGCAGGGGCTGCCCAAGCCCAAATTCGCGCCTCTGACCTCCTACGAGCTGAACGGCAAGAAGATAGAGTTCCGGCGAGTGCCGGTGCCGCAGCACCGCATGACGCCGCTGAAGAACAGCTGGCTGGCGCTCTACAAGCCAGTGACCGAGAACCTGAAGCTGGACATGCGGATGAATCTGAAGACGCGAAAGGTGGGGGCGCTGGGAGCCGGCGGCCGGCGGCGCCGGCGGGCCGGGGCGCAAGTTTTGGCAAGCACACCTGCTGCTGCATTGCCAGCTGCAGCCCTGAGTGCAGGTCACGACCCGCACCGGCATGCATCCACAATTTCCCGATCACTGCACCGCTGCAGGTGGAGGTCAAGACGACGCCCGAGACGCCCGACGCCGGCAACCTGCAGCGCGCCGCCGACTTCATCCACGCCTACATCCTGGGCTTTGAGGTCCAGGTGAGCTCGCCCTGCGCTGCGCTGCACGTGCACGCAGCGCTGCGCAATCACAGCCGCGCGGCTGGACCTCCACAGCCAGCCGTTGCAGATGCGCCAGGCTTGGGCTGGGCCGCCAGCGGTGCCGCTGCCGGCGGAGCCTCGTCGCCTCGCCGTGCTCATGCCGTGCTGTGTGCTTGGCTGTGTGGCTCATGCCGTGCTGCGCGTGTGCAGGACGCCATCGCGCTGCTGCGCCTGGACGACCTGTACATCGAGTGCTTCGAGGTCAAGGATGTCAAGACGCTGCGCGGGGAGCACCTGGCGCGCTGCATCGGACGCATGGCGGGTGCGCCTCGGCGGGCGGGCCCGCCGCGGCGGCGCTCGTGGCGTGGCAGCGTGGCCGGCGGCGCTGTCCTGCCGCCGGCGGCCTCGGCGGCTGCCGCTGCGTTCCACTAGTAGCCATTGCGGGGCCATTGCGGGGCGGGCACAGCTTGCTCCGTCCTCCCATGCCGGTCGCCAGCTCCCTTCCCTCCCTTCCCTTCCCTCACACCTCCCCTGCCCCGCCGCCTCCCCCGGCCTGCTCTCCACCCCACCGCAGGCAGGAACGGCAAGACCAAGTTCACAATAGAGAACGCCACGCGCACGCGCATCGTGCTGGCCGACACGCGCATCCACATCCTGGGGTCCTTCCAAAACATCCGCGCCGCGCGCGACTCCATCTGCGCCCTCATCCTGGGCTCCCCCGCCGGCAAGGTCTACTCCAAGCTGCACTCGGTCACCGCGCGGCTCAGCCAGAGCTACTAGCCCCGCCCCCGGCGGGCGTGCGTCCGGCCTGGCCAGCGCTGCTGGGCCGGCTGTGCCTATGTGTGTAGCGCAGCGGGGCGAGCTGGGGCCTGGCCCGGCAGCGGCTGACCTGAGGCGCCCCTTGCCCGGCTGCCCTGCCCATGACGCCGGCCCAACGGACGCCTTCTGTATTGCAATGCCCTGTTTGCTTGTGCTCGGGCTCCCTTTCTGCTCCCTCTCCACTTTCTTTCAATACTTCCACCTTCCCATCTGACGTCCGTCATTTGTGTGTAACAAGGCACAATCTGAATCAGTGCTGATCACGGCAGCGGCTAGTGTGTGAGGCAGGCAAGTAGTTTGGCAGTGGGAACACAATGCTAGGGAATAGCCGATGAACTCAAGTGCAGAACGAGCGACATAAAAAGAAAGCAAGAGAGCCGGGCAGTAGGAGCCGTGGCCGCGGCCTGGGGCTTAGCCAAGCAGCGGCTCGCTGCGCCTCTCCAGCTCAGCCAACACCAGCGCCTCCAGCCGCTGCACCAGGCCGCCACGCTCAAAGCGGCGCACCCGCTGCAGCGGCCGGCTGGCGCCGGTGCCGTCTGCGTCTGCGTCTGCTGCTGCTGAGGCTGCGCTTCCACCCTCCGGGAACACGCCCGCCTCGTCCACGGGCAGCAGCAGGCGGCTGGTGCTGGTGATGAAGCAGCCGTCCCAGGCCTCCAGGTCAGCCAGCCGCGGCGGCTCCAGCACCACTGCACCGCCGGGCATCGCATCAGGCCGGGGCTGGTTAGGGTGAGGGGTGCTTGCAGCGGTGCGCACCACGCACAGCCCTTGACAGCCCTTTCCCGAGCCCCACTGCCACCGCCTTCCTCCTCCCCAACAGCGCAGCCGCCCACCTGGGATGCCCTCCCGCCGCGCCACCGCCAGCACCACCTCCCGCACCGTGCCTGCCAGGATGCCCTCCCCAGCGGTGTGCACTGCGCCGCGCGCCACCGCAAAGAAGTTGGAAGAGAGGCCCTCCAGCAGGGCGCCGCCCTCCCCAACCAGCAGCACCTGCACGCAAGCAGGCAGGCAGCAGGGCAGGGTGCGAGGGCAGGTGCGGGGAGGGGCACGGCGGGCAGGAGAGCATGACATGGGGGTATGTAGGGTGCGCACCAATGAGCACCACAAACCACTGCAGCGAGGAGCCCCGCACCCATGAGAAGGCCTGACCGCACCCACCTCCTCCACGCCGGGCGGCAGGCCATGCAGCAGGCCCCTGCGCTGCCGCACCCACTCGCTGTCCTTGGCCTCCGCATTGTGGCGGGGCGCGCCCCGCATCACCACCCGTACCGGCGGCGCGGGGCGCGGCGGCAGCGCGCTGACGTGCACCAGCACATCAAACGCGCCCTCCTCGCCTGCGCCGCCAGCTGGGCTGGCAGCGGCGCTGCTGCCGTGATTGCCGGCACCAGCGCCGGCGACCGGCGGCGCTGCCTCCTGCTGCCCGTCCTGCGCCTGGCAGGCCTGCCAGGTCACCAGGACGGTCAGCCGGACCTCGCCGTCTGCGTCCCCAGACGCGGCGCGGTAGCCCCGAACCGCGGCCTGCATGGCAGCCAGCACGCGCGGCCGCAGGCGCGCCACGTCGGCCGCCGCTGCCGCGGCAGCGGGTGCTGACGCGGCGCCTGCCGCCGCCTCCATCATGAGGCCGGCGCTGGTGGCCAGGCGCTGGATGTGGAAGCTCAGTTCCAGCACCGAGCTGCCGCCCACGGTGCGGGCCGTCGTGTAGGCGCCTGCGGGCGCGGCGGGGAGGCGAGCGGGCGGGCTGGGTGGGGCGGCTCGCCGGCAGGGTGATGGCGCCTCGCTGGCGGGGTCCAGTGAGAGAGGTTGCCTGAATGTGCATGGGCGCCATAAGCATTGCGCATTGCCCAGCCCCGCGCACCTCGTGGCGCGGCCTCCAGCCACGGCCCCGAGGCCTGCTCGCATGGCCGGCCCTTCCCGTTCTCCACCAAGAAAAACATGGGCCGCTGCTGCTCCTGCTGCTGCTGCTGTTGCTGTTGGACAGTCGGCCGCCTGTGTGGCACCTGAACTTCTGGCAGCTGCCGCTGGCTTCGATTATTCTGCTGCTGCTGCTGCTGCTGCCGCCACGGACTGGTCTCCACGGCTGGCGGCGCCACTGGGGCGCTGGCGGGAGCCTCCGCCCGGGTGGTGCGGCGGCGCTGTCGCTGCCTGCGCGCCTCCGATCCCACCAGATGAATGGTTCTAAGAGGTGCTGACAGGCTGATGATTGCGGGTTCTGGCTTGACCAGGCTGCCAGGAGGTCGCAAACGCATGGGGAGCAGCGGCAGCGAGGGGCGGCCGTGCACCCTGGCCACCAATGTAGGCTTGAGTTGGCTGGCGACTGGTGATGCGGTGCAGAATGGGGGAGCACGGTGCATGGACTTCCCTTCAAGGCCTGCTGCGCGTGGCACAGCAGGGCGCTATAGGCGATGCGGCCCGGGCGCTCTGTAGCATTGAGCAGCCAGCATGAGCGAGTCCGGGGCAGCAGCGCCCGAGGAGGGGGGAGGGAGCCCTAGGTGAGCGCGGTGTGGCAGAGCCCTGGTGCTCACACAGCGATCCTGACGCGCCATGCGCTGCTGCAGGCCGACCAGTGCCAAACTGTTCCTGGGAGGACTGAGCTGGGACACCACAGAAGGTGCGAGTTCGCTGGCGAGGCCGAGCCGCTACCAGAGCCTGCTGGGCCTCAAACCTTGCTCCTCCCGCTCCCTGCAGAAAAGCTTCGCGACCACTTCTCCAAGTATGGTTCTATAGTCGAGGCGGTGAGTGCTGGGCCGGCCATCCGCCAGGATCGCCCAGTGCGCCAGCCCCAGCGCGCCAACTGGGCCTCTGTCGCCTTGCAGGTCGTGATGCGCGACCGTCAGACGGGCAGGCCACGTGGATTTGGATTCGTGACGTTCACCGAGCCAGCAGCAGCAGACGCGGTGGTGGAGGATGTCCATGTGATTGACGGGCGGCAGGTGCGCCGCCGCGGCCCCTCGCGCGCCCCTCGCAACGCCAGCTTGAGCCAGTTTGAGCTGTGGCAATGCTGGGGCGTTGCCCTGGTCGGCCCACCCGCCGCTGCTCTGCTCCCCTGGTGCAGATTGATGCCAAGAAGTCGGTGCCGCAGGAGATGAAGCCCAAGGCGCGCAAGGTGTTTGTGGGCGGCCTCTCGCCAGACACCACAGAAGGTGCGCGGTCGGCGCTGGTCCCCAGCGCCCCTCACCCCAGGGGCACGCCGCGGGTCGCAGCAGCCCGGGGAGGCCATCCGCGCCGCTCCCTCGATCACACGCCGCTCCGCCGCCGCGCCGCCGCCAACCGACGCGCTGCTGGCGGCCCCAAACTGGCACGCGCCGCCTCACCTGCCCGTGCGCCCGCCCCCCTCCTCCCTCTGCGCTGCAGACCAGTTCCGGGAGTACTTTAGCCAGTTTGGAGAGGTGGTGGAGGCTCAGATAATGCAGGACCACATGAGCGGGCGCTCGCGCGGCTTTGGGTGCGCGCTGCGCCGCCCGCACGCTGCTCTGGGCACCCAGCACGCGGCTGTGGGTTCCAGCCCGCGGCATGGCGCCTGTGGCCAGCCGCCGTGCTGCATTGGGCTGCGCGCGGGAGGCGGCAGCACCCACAGACGCCGCTGCCGTGCTGCGGTCGCCGGCGCCCGGATGCGGTGCTGCCATGGGTTGTTGCGTTTCGGGGTGGCAGGGGATGGGAGGCAAGTGGAGGGCCCCCCAGCACTGGCCCGCCGTGTAGTGCCCTCGCCCCGTTGAATCCAATCAGCCGCCAGTTTTCTCCATCTGTTGCACGCCCGCCGGCTCATTCTGGCCGCAGGTTTGTGACGTTTGCCGAGGATGCGAGCGCCGAGAGCGTGTTTGCTGCCGGCACGATGCACGACCTGGGCGGTAAGAAGGTGGAGGTGAAGCCGGCCACGCCAAAGGGCTCCGGCTCCCTCTCCCGGCCGTCTGGCAGCGGCGGCGGCAGCGGCGCGCGGCCCGGCGGCGGCGGCGGCGGCGGCAGGCAGATGCCGCCGTTTGCAGGCGGCGGCGGCCCCGCGCTGTTTGGCGGCCAGCCAGCGCCCGCTCCCTACGGAGCCAGCGGGTACGGCATGTATGGCTTTCCACCCCACGGTGAGCCTGGCTGCCCGCGCCGCCTCTCCTGCATCCCCACAGCGCCGGCGCCGCTCCTGCGCCTGCTCCCCGCCTCTCTGCGCTGCGCCGTGCTTGTGTGCGCTGCCTGGTTCTGTGTTGGCTGTGCCCTGCCCACTCCTGCCGCCCCCGCCTGCCTGCCTGGCGCAGGCATGATGGGCCCCGGCAGCTACGGCGGCATGGGGATGCCGTATGGCGGCATGGGCGGCATGGGCGGCGGCGGCATGGGCAGCGGCAGCATGGCCTCGCCTTACATGATGATGGGCCAGATGGGGGCCTACCCCCCCGGAGCAGCAGCCTTTGGCTTCCCCGCCGGCGGCGGCATGGCGCCCTTCTCGCCGTCTGCCGGCGCTGGCCAGGCCTCGCCCTTCTCGCAGCAGGGAGGCGGCCAGCAGCAGCAGCAGCACCAGCACCAGCACCACCCGCAGCACCCCTACCCGCCGCGGTGAGCATGCTGGGCTGCTGCCTGCCGCCGCCGCGCTGCGATGCCCGCCACGCTGCCGCCGCCGCCGCCGCCGCCTGCCTGCGGAGGGAGGGGAGCGCAAGTCGATGCCGGGGCCTACCGCCGCCGGCACAACTGCTGCATGCTGCTGGCCTGCGCTGTCTTGTGGCCCACCCCAAGCCCACTGCGCTGCCGCCTCTGCGGCCAAGGATGCACGCTGCCGCTGCCATTGCCGCCGCCGCCGCTGCGGCCCTGTGCTGGCACCGGCCGGGGCTTTTCTGGCACCGGGCTGGGCTGTGCTGCCCCCAGCCTGAGCTGCGCTGCTGGCACCAGCCTGGGCTGCGCTGGCACCAGCCTGGGCTGAGCTGGCACCTGCCCGTGCTGCATGGCGGCCTGTGCGCAGGCCCCGCTCATAGCGGTGGCGCAGCCCCGCCGGCCGGCGGGCGGCCCCTGCAGCCGAGGTAGCCCCTGTCGGCTGCCTGCATCGCGCGCCGCCGCCGCCGCCGCCGCCGCCTGCACACGCCTTGTTTCAAGTCTTAGGTCTTTGGTGCATGTGCATGGCTGCCGCATGTTGCACGCGCGCCCAGCCCTCCCGTCCGCCTCCGCACTTTCCTCCCTGAGCCCTGCCGGCCCGCTGCGTGCGCTGCAGGCCGCTGCGCATGATGAGCCGCAACGGCAGCCGCGGTACCGCCAAGGTCGACTCCGCCAGTTCTCTGGAGCACAGCGCGGGGGTGCCGCCCTCGGGGCAGCACCCGCACCCGCTCCCGCACCCGCACCAGCAGCAGCAGCAGCAGCAGCAGGTGGCCGCGGTGCAGGAGCAGCTGGCTAAGACGTCGCTGGCCGAGTGACGCAGCCGCGGCTGGCGCGCGCTCAGCCGGCCCCGCCAGGCCGCTGCGGCGCCGCCCTCTGCTCGTGCCCCGCCGGGAGCAGCGCGGCCTGAGCGCCGCCGAGTATGATAGCTGCTAGCCTATAGCCCCGGGCAGCCGGCCCGCCGACGCGCGAGTGCGGGGCGGCCGGCTGCCAGCGAGCCGCGCCCCCGGCCAGCCCCTCCATACCACCACCACCACCGCACTGCTCCCCTGCCCGCTCCCCTCTCCCCTGCGCTCCCTGTACTATGGATGGCTGCGGGTACTATGGCGGCAGGGCGCCGCGCCGCGCCTTGCGGCGCACCGCCCTGCTCCGACCCCTGCCCGGCGCCCACCCACGCATTCTTTCTTTCTGTCCCTTCCCTCCCCCTTCTGCTCTGATCTCCCGCTCACGGCCGCGGGCGGCGGCCGCACTCTGCATGCCGCCGCCGCCGCCCGCCGGCCGGGCCCCTGCCCTCCGCCCTTAGCCGCCGCTCGATGCAGCGCGGCTCGCGGCGCGGCCGCCCCTCCCGCTCCCTCTCCCCCTCTTTCCTGCCCCCTCCCGTCAGGGAGGCACGCTACAAACCCTCCCGAGCAGCGCAGTGGCAATGATTGAGCGCCCGCCTGCTTCGACGCACGCTGCCACCCTCCCCGCCCCTCCAAACCCAATCCCAGCCCCTGAGCATTTGCCCGCACTGAATCCTCCGCCCCAGCCCCCACGCCGCCGCGGCGCCGAGGACGGCCGCCCCGACGCCGATCAGCGCAGCAGCCGGCTTGTGCGCCTGCTCCCAGCCGCCCCCGGCCGCCGCCTCCCGCCGCCTCCCCTCCGCCTCTCCCCTTAAAGCAGCACAAGCATGCTGTGTGTACCCCAGCCCCTGCCTCGATTCTTCTCCTTCCCTTTCATGTATGTTTTGTCTTTGTTCTCTTGTTCCTCTCTGCGCACGCGCCCCCCACACCTTGTGGCGGGGCCGCGCCCTCTGCCTTGTCCCCCGCTCCCGTCTCCAGCCGCCAGCCCCCACCCGGCGCATGCGGCGCTGGCCGCGAATCGCTCCCACACACACATCTGTCCCAACCGTCCGCACCCCACCCCACCCCATGTAATCCCAGCACTTGGATCAGCCCGCTAGTGGCATGCCTGTGTGGCCGCCGCCCATCGTGGGAGGCTCTCCCTCCCTTCTTGAGGGATCGGTTGCAGGTGAGGCGGTATCATCTATGATCAAACGTTCATACATGCAGCGCTGAGCAGGGCAGAAAATTGGGGGCGCAGGAGGGTCCAGGGGCGAAAAAACTGCTCAAGCAGTGCAGAGGTCGCACTCAGAAGGACGCGGCGGGCGGCCGCGGGCGCCCCCTCCCCAGGCCAGCGCCGCCGCTTGCTGCAGGAGCAAGGCGGCGCTGCGCCCGCCAGGCAGCTCTGCCCAGCTGGGTGCGCCTCCCAAGCCCGGTGCGCTGCCGCCGGCGCCGCCGCCGCTGGCACGGGCTGGTGCAGAGCGGGCCGAGGGTCTGGCGCACCCTGGCGGGGGTCAGCACTGGGGGCTGCCGCACATTGCACACTGAAGGTAGGTGACCTCTGGCCCCTCGTGACGGTAGGTGCACACCTGGCAGGACCAGGGGGCGCCCGGCCCGGCAGGCCCAGCCTGCGCCGCCGCTGCCGCCGCCGCGAATGCCGCCTGCGGCTGCGGCTGCGGCTGCGGCTGCGGCGCCGGCGCCACGCGCGGCGGCGCGGCTGGCATGGGGAAGCGAGCCGCCGGGGAGGCGGCCAGGGCGGGCGCCGCTGCAGGGGGCCGCACCGGCGCGCCGGGGTTGAATGCGGCGGCGCCAGGCGACAGGCCGGCGCCGGGCAAGGGGGCTGCAGCCCCTGGGGGGCGGTACGCTGGGCGGAAGGCGGGGCGGTATGCTGCGGGACGGGGCGGTACCGCCTGCGGCGCCGCCGTGGCTGTCAGCTCCTGAAGCATCTCTGCCACGCTGGCAAAGCCGCCAAGCGCGCCGCCCAGCTGCTGCTGCTGCGGCTGCTGCTGCTGCTGAAGCTGCAGCTGCGGTGCCTGCTGCTGCAGCTGCTGCATCGCAGGGCTTGGCAGCGGCGCCGCCGCCGGCGCTGGCGCTGCTGCTGCCGGGAATGGGGCGGGGACCCCAAACAAGTGCGGCAGCAGCTGGGATGGCTGAGGAGGGGGTAGCTGCTGTGCTGCCGGCGCGGCAAGGCCAGCCGATGGCTGCATATGCCTGAGGGGAGGCGTGGTGGGGCCCGGCAGCGGCCCCAGCGGGCTGTTGCCGCTGCTGGCACCTGCCATCCCCGGCTGCTGCATGTGCGGCGGCAGCGCCCGAAGGTGTGGCGGCGGAGCCTGCAGCTGCTGGGGCGGCGCAGCGGAAGCAAGCTGTGCGGGCGGCGGCAGCGGCCGAGCTGCGGCGGGCAGCTGGGGTGGCAGAAACGGCGCGGCCGCGGTGCTCGGCCCTGCCGAGGCTGGCAGCATAGCCCTGGGGGGCTGCTGGGCAGGCGGCGCGTGTGCCTGGGGCGCAGCGGGGGCTGCGGTTGCCGCGGGAGGCTGCGGGGCGGCGGCGGCGGCCGGGGCGGCGAGGGCCGGCGGCTGGCTGGCGAGTGCGGCCGCGGGCGCGGCTGCGGGGGCTGCGGGAGCGCTGCTGGCGCTGCTGCTCCTGCCATCTGCTTCCGACGGTGCTGCTGCAGCGCTGCTGGCCCTGCTGGTTGTGGTGCTGTATGGCTGAGGCATGGGCACCCGGCTGCCGTTTGGGAACATGACGCCATTGGCGGCTGCTGCAGCTGCTGGGCCTGCTGGGGCTGCTGGGCCTGCTGGGGCTGCTGGGGCTGCTGGGGCTGCGGGCGCAGCTGCGGCTGCTGGCGCCTGGAAGCCGGGCGGCGGCGGCGGCGGCGGGGCGGGCGTGGGCGCCACTCCGGGGAAGCCCGGAGGCGCTGCCTTCTGTGGCGGCGCCTGCGCCTGCTGCCCCTGCTGCGCCTGCTGCTGCGGCTGCTGCTGCCGCCAGTGCGGCGGGGAGGTGGGTGCCGCTGCCGGGGGCCCGGCCTCCTGCTGCGTCGCCTTTGGGAGCATGGAGTGGCGAGGCTGCTGCGCAGCGCCCTCACGCACATAGTAAGGGAAGCGTCGGATGGCCTGCGGGGGCGGCAGCGGGCACAGCGGGCAGTGCAGGGCCCTGAGATGGGGACAGTCAGGGAGAGCAGGAGGCAAGCGGAGCACCCGGGACTGCTGCCCCATTGCCGTGTGTGCTGGAAGCGGCGGGCGGGAGGCAGCCACAGGCCGCACGCATCACTGCCCACGGCAGTCGAGAGATGGCATGCGCGCCCCGGCTGCCGCGCCACCCAGCCAGCCTCCTGCTGCAAGCCCGGCCGCGCGCTCGCCTCCCGCCACTCAGCCCGCTCCTTGCCGGCAGCGGCCTCACCTCTGCCGGGCTCGAGGGCTGCACATCCGACAGCGAGCGGTGCAGGCCCGCCAGCGGCTCCTGACCCGCCTGCGCACCAGCAGCGGCGCAGGGGCCGGAGGGGTGGCAGGGGAGGCGAGGCGGGGCGGTGGGGGCACTGGAGGGGTCAGCTGCTGCGCCCAGTGCGCCGCAGTTGAGAAGACAGAAAGAGCAGGCAAGAGCTGGGTCCATTCATCTCTGCCAGCAGCCCCCCACCTTGGCAGCCTGAACCCGCTCCCTCGCATCGCCTACGTCCAGCGCCGCATCGGACAGAGCCTGCAGGGGGCAGGGCAGGAAAGGGGCGCAAGGGGCGCTTGCTGTGGATGGCCCACGGCCCGGTACTGCCAGGCAGCTGCAGCCGGCCACACCCGGCAGCCGCCAGGCAGCTGCCGCCACAGGCTGCAAGCGCTGCCACCGCAGGCTGGCGGGAGGCGCCTGCCTGCCTGCCTGCCTGCGGCCCAGCCACACACGCACCGCATAGTGCTGCTGCAGGTCGGGCGGGGCCCACAGCGGCAGCGCCAGGCAATGGCACAGAACGTCCAGTGCTTCGCGGTCGCCCCCCAGGCTGGCCCCAGCCGCCACCACCTCTGCATGCCCATGAGTGAGACAGCAGCGGGCGGGTGGATGGGCGGGTGGTTGGGTGCATGGGGCAGCGCAGCTTGGCGAGTTGAGAAGCAGCGAGGATCAAGGGAGTTGAGAAGGCAGGTGCCAAAGGCGGCGCCAAATCGCGGCGACCAGGGCAGCCGGCGCCGTGCACAGGAGGCGGCGGCAGCGCCAGAGGCCCCGCCCACCTCCGGTGATCTGCCGCACCCACTGGTCTTCTCGTTCCGCCGCAAGCAGGCTGACCAGCGCCTTGATCACGCGCTGCCCGCCCTGCTCGCTCTTCGCCTGCGGCAGCAAGGATAGGGCAAAGCAGGGGTAGCAAGGGTAGGGGCAAGCAAGGGCAGGGCAGGGTGGGGCAAAAGGGAGGCGGTCAGCACGGGCGGGGCCGGCATGCATCGGCTGCCACCTGCGCCCACAGCGGCAGCGGCAGGAGCATGGCCGACTCGGCTGCTCAGCCCTGCTGCGCTGCGTGCCCGCGTCGCCTTTTTGCCCTCCCCCGGACGCACCGCCATCTGCCCAAAGTGCCCTTGAAGTGCCTTGGCCATGTAGCAGCACAGGTCTCGCACCATCTCCCGGCAGCGCAGGTCTGCGGCCTGCGCCGGGCACAGCAGGCAGGCGGCGGGCAGGCGGGCAGGCAGGCAGGGTAAGGCGGGCAGGCAAAGGTGGGCATGTGCCGGCAGCGCGCCGAGGCGCACAGCAGGCGCCGTGTGCAAGGCAGCGCGAGGCCGGTTTCAGCTGCCTGGGGCAGCGCCCGATCAGGGCTGCCACCCCAGCAGCAGCGGTGGCGTTGTCTCGCCCCCTCCCTTTCCCCGCCGTGGTTCTCAAACACCACCGCACCCCCCGGACACCCACCACCACCCACCACCACCAATACCACCACCACCACCACCACCACACGCTCCCACCTTGAGCTGCGTCATCAGCTCCAGCGTGCGGCTGCCGCTGCGGGCCTGGCAGATGTAGTGGGCGTTAATGGCCAGCTGGTAGCCCATCTGCGGGGCAGGCGCAGGGGGCGCAGGGTGTGTGTGTGTGGGGGGGGGGGTTAGGGGGGGGGAGTGCTCGGCAACGATGGGAAAATTGTCTGGGCCAAAGGGGCGCAGGCACCAACCGGGTCGCAAGCTCGGAAGGCGAAAGGTGTGGCTTGGTACAAACAAAGTCGGCTCACGCAGTAAGGGCTTCCCTGGTCCCACCACCCATGCCCACACCCCACAGTCGAGTGTAGCCCCCGCCCGCCCCACCCCCACACCCCCACACACCTTGAATGCGTCCAGGTGCGGCAGCGCCCCCTGCATCATCCCCACCAGGGCGGGGCCCATGTGCTGGTGGCGGGCCCACTGCAGGGCGGGGAGGCGGGCAGGGTGGGGTGAGGCCCCACAGGGAGTTGCAGAGAAGCAGAGACAATGCCCCCCTTCATGACCGCAAAGCCCCCTTTTCAAAGCAGCAGAGCAGACCAGCACACGGCATGACCGGGGCAAGGAGGCGGGCTCACCGAGATGAGGGCGCGGCTGTGGTGCAGCAGCTGGGCGCACATCCGGGCCAGCGCCTCGGCGGCCTTGGGGGAGGCGGGGCCGCCCTCGGTGGCCACCTGCGCCTGCAGGCGGCGGCAGGGGGGAGGGCACACAGCACGCGGCTTGCGGCTCCCGTTTGCGGCAGGACCTGCAATGGCATTCTGCCCGGGAGACAGCTGCACTGGTGCCCCGCAGGTGCCGCTCACGGCCACCCATGGCGCCGGCGCTGTGCGGCCGATTCCTGCGCCCCCGCGCCCCAGCCCGCCCAGCAGGCCCGCCCCCCAGCCATCTCACCAGCCGGTCCACCAGCTGCGTGACAAACAGGGAGCCGTCCTTGGAGCCGCTCCACTCCACCACCATCGGGGTTGCCTGCCCCCGGGCCGTAGCGCAGCATGAATGATGTAGGTGAGGCGCATGGCGGCGCAGGCAGCACGCGGCAGGCAGCGCATGCACAGCGCGCGCACGCTGCCGCCTGCTGCAGGATTCTCTCAGGCAGAAGGGCGTGCTGGTAAAGCGCTGGTACTGCCACATGTACCGCCGGCTGTACCGCACCTGCTCCGCGATGTACACAGTTTCCATCGGCGACCCCAGCTTCACCAGCTTCACCAGCACGTACACGCCCCGGCTGCAGGAGGGGGCAGCCCCACACAGAGCGGGCACAGGCGCGGCAGGGTGGGACAGTGAGGGCAGGCTTGCGGGGGCAGCGGTGGAGGCGAGGCGAGCAGCATGGCGCGGAATGCAGGCGCCAGCTCATGAACCGTCCCCACCGCCGCAGCCACCACCACATGCCCTGCGCTGCGCCTCACTCGCTGGTGGCCAGCTGGTGCATGGCTGGGGTCAGCGCCTTGAGCAGCTCCGAGTAGGCGCGCAGCGCGGTGCAGGCACACCCCGGCGGCAGGCTGGCAAAGTCCTCGGCAGGCAACGCCTTCTGCGGGCGGCGGGGTTGGGGGTTTGGGCTTGCCGGTCGGCCAGGCCGCCAGCACGCGCCGCGAGCGAACTGCAGCCACGCAGCAGCTGGATGCCCACAGCCGCCGCGCTGCCGCGTGCTGCCCGTCCTCGCCCCTCTCACTGCGCCGCATGCCGGGGCGCATGGCCCGGCGCACCAGCGTGGCGGCACGCACCTGCTTGGCGAGGGTGTATGCCTCCACCCGGACCTTGTGCGCCGCCTCCAGCAGGTTTTGTACCGCATAGTTTCCGTGGAAGTCGAGGGCTACCCTCTCGATGTGCCCGCCAGCTGCGCACACGTGATCATGTGGTCAGGGGAGGGCCAGCAGGGTGCAGGTGGCGGTGAGGCGTGCTGGGAAGCGTTGTAGGGCTTGCGGCAGCGTCCAAGGAGGCGGGCAGGAGCGGGGCGCGGGCGCGCAGCGCCGCTGCGTGCGCGACGCTCGTCGGGCCGCACGCAGCATAGCGCCGCGCCTCCCGGCACAGGCAGGCACACACACACAAGCATGCAATGCATGTGTACAGTGCCCAGCGCAGCCAACCTGTGAGCATGTGTATGACCCTCATGAGGCGCTCGTGCCCCTGCGCCTTGAGCGCTCGCCTGATGCCCTCCGGGGTGCCGCAGATGCCGCCCTGCATGCAGGCGGGCGGCGGGTGCAGCCGGTCGGGAAGTCAGGAAGGGTCCAGGCACGCTGCACAGCGCCTGCCACGGAACACGGATGCCGCGGCCAGTGTGCAGGCCGAGTGGCATGTGTGCGCTGCCACGGCTGCATTCCTAGCCCACCCCGGCCCCCATCCCTCCTTAACCCAGGCGCCGCACATTGACCCAGGGCGTGCCCGCCTCCAGGAACGCCTTGTTCAGGCCCGGGTGGTGCCGCTCGCAGGCCGCCCTCGCTATCTCCTCCTCCCCGCATTGCAGCGGGTCCCTGCTGTGCACGACGCGGCTGTGGGCCGCGTTGGGCGCGTGGCACCGGCTGCACTCGGCGCGGCCGCCGCCGTTGACGTGGCGGCAGTCGGCGCAGGCCCAGCTGGCCTCCGCGCCGGCGGGCTGCTGTGCGGCGCGCGGCGCCACTGAGGGCACCAGGCGCTGCGGGTCGGGCACCGCGGTGGATACAGTCTTCTCCACGCCCGTGCGCCGCGCCACCGCGGACTTGTGTGCCGCGCGGTTGGCCTCCACCAGGTCGCCGATGGTGTCGGGGCGGCTGCCAGGAGGGGGGGGGGAGAGGAGGTGTGTGTGAGTGTGTGCGTGTGTGGGTGTGGGTGCCGGCGTGAGCAGGTTGTGGTGGGGCCAGGCCATGTGTGGGGGGTGCGACGTGCGGGTTGGTGGGTGGTGTGAGGGTGCCAGGGCGGTGTGAGAGTGTGAGGCAGGCACTACGTGTGTGGGCTGCGGGGGTGCCAGATGCGAGGTTGGGGTTGCAGGGGGAGGGCCGCGAGCGGCAGCTGCGCGGCAAGCCACGGCTTGGCGCTCACCCATTCATGTCGGTCAGGCCATCCACAAAGTTGCGGCAGAAGGGGCACTTCAGGCCGGCGTCGGCCTGCAGCATAGGGCCAGGGGAGCGCACAGGCAAAGGTGTGAGAGCCTGCCTGGTGCTGGCGCTGGCTGGCTCCAAGGTTGCTGGCGGGCGAGGGCTGCCGCTCCCGTCGGGCACAGCAGCCACCCCAGACCAGCGACGCACCTTGAACACAATCTGTGCCCGCATAGTGTTGCAGCACCTGCAATACAGGGGCATGGAGCAAGCATGTCAGGCAACACGCGACCACACAGCGCACACGCTGGGCCGTCGCCCGTCTGCCATGGCAGCGGCGGCGGCGGCAACCCCATTGCCGCCGATCGCGGGGCAGCTGGCGCTTGGGTCATCCCCCAGCTCGCTCACTCTAGGCATATTTCGTGCCCGCAGGGCCGCAGCTTTATCTCCACCATCGCTTCGTCGTCTCCGCAGATGTGGCAGGCCTCAGACCCCTTTGGCAGCTGGGCCCGATCAGACTGGGTGCTCGAATTGCCACCCCACACCTTGGCAGCGCCCCACACCGACATGATGAGACCGTGGTGCCTGACCAGGGCTCCAGCAGGGCGGGCCTGCTCCCGCGGATAGCCCTTGGCTGCCGGGAGGCCAGAGGAGCGAAATCCAGCGATCACCGAGAGGTACAGCAGTACTCGCCTGCCGCCGCACCTTGCGGCTGGCGCGGGCAGACCTGGCGTTCTGATGATCTGAATTCTTCTTATTCGACCCGGTAAATTCACATTTGGCATGCCGACATTGAAAATGCATGCAATCAGGCGGGCTTATCGTGCGTCGGTGCTTGCAAGGCTGGCCAGGCTGCTGTCGCTGAGCGAGGGAGCCGCCGGCTGTGGGGACCGCTTGATGCCGAGCAGGCGCACCAGGCGCGGAGCCAGGGCCAGGTTGCCCAGCAGCTGGTTGGTTGCCCAGCAGGCGGGGCGGAACATGGGCAGCGGAGGCAGCGAGCCGTGCACGTTGCCCTCGCCCAGCACTGCAGGCCGCGGGAATGCAACGCTTGCATGTTGCTTTACTCAAGCAAAGGCAACACGCTGCCTCGGCTGCCCCTCAGCAATCAGCGCTGGCCTCCACCAGCCACCACTTAACTGAACTCAGCGCTGCACCCAACCAACTCCGCAGCTGCCAACCCGTGCTGCACCGAGCCCAGATCCCAGCACCAGAGGATCCTCTCCACCCCCACAAGCCCCCCTGCCACCCACCCACCCTGCTGGTACACAAGCTTGGGGTTGGAGTCTGCCGCCATCATGATATCCAGCGGGAAGAGCAGGCCGATGAGGGCGGCCCCCACGTAGAAAGAAGCGACCGCCATGGGCAGCACCGTGGCGCAGCCAAACCCTGCGCCAGGAAGGAGGAGGGGTGCCACGCTGGCGGAGCCACAGCTTGGAAGGGAAGGGCAGCGAATGCGATGATGCGATGATGCCAGGCGCAAGGCATCCCCGCGCACCGCCCCCAACCCCCCACACAGCCACACGCCTGCGCCACCCCGGCCACCACCCACCCAGGAAGAAGGCCCAGTGGCGCTCAAAGTATGCAATGCGCTGCTGCAGCGGCACGCTGTGCAGGCTCCACTTGTAGTCGAAGCAGTACAGGGCGTACAGGCAGCTGAGCAGCAGGAAGTTGAGGAGGGGGCCTGCCGGCAGCCGGTGGGGACGGGGGGCGGGGGAGGGAGCACTGGGAAGCGAGCCTGTGCACACGCAGCCAGCAGCAGCCTCCAGGAAGGGACACAACACTACGTCCGCTCCCCCAAGCAGCCTGCCCACAGGCAACGACAGAGCACGCCTCCCCGCCCACCCACCCATCCCCACCCACCAATCTTGGGCAGCGCCCCCGCCAGTGTGACCTGTGCAAAGAAGACGGCCAGCAGCGCCGCGCGGTACACCTCCTGGGAGATGAAGGCCACGGCATCAGGGCGGTGCACCTGCAGTACCAGGGCGGTGGCTGGTACCGCGCTGAGGTGGTGGTGGTACTGGTGACCGCGCAGGGGAGGAGAGGGACGGGGCAGGCAGATGGAGCCAGAGCCGGGCGCCCGAGCTGCTCAGGCAGCTGGCTGCCCACCTTGAGCACCGCCCCGCCCTGCTGCGCCGCCACCAGCATCACGCCCTGGCGCTGCGCGCGCTGCTGCAGCGCGCGCCGCTGCCCAGCCACCACCACCAGCTCCGCTATCTCGCTGTACCTGCGGAGTGAGTGAGTGAGTGAGGGGGAGGGGAGGGTCGCGCCGGTTAGGGAGGAGCGAAGAGGCCAAGCGAGAGGGGGTCCACTGAGCGAGAGATCCTGCGTGGCTGTGCCGGACCCTTCCAGCCCACCCCTCCGATCCTGCCGAGCCCCTTTCCACACGCACCAGATGCAGTTGACCAGCAGGGAGACGAGGTAGGCGGGTGCCAGCCAGAGCAGGTGGTAGAGCCCCACCAGGGCGCTGCTGATGGCGCCGGCGCTGGCGCCCCCCACCACCGCCGTCAGCAGCAGGTGCACCAACGGCTTCAGCCCATACTCCAGCAGCAGCACGCTGCACAGCAACAGGCGCAGCAGCATGAGAGCGGCACGGCATTGGTTTGAGGGGAGAGCACGGTCAAATGGCAGGGCAAGCAGGCCTTGCGGCAGGCGCACCTGCCGAGGAAGATGAAGCCATTGAGCAGAAAGCAGTTTGCTGTCTTGGCCTGCAGCCCGTGTGTGACATACAAGAGGCACCGTTGTTAAGGCTCAGGCTGCAAACGCCCAGCCCTGAGCGGCACTTGCCGCCGCTGCTGACCGTCACCGCCGCCGCAACCACGGCACTCACCAGAATGCGGGGGTCGTGGACGAAATACACCACGCAGCGGTGCAGGCAGAGGGCGTCCCTGAACCCCGCCAGCCTGCACAATCGAAGTGAGGGGCCTCCGCTTCAGTTGTCGGCAGTCACGGAAGGCGTCCCCAGACCCTGCCAGCTGCTCACCACAGCAGGATGCCATTCTTCAAGGCAGAGGCAACGGCGCCGAGGCTCCCGCCGACCGCCATTGCCGCTACCAGTGTTGTGCCATAGCTAAACGCTAAGGGCTCCTCTCAGTCACCCCTAATCGCCCAGCAGCCATATACGAAGGAACACCGGCATGCAGTTTTATGCAAACCCCGCCGTCTGTCCCGCGTAGTGGCGGCCTAGATGCGCGTGCTGCTCAGGGACCCCGCATCCTGCCCTGCCTTGCACGCCGCAGCAGCAGGCCCGCTGTTACATGAAGCACTCTGCAATAACGAGACAGCGGGCCCCGAGTCGCTGCCACGGCAGCAGGCACGCACGGCCTGGCGTCGCGGGCGCCACCGTGGCACCCTCGCGAAAACACATCCATCCTGCCGCGACCATCCAACGCCAGCAGCACCCACGCCGCCGCGGTGCCGCCACCGAGGCCGCGCAGGGCCGTGGACGCCTCCCTGCGCGCCGCCGCCTAGCGGTAGCGGCGCAGGACAATGGAGTTGTTCTTGCGCCACACGGCGCGGCGGCTGGGGCGGGCCTTGTGGTGGAGGTGGCCCTTGCCCACCAGGCCGCGGTACTTCTTGCCGGCGCTGGTCAGGCCGCGCTGCTCGCGGTGCTTGTGCACGGGGTTGCAGATCCAGTTGACACGGGCGTCCTGCAGGGCAAGGCCGGAGGGGCGGGGGCAACGTGTGAAGGGGATCGAGGGGGAGAGACAGCAGCAGCAGACAAGAGGGTGCGTGGCCAGCCGGGTGGCGGGCTTGCTGCGGCCCGGCCAGACGCGCAGCCCTGCTACGCCTCCTTTCCAGCGCGAGGCGCTGTGCTGAGCTGCTACTGCCTGCTGCTGCCCGCACCCCCCTGCCGTCGCGCGGCTGCACCAGCATGCTGGCTGCGGCAGGATGCCTGCTGCCCCAATCGGATCTATATTATGGCGAGTCTGCTTGTGCTGCTGCCAGCATGAGGCTGCCCTGCCCCCGCCTGCCTCCTTCCGATCGCCGCCGCTGCTCGCCAGCGCTGTCTTGCTATTGCCCAACAGACACCGCCCAACCCGACAGGGCCCAGATCTCGGCAGCAGCCCCGACAGCAGTAGCCTCCCGCAGCAGCTGGCCCAGCAAAAAAGCAAAGCCAAGCTGCCGGCTTGGGGTAACGCTAAGCTACCCCTAGGCAAGCTAGGCCTGCCCTAAGCGCAGGGGTGCGCACACACCTTGCGGATGGCCTTGTGCGCGGGGTCCACCAGGATCACCTCAAAGTACTTGTACACCGCGTCCTGCGGTACAAACGGCGGTACGAGTGGCAGGACAGTCAGCGGTACGCGCGGCGCGTGATGCACAACAGGTGGCGGATCCCTCGCTGGCACGGGCCACCCTGCCTGCCCCCGCCGTGCAGTCACCGCTCGGCGGCCGCTGCCTTCCAAGCACCGACTGCTCTGTGGCGCCGTCGCTGCCCGAGCTGCTCTCTCTCGTAAGCACACCGGCTGTTAGCAGTTCCAGGCCTGGCCGCCGCCTCCTTGCCAACCTGGCGGCCGCCGCCAGGGCTGCCATGCTGTCGCCAGGGCTGGCAGCTCGCAGCAGGCTGCGGGCAGCTCAATGCATGCCATGGGCAGCAAGCCAGCAGCGGCGGCAGCAGCAGTAGCAAGCCAGCAGCAGCAAGCCAGCAGCAGCAGCAGCAGCCCACCTGGTTGACCCAGTAGCTGTTCAGCACACGCAGGCCGCCGCACTTACGGCCCACCCGCTCCTCTGCAATGTTCTGCAGGTTGCGGGTGGGCTTCAGCTGCGTCACACCCTGGTGCACCGGCTTGCCGTACACAATGCCCTGCAGGAGGCACAGCACAGGGCCGCGGAGAGTGAGCGCAGCACAAAAGCGCGTGCAGCCATGGTGTGCCACAGCAGGGGCAGGCTGCCGCCGGCCGGGAGGCCTCCTCCTCTCCGCTCGGTGCCAACGCAGCCAGCCGTGGCACAGAACCCCTAGGCCTGCGGCTGCCTTGCCTTGGACACAGGCTTCTTGCGGCCACCGCGGCGCACGCGGACCCTATACACCACGTAGCCCTGCTTGGCCTTGAAGCCCATGCGGCGGGCCTTGTCGGGGCGGCTGGGCCGCGTCAGGCGCACAATGCCGGGCAGCTGCCTGAACTCCCAGCACCGCACGCGCAGCAGGAAGCGGAGCACATCGCTCTGCTTCTTCTTCCACAGCTCTGCAGGCGTGCGAGCAGGGTCCCAGCATTCAAACCCAGCACAGCCTTGGCCACCCGCAGGCAGTGCTGCCGAAGAGCCGGCTGGCATCTGGCACCAACGGCAAGCGCAGGCCAAAGCCCCTCTGCCCAGCCCCCTGCAGCCCGACAACACCCCAGCCAAGGCCATCGTCGCAGCCACGAACCTTCGACATACTGCAGCAGGGTACAGGGAGCAGCAAGCAGCAAAGGGGAGGTCAGGAGAGGCGCACACAAGCTGCCGCCGCCATGGCGCTCCCGCTGATGGCGGCCACTGCCCCGCATGTGCGGGTCTCTTGGGCCACCATGCAGCAGCAGCAGGTCCGGATGGCTGAGCGCAGCGGCCTCAGGGCCAGCCTGCCTCGCCACGCCGTCATGCCGCTCCGCTGCATGGCCAAGCCCATGGCGCCGCAGCCCCCACGGAGCGGCTCCAGTCCACATCGACTGGCTGCGGCCCATGTGCGCTGCGCAACAGCGGCTGCACACACCTTGTAGGCGCCCATCCTGGTCCTCCCAGAGGTCCTAGGAGCGCGCGACTCTGCTCCTTAGAGCCCAAAGAGGCCGTGCGAGGTGCGGCAGGGCCCCTTGGGGCCGGCCAGGGCACACCACGCAGCACGGCTTGACCCTGTGTGGGCGCCCCCCCTGCCGCTTGCAGACTCCAAACCGCAAATCAAGCGCCCCTCATTGATCCACAGCCCGCAAAAAGCCAATTTACACCCACCAGGGAGTGCCGGGCCACCACCGCCTTCGGCAGGCCGGGCCACGGGCCACAGGCGGCCTGGGCTGCAGGTGGCACCGCCAATTGGCCTCAATTGTTGGATGCTTATTCGATCCACGCTCATCCTGCGAGCCCTAGTACCACACACCAGGCTCGCCGCCTCCCGCCGCCCTACTGCGGCGGCACAACTAGCAGCAGCGGCCCTGTCTGTCCCTGGCCTGTCCCGCTCCAGCTCCGTGCTAGCCTACAGCCCAAGCCTGCGCCACGGCATGTCACCCTCGGCAGCTGTCACAGCGGCGGCAGCCGCAGAGGACGGCCCGCCGCCCGCCAAGCGTGCACGCGGCAGGCAGCCGCGCAAGCCTGCCGGCGCCGGCGCCTCGGCCGGCTCGCCGCCCGCGGCAGCCCTGGACGCCGCCGCGCCCCTGGCAGCGCCTACGCCGCCCAGCGCTGGCAAGAAGAAGAACAGCAGGGCGGCGAGGACGCCCTCCGAGCTGGTCCTGGGCAGCCAGGCGGCCCTCACTTTCAAGGCGCAGCGCATCGCCGAGCTGCTGGGCCGCCTGTACCCCAACCCGCCCATCCCGCTCGACCACGCCTCCACCTTCCAGCTGCTCTGCGCCGTGCTGCTGTCTGCACAGGTGGGCCGCCAGGCGGGCGTCGGTCGGAGCACGCGGTGCACGGCCGAGCAAGCTCACCTGTGCTTGGGCAGATCGTGGTATTGTCTCTTGCCTGGCCAGACCCTCCTGCCGCTCAGCCCACTTCTTCCCTACCCCCCTCCTCCTGCAGACCACGGACAAGAAGGTGAATGAGTGCACGCCCGCGCTGTTCCAGCTGGCTCCCGACGCGGCAGGCATGGCGGCCGCTGATGTGGCCGACATCCAGGCCTGCATCCGCAGCCTGGGCTTGGCGCCCACCAAGGCCAAGAACCTCAAGGCCATGAGCCAGGTGGGCTGGAGGGGAGATGGAGCGGAGGTAGGGCAGATGGGGCAAGGATCCCGGACCGTGCCATCTGTGGTTGGGAGGCTCTGCAGCGGTTGGGATTACGGGAGCACCTGCCAGCTGATGTCAAAATGCTGTCCCACCCACCCTGCTCTCCCTGTGCCGCAGATGCTGCTGGCAGAGCACGGCGGCGAGGTGCCGGCCTCCATGGCGGCGCTGGAGGCGCTTCCGGGTGTGGGCCACAAGACGGCGTCGGTGGTGATGTGCCAGGCCTTTGCCCAGGACGCCTTCCCTGTCGACACACACATCCACGTGCGGCCTGCCTGCGCGCTTGCACCTGCACCTGCCTGCCTGCCGTCCTCCCTGCCTGCCTGCCTGCCGCGCCCCTGGTCCCTGGCTGCCCGGCGGCCCCAGCCCTGCGGCCGTGTCACCGAGTGTACCCGCTGCAGGCGATTCTGAATGCGTGTGCGTCTGCCGCCTCCATGCCTGCAGCGACTGGCGCAGCGCTGGGGCCTGACCGACGGCAAGAGCGTGGAGCAGACGGAGGCGGACCTCAAGCTGCTGTTCCCGCAGAGCCTGTGGAAGGAGCTGCATCTGCAGGTCAGCGGCACTCCCTCGCCCAGAAGGCCGCAGCTCCCGCTCCCTGCGAGCTCGCAGGCAACCATGCGCCCCGGCTCTGCCTGCCTTATTGGTTGCACAATACTGTCTCAACTTTCGCCCTTCAGTGTTGTGTGCCCTAACAACCACCTCCTGCTCCTGCAGATCATCTTCTTTGGGAGGGAGAAGTGCCCGGCGCAGCGGCACGACCCCATCCTGTGCCCCGTCTGCAGCTGGGCCGCTGTCCCCCCGTTCAACAAGCCTGGCGTGTCGCCGCTGAAGCCGGGGAAGTCCAAGGCAGCCGCGGCAGGCGGCAGCGGGAAGGCAGCAACGGCAGGTGGCGGCGGGAAGGCTGCAGCCGCCATCGCAGCAGCAGCAGCACCAGCCAAGCGGAGCCGGCGCTCATCAGCGGACAAGTCGTGACACCTGTGCCTGTGCCTTCTTGTAGCCAGGTGCTTGGCCTCCTGTGAGCGTCCTGTGTATCTGTATTGAATGCACTGTAATTCTTGTACCTTTTGCATAGGGGGCCAGCCATGAATGGGAAACTTTCTCAACGCGTTTTGGGAAGCCGCCCCGCTGGCAGTGAGCGGGCGACATGTCACTGGGGCACAGGTTGTGTCACCCGTTGTTGCACTTCATCCAATTCCCCGCCAGAGCGCTTGAGAAATTGCAGCCATGTTGTCTTCGGCGAGGCTCTACATCGCGGCAGCGCCCTTGACTGGGGCGCCCCTGAGTGCGGCGCGCAGACAAAACGCCTCCCCTGCGCGATCGAGTGTGCGCGTCAGGGCGCTAAGCGGATCTGAAGGGGAGGAGAAGAGTGAGTTGTAGCCGGGTTTTTTTTGGCTGCCGGTGTGGCACGCGCGTGCCTTGCTGCTGTCGAGGGATCGCTGCCTGCGACCTGCGGCCTTGCGCGCCCAGCCCTCTGGTTGCCTGGCCTGCTGCCGCCCGTTGCTCACCCGCCGCCGCCGCCGCCTCCCGCTCCCGCTCCTGCCAGCATCAGTGGAGGACCAGTTTGAAAAAGAGCTGCGGCGGCGGGGCCTGGACCCCACCTCCTCTGTCAGCGAGGAGAGCTTGAGCTCCGCAGCCCAGGCTCAGCGGCGCTCGGCCTTTGAGCAGCAGCAGCAGCGGCGCACGGCGCCGCGCCCTCCGCCCTCCTTCCGAGGCGAGCCGGAGGAGGACGAGGTGCCGCCGCAGCTGGCCAAGTCACGGGCGCTGAACGCGGAGGGCCTGGAGGTGGGCAGGGCGGGGCCTTGCATTCATTCTAATCCTGCCAGAGTTCATTATAGCGGTGCGACTGTGCTCCTCACAGGCCGCAAGCATGAGGGATTTTGGGAGGGCTGCATTGCAGACCTGCCATGAATCCAAGCCTGTCTCCCTTGCGCCTGCCCCGCCTGCAGGGCTTGATCCCGCGCGCCACCGAGCTGCTCAAGCTGGGTGTCACATTCTTCCTGGCTTTCCTCCCCTTCATCGCCGTCGTCTCCCTCGCCTTTGGCGCCATCTACTTTGTGATGGGCGAGTCGTTTGTGCACGGCGGCGCGCCCACGGGGCCGCCGCCATACTACGATCCAGATGTGCTGCTGGCGGAGCCCACAGCGGACCCCATGGTGCCCCTGGACCTCCGCTGAGCGGCTGGCCCCATACGCTGCAGCCGAGTTGTTGCATGCCTGCGTCGAGCTGCGGCGCGCCGCCGCGGCTCTGTGCCTGTACCCCCCTTTTCGGCCTCTGCATTTGATTCATGTTTGATTGATGCGCCCCCTCTGATCCGCCGAGGCACTGGACTTTCAACCAGCCAAGTTGCCACGCTGCTGTAAAATATGTCGCAAGCACCGCCTTGACGCCTGGCCATCTCCCACCGGTCAATCCCCAGAATATTCTGAGCCTCGCTGTGGGCTGAACTGCTGTCCAACGAGCCTGCATTCAGCTGGCTCTGAGGGGACCTCTCCAAGTTGGAGACTCCAACCAACTCGTCCCGCCGCCTGGCTGGCGCGCCAGGCGGTCGCCATCATCTGTCGCTGCAGCCTTTCTGAGCCATTTAGCGATCCGGTGGGCGCCTGTCCGCCCCATCTCCTGCCCCTCTTCGCTTGCGCAGCCTGAGCGGTGCGATCGCACAAATGGGCAAGGGCGGCAAGACCACTGCCTCCGAGGAGGCCGAGAACCTGCTGAGCTCGGATCGCTTCAGGCCCTTCCTGGATGAGTCGTTCGACGCCGCCAGCTTTGCGTCGCGCAGCCTGTCTGAGAGCCACACCACGGCCCAGGCGCAGACGGAACAGCTGCAGTATGGCGTGGCAGCGCTGGACCAGGCCCTGCGCTCCCTGGTGCTGCACAACCAGGAGGACCTGATCTCCCAGACATCCAGGCTGGCAGAGGCGGAGGCGGCGGTGCACCGCATCGGCCTGTCGGTGCGGTCGCTGCAGATGGTGGCGGCCCGCGTGCGCGCCGAGGTGGCGGAGCCCTACCAGCAGATTGCCACGCGCACGCGGCAGCTCAAGAACCTGCAGGCCACCGTGGACCTGCTGCGCCACGTCATCCACCGCCTCAAGCTGGTCGCCAAGCTGCGCGCCCAGATGGCGGCCACCGACAGCGCAGGTGCGCGCGTGGCAGGGGTGCCAGCGCAGGCCCGCAGCCAGCACCCTTGCCCGCTGCGCCTCGCGCTTGCAACCTCTGTGCTGGGCCTGGACCGGCACGGCCCGCTCGCCGCTCCACCCGCCGCCCCTGCACCTGCCACCATCCCAGTCCCAACCTCTTTCCGGCCGCTGGCCTGCCCTGCCCCTGTCCCTGCTCCCTGTCCCTGCCGCTGCCACTGCCGCAGGCATCCTGGAGGTCGCCAAGGCCGCCAAGCTGCTGTCCGAGATTGCGGCGGTGGATGCCGAGGCCGACCTGTCTGGCATCGAGGCAGTGGATGCGGATGCAGAGTTCCTGCAGACCGCCGCCGCCGTCGTGCGCAGCCAGACAGAGGTGTGGTGGGGGGCCGGGTGGGAGAGCGGGAGTGAGGGCGAGGAGGCCTGGGGGCTGTGGCCAGCCAGCCAGGGTGCGGGGGGCATCCCCGCTGCCGAGTGGTCCGCCTCGCCTCGCCTGGCGGGCGACGGACTAGCGCCTCAGCCTGCCTCGCTTGGTGCCTCCCTGCTGGGTCCTCCCCGGCGCCACCGCCCCACCCCGGGGCCTCCCCTGCCGCCACCGGCCCTGCCTTCCCTGCGCGCAGGCGGCGCTCAAGGCGGGGCTGGAGTGCCTGAGCCAGGCGGACGTGGGCAGCGCACTGCAGGTGCTCTACAACCTCAACGAGCTGCAGCAGGCGGTGGCGGGGCTGGCGGACCAGGCGGCGGCCTCCTTTGGCCGCGAGCTGGCCGCGGCGCTCGACCCGCGCAAGCTGTCGGCCAGCAGCGTGGCGGCGAGGGGCGGGCCCGGCACCGCGCTGCCCGGCTCCGCGGCCAAGGTGCAGGAGGTGCTGTGGGAGAAGCTGGGCGGCGCGCTGGAGCACCTGCAGCGCAGGTGGGCGTGGGACCACGCCAGGGGGGGCCTGCTCCCGCCTGCCCGCCTCGCACACCAGCCTCTGCGCCACGAGCAGCTTCCTCCCTGCACCCCTCTGGCTCCTCCCGGCGCGCGCTGCTGGCTGGCTCCCGGCGCCGCCTGCCCCGCCGCTCAACCCTCCACCTCGGCATGCCCCTCCCAACACACACCGCCACCCCCACCGCCGCCACCCTTGCCCCTCCTGCCGCAGCGCCATCGAGGTGTGGCACCTGCAGCGCGTGCTGGCCAAGAAGCGCGACCCGCTGTCGCACGTTCTCTTCCTGGACGTGGTGGCGTCCCGCGACTCAGACCCCCTGCCCCTGGAGCGCTTCTGGTGCGCAGCAGGCGGCGGCCGCGGCAAGCGGCGGCACGCCCGGGCCGGCCTCGCCGCCCCGTGCCTGCCCTGCCCGCATCCGCCTGCTCATCCGTTGTCCCGGTGTCCTGCACGCGTGTTCCCACTCACCCGGCCCTGCTCCTGCCCTCCTGTCCTGCCTGCCTGCCTGCCCCAGGGCCCGCGCCAACGCCGCCATGGCCGACGGCTTCGCCGCCGCCTTTGGCACCGCCCGCGGCGGCTTTGTGCGCGACTCGCTCACCGCGGGATACCCACGGCTGGCGGGGCTGCTGGAGGGGGCGGCGGCGCGGGTGCTGCGCGACTCGGCCGTGCGGGACGTGGCGCCGGCGCTGGATGGGGAGCAGGTGGGGGGTGGGGTGGGGGTGGGTTGTTGGGGAGGGGGGCAGCGCTCAGGTGCCTGGTGCGTGCGTTTGTGTGTGCACAGGGCCGGGCTGTGGCTGCACAGCACAGCACAGCACAGCACAGCACAGCGCAGCACAGCGCAGCACAGCGCAGCACCGTCCCTGCGCCACGCGCCGAGCGCCATCCCTCGCTGGCCTGCCTGCCCGTCACCCGCCTGCCTGCGCACCACCCGCCGGCCCACCACCCGCCGCCCTGCGCTGCACAGGCCGCGTCGCTGGTGGAGGCGGCGGGCGACTTTGAGGCCGCCTACCTGGCACAGTCGCTGGCGCGGCTGTCGGAGGCGGCGGCGGCGGCCTTCCCGGGCAGCAGCCGCGCGCTGCCCACCGCCGCCGACCTCCAAAAGTCGATTGCCCGCGTGCACGAGGAGCTCAAGGCCGCCTCGGGTGGGCGCCGGCTGGTGGTGGTGTGTGTGTGCGTGGTGGCTGTATGTGTGGCTGGGGCTGTGGCTGTGTATATGCGTGGTGGCTGTGTGTGTGTGCCTGCGTGTGTTCTGTGGTGGTGGGGAGGGGCTGGGGGCGAGGGCCCAGCCAGCTTCCCGTCGCTGGCGGTGACACCACCAGGGCGGCCCGGAAGGGCTGCCTCACACCCCCCACCACACACACGCGCACACACACACACACACGCACGCATGCTCGCTGCTCCCTCGCCCCTGCTCGTGCCCACGCAGGCTCCCCGCGTCTGGCCCTGCTGGTGGCGTCCACCGTGGGACAGGCGCTGGGTGTGATGGCGCAGAGGGGGGAGTACATGGCTGCCACGGGCCCCGAGCTGCGCGCCGTGGGCGCCGCCTGCAACCCGTCCCAGCTGCGCAACATCGCGCTGTGCAACTGCCTGCAAGAGGTGCACCGCAGCGTGGGCGGCATGGTGGGGCGGCTGCCCGCTGCGGCCGCCGCCGCGCTGGCGGCGCCGCTGGCGGGGCTGCAGGCGGCGGCGGTGGAGGCGGTGGCGCCCACCTTCCGCGCGCTGGTGGAGGGGATGGAGGAGCAGCTGATGGCGATGCACGGCACACCCGCCTACGCGGGCCCGCCGCCGCCGCCCGCGGGTCAGCCAGGCGACGACGCCACGGCGGCAGCGGCTGCGGTCACCGACACCTCGCCTTACATGCGTGACCTGGCGCGCCAGCTGGCGCACTGCCGCCTCGAGTTCCTCACCAAGTTCAACCCCTCGCCCGCCTCCCCCGTGCCCTCTGGTGCGCGCAGCTGGCATGCGCCTGCACAGCACCTGCTGCCTGCCTGCCTGCTGGCCTGCCTGGCCTGCCTGCCTGCTGGCCTGCTGGGTCTGCCTGCCTGCCTGCTGTCCTGATCCTGCCCGGAGTCTGACCCTCCCTGCCGTGCCTGCCTGCCCGCCCTCCCGCCCGCAGTCGCTCGCGCGCTTGTCGAGCGCATGGCGGCGCGCCTGCTGCTCTTCGCGCTGCGCCACGCCTCCCTGCTGCGCCCGCTGCCGCAGGCCGGCAAGCTGCAGCTGGCAAAGGTGGGGGCCGCCGCCTGCGTCGGCGCCCGGCGCGGCCGCTCCCCTGCTCCGAGCCAGCCGGGCAGCGCCAGGCCCGGTGCTGCGCCCATCTCGCTGCGCCGCCTGCACACCTACTGCCGCTGCCTCTCATCCCACCTACCCCTTGCCACCACAGCCCTCCCCACTACCAGGCGCACGTATCCCCTGCCTCCCTCGGTGCCCCCGCAGGACTTGGCTGAGCTGGAGGCGGCGGTGGGCCAGAACCTGGTGCCCCTGGAGCAGCTGGGCAGGCCGGCGCGTGCGCTGCGCGCCTTCCGCCGCCTGCTGTTTGTGGCGAGCGGCGACGTGGAGGGCAGCCCGCTGCTGCGGGAGCTGCCGCGCCCCGAGGTGCTGCACCACCTCTACTCCCGCGCACCCTCCGAGCTCCAGTCGCCCCACACCCGCAGCGGCCTCACCCCCTCGCAGGTGCGGGCCCTGCGCCGCGCCCGGCTGCCCTGCGCGGCTCTGCGCGGCGCTGCGCGGCTGCAGCAGCAGCGCCCAGGCGCGGCAGCCCCCCCGGCCAGCCGTCCGTGCCTGCCTGCCCGCCTGCTCGCGTGCGTGCCTGCATGCGGCTCCCCCTGCTGGAGCTGCCCCTTCTCGAGTCACCCCTGCTGCCTGCCTGCCTGCCTGCCTGCCTGCCTGCCCGCGCCGCCCGCAGTATTCGCTGTGGCTGGATGGGCACAGCGAGGCGGAGGCGCTCAAGTTCATCCGCACCGCGCTGGAGGCGTGTGCGGGGCGGGCCAAGGCGGCAGAGGGCTTCGAGGAGAGCTACCCGCTGATGAAGCGGCTGGCTGCGGGCGCATGAGGCAGCGGGGCAGGCGGCGGCAGCACATCGGCGGCCACCCGAGGCAATGCGAGGGCGGTGTCGGCAACTCAACGCATGGATGATGCAGTGCGGCCTGCACGTTGGAACATCCGCGGCCCCCGGTGAATCCTTGCCTGGCGCTGCCCCCTGGTGGCCTGACAGTGTGAGAATTACACAGATAAGGCAGACGTGCAAGGGGAGAAGAGGCAGACGTGCAAGGGGACATGTGTTGGTGTGGCTCGGTGTTATCAAGGCCATTGCGAGCTGAGAGAATCGGATCAATCCCGGCTGCGCTGGGAGGGGGGCGGAGGAGAGCGGCGGCCCCCGGCAGCGGCAGCGACAGGAGTGAGATGAAAGGAGGGGCGAGGTAGGAGGGAGCCGTCATGGGTGGGAGGTCGCCGGGCGGGGTGCCGGGGCGCCGCTGCCGGGCATGAGGGGCGCCAATTGGCTGGATACCCAATGGCTGGCTACCAGCCGGTGATGCGGGTTAGCAAGAGTGGGACACATTGTTGAGAAAGGGATGAGGAGGGGCATAAGGTGCAGCCGCCGGCACCACCCTCCGCTCGACAAGAGGGAGGAGGGGTGTGTGCCTGCGCGCTGAGAATGAAAGGGGCAGGAGCAGAGACGTAACAATGGGGAGGCAGCCGTCGGGGCAGGGGCCGTCCCTACTCTCCAGCCGCTGGCAAGGGGGATAAGAGGCCTCCACCCGGGGGGTTGGCAGGCGGGGTACATGCGTACGGGGCACATTAGTTGGCTGCTTGCTGCTGGGGGGGAGTGCGCAAGGAGGGGAGGAGATCATAGATGAAATCGGCACCCAGGTGTCATTCGTTCGTTGCAGCATTGGATGCGCGCCGTGTGTGGGTTTGGGATCCAGCCAGCGAGCCACGTGCCGCCCCGCTGCCCGGCCGGCCGCGGGCCGGCGGCGGCGGGAGCGGCAGGCATGCTGCCGCTGGCGCTGGCGGTGCAGCAGCCGCGGGCGGTGGCTATTGCCCGCCCAGCTGCTTGCGCTGGGTTTCTAGCGCCATGAACTGCTCCAGCCGGGCCTTGAGCACGGCAAAGCTGTCGCGCAGCTGCGCCACCAGCTGCTGGCAGGCTGCCTGGTTGTGCGCGTGGCAGGCGTCCCGCAGCTGCACGCACAGCATGGCCATGGTGTGTGCGCCGAAGCTGGCGCTGCTGCCCTTGAACTGGTGCACAAGCGCATCCACCTGCGGGTGCAGGCAGGGGGCGACGGCGCGCATGGGTGCTCCGCCACCTGCCCTCCTCCGACAGGCAGGGCCGCGCCCGCCTCCCAGCACCAGCACACGCACCCACGCCTTCCTGCCTGGCACCCTGCTGCCACCCCCATGCCCGCGTGTGCCCGCACCTGCGCGTAGCTGGGCGCTGCCTCCGCCAGCTTCTGCTGCAGGGTGTCGATCTTGGTGGCGCTGTCCTCGAAGTACAACTCCACCACCTCCAGCACAAAGTCAGGGTTGCTCTCATCCTGCGGGGCGCGGCAGGCGGCGGCGGCAGGGCTGGGGCGCGAGGCACGGTCAAGGACGGCGGCAAGGCGCGCGCGCATGCATAAACCCCGGTACCACACCCGTCATGCCGCAGTCATCGTGGTGCGTCAACGGCGCGGCGCGCGCAGGCGGCGGGCGCGGAGGCCGGCGGCGGCGGCGGTTTGGGCCGGGCGTGGCGTGCCCCAGGAGGCCTGCCCAGCCGCGCCTCACCTGGAGCTGTATGAGCTGCAGGAACTGGTCGTCCAGCAGGCCCTCCTGCACCGACTGCGCCAGCAGCTGTTGTATCGACGCCTCCACCGCCGCCGCTGCCGCCGCCATGGTGAGCACGACGCTCCCACGACGACTTGCTGTTGTGCGCCTCGCGGGCTGTTGATCAGGCTGCTGTGGCCTCCAAGGCGAAGGCGTGTGCCCTGTTGCACACGCCTTCTGATGCTCACACAAGGGGCGAAGGCAGCAGACTGGAGCCGCCCTGGCCGGCCTCCAGAGTGGCCCTGACACGCACTGGAAGAGGAATGCAAAGCGCTAAGCTGCAAACTCGGTCGTAGGGTCGACTCTCATGCAGCAGCCAGCAGCCTGAATGGTCGATGCAAAACGTGTTCTTGAGAGGCAGCCTCCCCATCCACTGAATGCTGAATCACCATTGCGGAGAGCTGCTGCACGTGTCCAGTAAGGGTGCCAACGCCCTTGGGCTCCCTGGCCCACCAACAGGCGGCGGCGACAGCTCAAGTCGCAGTAACGAGCACCCAGATGGGTTTGCCATGCACTGAGGGGGTTGATTCAGTCATGGGCGCAGCCCACTCTTCGGGTCCTGCTTGATCGGATGGCGGGATCGGCCGACGGCGGCGGGCATGCATGGGTGTGTGCTTGGGCGGCGGGACTTGTCACACGGCTGCTTGGCCTCGATTCACTGGGGGAAGGAGGCATCTTTGCCATTCAGGCACACAGGAAGGGACTGATGCCAGGTGCTGGTCAGCAGACGAGCGCTTGCAGCCCGAACTGTTTACAGCACGGGGGAAGGGCATTCGGTGGGGTTGGCGCCTGCATGCATGCGCTGTGTATCTGCAATCAAAGCAAGAATTGCATTATATGGCGAGGCGCTGCATGGAGCTGCATGCAGGGTTAGGAGACAATAGAAGAGATGGGACAAGGTGTGGGGCAAAAACTCAAAAACGTGCGCTTGCGCACAGCAAGCAAGCTCAGTTGGCGGCTTCTTCTCCAAGCCATAATCAGTGCGGGGGAGGCATCAAATGCGGTGTGCAAGTGCACCAACATGCGAGGCAGCGGCTGCCGGCGGCGTGCACGGAGCGTGCGTGCATGCGCAAGGCAGCGCACGGAGGCAGGCTGAGTTGAGCCTCCAGCGCCGCCGCCTTGAATAAGACTTTCTACCAAAATTACTGCCGTGTCGCCAAGGCCCGGGGAGCGGCGGTCGGCCTGCATGTGCCAGGCCAGGGCGCCATCCACACCCCTCACTTGCCGCGCAGCTCCAGCAGCACCTGCACCACGCCCGGGTCTGCCAGGGTGGAGGTGTCCCCCAGCTGGTCCTCCTCAAACGACGCGATCTTGCGCAGCACGCGGCGCATGATCTTGCCGCTGCGCGTCTTGGGCAGGCCGGGGGCCCAGTGGATGACGTCGGGCGCGGCAAAGGCCCCAATCTGCTCCCTCACGCTCATCACCAGCTCCTTCTTCAGCCCATCGTGGAAGTCCACGCCCTGCGCAGGCGGGTGTGTTGTGGGGCCCAGTGGCGCGTTGCGCACATCCAGTGTGGCAGCTGGGTGCCAGCAGCGCGGCCAGCGGCTGTCCCAGGCAGCTCCAGGCAAAGCAGCACACGCTCGCTACCACCGCTGCCGCACCACCACCAGGCGGCAGCCCACCTCCAGGAGCGTGACGTAGGCCCAGATGCCCTGCCCCTTCACCGGATGCTCATAGCCCACCACCGCCGCCTCGGCGCACTGCGGGTGCGCCACCAGCGCGCTTTCCACCTCCGCCGTGCCGATGCGGTGCCCGCTCACGTTGATCACGTCGTCCACGCGGCCTGCAAGGGGCAACAGGGGCACGGGTGGTGGGGACGGTGGAGCAGGATGGCTGCAAGCCAGGCGCGCAGGCCCGACAGGCAAACAGGCGGCTGCTCCCAGCACATCAGCACATGGAGCATGCCCTGCCCAGCCCCCACCCCACAGCAAGCAATGCCACCTACCACACAACCTGCCACCCCATATCCTGCAATGCTAAACCACCGCCGCCCCACCTGTGATCCAGTAGTACCCATCGCTATCCCGCCGGGCGCCGTCCCCGCTGAAATAGTAGCCGGGGAACGGCGCGAAGTACGTTGTCTCGTACCGCTCGTGGTCGCGGTACACGGTGCGGATGTTGGAGGGCCAGGACTGCGCGATGCACAGGTACCCCTCCGCCTCCCCCTCCAGCTCCCGACCCTTCTCATCCACCAGCACGGGCTTGACCCCGAAGAAGGGCAGCGAGGCTGCGGCGGGCGGCAAGGCAGGGCGGGCGGGCGGTGGGCGGGGGCCCGTGAGGCAGCAGGCCTGGGCAGCCACAGCCAGCACCAGCCAGCAGCGGTGAACCAGGCTGCCTTGCTCCGCACTCTCTGCGCCTGCGTGGAAAGGCCGGCTCCATCTCGCCACACATGCTGGCGCACCCCGCCCCCGTCCCCACACACCCCCGCAGCAGCACAGGAGCACAGCCCGCTCACCGCTGCCGGGCTTCTCGGGCCAGGCCGCCGGCAGGGGGCTGATCATGTGCCCACCCGTCTGCGCAGCAGGCAGAGGAGGCACAGGCACACAGGCACAGGCACACGACAGCATGTGAGCACAGGCTGGGCTGCGGTCAATGCAGGCCAGCATGCGCGGCCGCCCATCACCCAAACCCACTGCAGAGGATGGCCCTGCAGCCCATCCCGCCGCACTACACAAGGCCCTCCAATTCAGCCCTCCACACACCTCGGTCTGCCACCAGGTGTCCACGATGGGGCAACGCCCGTCCCCCACCACCTCGTGATACCTGCGGCAGTGGCGGCGATGGCAGGGTGGCGCAGCCATGCATAGCAGGCCATCAGGGGAGGCCAGCGCGCGATGCGATGGCAGGACAGGGCACCCCGCAGCGGCGACAGCAGCAGCAGATGCCAGCAAGCGCCAGCGGCTGCCCCGCCACCCCATCTGCCGAACTCACCACTTCCATGCCTCTGGGTTGATGGGCTCCCCCACCGACCCCAGCACGCGCAGGCTGCCGCGGTCGTGCTTCTTCACCCACTCCTCCCCCGAGCGCATGAGGGAGCGGATGGCGGTGGGTGCGGTGTAGAACTGCTTCACCTGCCACTTGTCGACCACCTCCCAGCACCGCCCCGGGTTGGGGTGCGTGGGCACGCCCTCAAACACCACCTGCGTGGCCCGATTGAGCAGCGGGCCATAGGCCAGGTAGCTGTGGCCTGCAGGCGGGGAGGGCGGTGGAAGGTCAGGGGAAAGGCTCTCTGTGCAGCAGCAGGTCAGGCACGGCGAATAAGAGGTGGCGGCACGCGGGCAGGCACACACGGTGCCTGCTTCGGCCAGGCAGAGGAGGTTGGGACATGCCAGCGCCCGACAAACGCCCACCGCGCGCCCCGGCAACGAGCCCAGCCTGGACCAGCCCACCCACCCGTGATCCAGCCGCAGTCTGCGGTGCACCAGTAGACATCTCCTGGCTGGATGGCAAATACGTACTTCATTGTTGTAGCCGCGTAGACCTGCTCAGTGTGGGGCGTGCACAGGTGTGTGTGTGTGTGTGCGTGTGGAGGTGCTTGAGGTGTGTGCTGTGTCGAGTAGGGGCGTGGCAGCAGAGGCGGCAGGTGGGATGCAGCGCCATCACGACGGAGAGCAGGGCCACAGCCGGCGCGGCAGGGGCGAGCGAGCTGCCAGTGTGTGGGGCGCACCATGAAGCCGCCGGTGGTGTGCAGCACGCCCTTGGGCTTGCCGGTGCTGCCAGACGTGTAGAGGTAGAAGAGGGTGTCCTCGCTGTCCATCCACTCCACCTCTGCAGCGGGGCAGAAGCAGGGGCAGGGGGTGGTGGATGGTGGACATGGGAAAGGGTGAACACAAACCCGCGCGCGAGCAGTGCAGCGAGGCGGAGGCAGGGCGGGGCCGCGCGGCAGCCGGCAGCTGGGGGAGATGCGGGCACGGAGGCGGCGGCGGCGCACCCGCGGTGTCGGGCTGCTGCGGGATGACGTCCTGCCAGAAGACGTCGCGCCCCGCCACCATGTGCGTGTCCTCCTTCTTTGCCGCATTGTCGTTGGCATACACGAGAACGTGCTCCACCTGCGGCAGGCAGGGCGCAGGCAGGCTTGGACAGGAGAACGGGAGGGAGCGGACGGCTGGCAGCTGCGGCGCAACGGCATGGGCCGCGAAGCCGCGGAGGCAGCCCGCCGCCAGCAGCAGCGGGAGCAGAGGAGCGGGAGGAGGGGAGGGCTGGCAGGTGGGGGGGCGGGCCGTGCTCACGTCGAAGCCCTGGTGGTGCGCGATGTCGCAGCCCTGGTCCGCAATCTTTTTGAGGCCGATGGCCTTGGCGCCGCGCATGACGGCGTTGCAGGTGATGAGCACGCGGGCCTTGCAGTCCTCGATGCGGCTGGCCAGGGCGTCGGAGGAGAAGCCGCCAAACACCACGCTGTGCACGGCGCCGATGCGGGCGCAGGCCAGCATAGCGATGGGCAGCTGTGGGGCGGCGCAGGGCGGGGGCGCAGCAGGCAAGGCAGCCCGGTCACGCAGCGCCGGCACAGCTCCTAGCATGGCTTGCCATGCCGGCCTCCAGGCCCCCATATGTTTAGTTGGAGAGCAGAGGATGAAGAAGCGCAGCAGTGCAGGGCGTGACGGTGCGGCCACGGCCGGGCGCCTGCCGCAGCTGCTGGTGCCACCCACCTCGCAGACCATGGGCATGTAGATGGCCACAGCATCCCCCTTCTTCACGCCCACAGACCGCAGCCAGTTGGCCTGCGCGGGGAGCAAGGCGGGGCACAGGGCGTCGGGGGTGGCGCTGCCACGAGACGGGGGAAACCCACCTTGGCGCGCGGCGCACGGCCATCCTCCGCTGCCTCGCTTGCGCAGCAGCAGCCCTCCGCCATACACACCATTTCTCACCACCGCCACCACCACCACCTCTTCCTGGTCCTCCTCAATAGATCCACTCACCACGCGGCAGACCTCGTCCAGCACTTGCTTGTAGGTCATGACGGCGTCACGCCCCACATCGTTGCCCTCAAACAGGAAGCAGGGCTGGGCGCCGTGCCCCTCCGCCACGTGCCGGTCCAGGCAGTTGTACGCGATGTTGGTCTTGCCGCCCTTGAACCACTCGCTGTAGATGGGGCCCTGCCAGTGCGTGCGCAGGCGGGGGCAGGGGAGGCGGGGCGACGAGGGGGGGACAGATGCGGGTGAGGGACAGGGAGGAGTGTGCCGGGCACGGCACACTGTGGGGTGCGGCGAGGCTGTGGCTCGGGAGCGGGGTTCCGGGAAGCGGCGCGCCCGCAGCGGGCGGGCGGCCAAGCGGCGGCCCTGACCGGCGCGTTTTTTTTCCTCCACCCAGGGCAGCTTGACCCAAAGCAGCTGGCCAGCTCCCCACCTTGCGGATGTCAAAGTTGGCGGAGTGGTGCTGCTGCGGGATGGGCTGCTCCCAGTGGAAGCTCTCCGTGGCCAGCTCCCGCCAGAAGCCTGCGGCGGGTGGTGGGCAGGCACGGGCAGGCAGCCAGGAGGGCTAGTCAGGAGGGCAGGCGGGCAGGCGGTGGTGAGCGCTGGCTGGCATGCCGGGCAGGACAAAGAGGGTCCCCGACGGCGGGCTGGGAGCCGCCAGCCCGTGACGTGTGATGGCAGGGACGGGAGGAGCAGGCGGGGCACCCACCGCTGGGGTCCTGTATGGACCGCTGGTACATCTCCTCGTACTGCCTGTGGTTGTGGATGTGGGCATGGTGGCGCACGTCCATGTACTGCCTGGACTCAGTGTGGTCGGCCACCTGGCGGGGGCGGGCAGTACGGCGGGACGAGGGAGGAGGCGGCGACCAGGGAGGTTGCGGGTGAGGGCTGGTGTGGTCGAAGGGGCTGCCGCCGGGCAGGAAGAGGTATGTGCCAGGCCGGGCACATCAAGATCAGCCGGCGGGTAAGCAGCGCGGGGTGAATGCGCCTGGCCCTCCATGCGGGGTGCTGCGGCCCCCGTGGTGGCGGCGCAGCCGTGCGGGCGCAGCGGCAGCTATGGATGGCGACAAATCCACAGCAAAGACGGGCGCCCGGGGGCTGTGTGGAGCCGGGCCGCACCTGGACAGCCTTGGTCACCAGGGCCTGGCGGGCCATGGGCCTGCCGCTGCGTGGCGCCCGGCGCTGGCTTGAGCTGCGCAGCGGGTCGGCGGCGGCATGGCGGGCTAGCGCCACCGGCTGGACCTTGCCTGCGGGAATGGTCAGTGCAGCGTTCAGCAGGATCCCGTGATCTCCCCATGTTAATAGGAGGTCAAGGGGGCGGCAGCTGGGCCGCAGCAAGGGTGGCGAGCCGTAAGTCATGCAAGGCGCGCTCCGATCCACTGCGCACCTGCAGCCCCCAGGGTTGTATTCTGCGTTGCACACTGCATGCTGAACAGTCCTGGAAGTGGGTCGAGGGATGCGGAGGGCCGTGCTCGAGACGGGGGGCAAAGATGAATAAACAGTGGAGCAGGGGGCCCCAGGCGGCAGTGCGCCAACCAAACTAAGTATATAGAGACTGGCAGAGAGTGCGCAGAGTGCAGCAGATTTGGGTTACGTTTGGTGGATTAGCAAGAGGGCCTGTGGACCACGCTGCGCTGTGCCGCCACAGCATGGATGCTGCCGCCGCCAGCCCACAGCAGTGGGCTGGCTCCTGCAAGGCGCCCAGTGTCCTGATGCCCCTAGCCTCTATACACCCAGTCATTGTAACTGAGCTCCGGGCCGACTGGCTGGGTTTGCAAGTTGATGCGAGGCTGACTGTGTGAAGGGGTGACTGAGTGGGGGCGGCCTGTCAGGCTGATGCAGCACCACAGCTGGCCCATAGCATTCACTTGCTGGTTGTGGGTGGAACAGACAGACAGTGTCCACACAGCGGCGCCGCGCCTTGCCCTACCGATGGCGGCGGGCGGGCGGCCAAAGAAAGCGCGGCGGGTGCATGCATGGGCCGGCCACCTCAAGAGCGCCAGGCACCCCCTTGCCGCCCAGATCCACGCTCCCTGTGACAACCCCTGCCTACCCAGAGAAACCCCAGCGACCAGCAGCTGCTGTGACCCAGGTCCCCGCCCTACACTCGCGATGGCGGACGAGGAGAACAGGTGGGTGCGGTGGGAGGCCGGGAGGGGCTGAGGTCGCGGCGTGGCGGCGGCATCAGGCGAGCGGGCATCGCATCACGAGGCGGGCTGATGGCGGGCGAGGCGCGCTTCAACGGCTGCCGCTCACTCACGTCGCGCCTCTGCTCCCTGCGGCAGGCCTCTTTGGGGGTCTGCCGCGGCGGAGGGCCTGGGGGCCTGTAGCGGCCGACGGCCGCCCCGCCCCGCCTGGGGCCTGCGTGGGGGGTGACAGCCGCAGCAGCCTGAGCAGCCTGGCATGCCCCCGGTGTCACAAAATTGGTGTGGGATGGTGGCACAGGTCGGCGGAGGCGGTGGCGGTGGCGGCAGTGGAGGAGGTGGCGGCGGCACCAGAGGTGGCAGAGGTGCTGGCGGAGGCCGCCTATGCGCCAGAGCCGGTGGAGGCTGCCGTGACTGCGACGGAGGAGGCAGCGCCCGCCGCGGACGACAGGCCCAGGTCGCGCAGCCGGAGCCGCAGCAGGAGCCGGTCCCGCTCCCGGAGCCGGTCCAGGCGCTCCCGCTCCCGCTCCCGCAGCAGGTGCGCTATGGGCGGGACCATGCCCCCGCTTGTTTTGGGCCCCTGGTTGTTTGCTGTGCACACCTGCGTGGAGGCCGTTCAGCTAGCCGCGGGCTCTGCAGCAGTGGCAACGCCATGCCTCGGTCGCGTGCATGCCCCTGCCACCTTGCCTGCCCCATGTGGAGCAGCCTGATCCCGCCCGGAGCTGACCCGCGGCTGGCCTGTGTGTGCTTGGTGCAGGGAGCGGCGCGACGACGGCGGCCACTACGGCGGCTCCGCGCCCCCGCCCTCCTACGGTGGCGACCGCCCGCCGCCGCGCGAGCAGGCCTGGCGCCAGGGCGACTGGGAGTGCCCCTCCTGCCGCTTCCACAACTTTGCCAGCCGCGACCGGTGCTTCAAGTGCGGTGAGTGGCCAGCTGGGCACGCCCCCGCATCGATCCTCCCCACCTGCCTGTGAGCCGAGCAGGCGGCGCTCCGGCTGTGAGCCCAGCAGGCGGCGTTTTGTTGCCTGGTCAGCCCCATTGCCTGCTCGCATTGCCCGGCAGGCGTGCCGGCCGCGCTGTGAGCCTCACGCCCCACCTTTCCACACCACGCCGCCCGCCGTGCAGGCTCCGACAGGTCTGGCAACCGTGGCGGCGGCTACGGCGCCGGTGGCGGCGGTGGCTACGGCGGGTACGACCGCTATGATGGCGGTGCCGGCGCCTATGGCGCGGCTGGCGGCTACGGTGCCCAGGGTGGCTACGGCGCCGCAGGCGGGTATGGCGCTCAGGGCGGCTACGGTGGCGCCACGGGCGGCTACGACGCCAGTGGCTATGGTGCCCAGGGCGGCTATGGCGCCCAGGGTGGCTACGGCGGTGGCGGCTACGGTGGCGGTGGTGGCTACGGTGGCGGCGGCTACGGTGGCGGCGGTGGCTACGGTGGCGGCGGTGGCGGCTACGGCGGCGCTCCAAGGTGGGTGAAGAGCTGGGCAGCTAGCTCGAGGCTGGCCGTCTCAGCGCCCGGCACCACTCTGTCATCATTTGCTTCCGACCCGCCGCGCCGTTGCTGATGCGCTTGCTGCCCCGCAGACCCGCCCCCGCCTTCCGCGAGGGCGACTGGTACTGCAAGGACTGCAACACCCACAACTTTGCCAGCCGCAGCCAGTGCTTCAAGTGCAGCGCCGCGCGCGACTGAGCCTACGCCGTGCCCTGGACAACCGAGAAACTGAGCAGCGTGCGTGCTGCTGAGCTGCGATATGCAGCTGCCTGGGCTGCTGCCAACAAGCAGCCAGGCGCCTCTGTGTGAGGCATTCAACCACCTGTGCACTGTGTGACCTGTCTGTGCCCCAACACACTATGTTGGGCGCCTCCCCATGCTGCCGGAATGACCCTGTCCGTGCGGGGTGCCCATTCTTTTTTTGGTCGTTATCCCTTCTTTCCACTGCTGCGTTACGTCCTCCTCTGTCTGAATTCCGTCTGTTGCATGGCCTTGTTTGACTGCCCCATCTGTAACGCGAGGAGCGAAATTGGGCGTGCGCGCTCGCGGCTGCTGTGACGTGGTGCTGTGCAGGCGCGGCGTGTTGCGTGGTTTGCCCTACTAGTGCTTTCGGTTCCTCATTTAGGTTACATTCTATTGCTCACATCCAGTGCACAGTAGACCAGTGCCGAGTCTCTGCCGCCGTGCCTCACGATGGCTTGAACCTGCTGCGAGTGCATATTTTGAGCTCGCTCCCAGGGATCGGCTGGTGGCACTGGTGGCGCCACAATGGATATGAGCACGCGCCAGAAGCTGGCGGAGCTCATACAGAAGGACATCGACCAGCTGCGAGAGAAGGCAGAAGGTAGGTGCAACGGGCTCAGCTGGCCGTCACCGGTGCTAGCTGGCTGGCACGCAAACACCGGTGATGGCGCCACCGCCCGCCGCCACCGCCTGCCGCCGCCGCCGCCAGTGCAACCGCCTGCTGGCCAGTTTCCTACCTACCAGAGCTTTGCCTGTGGTTGCTGCACACACCACTTCTTGCACAGCGCGAACCGAGCTGCATACTGAAATCAGATGCCTGCCTGCCCGGGGGCTGCAGGGCAGGGTGTGACGGCCTGGCTGACGCGGCCCGTGCAGCGCGAGCGCCCAAACGAGCGCTTCCTCATCAGCACCCTGCGCGGCGTGCAGGCCCACAACCGGCGCGCGGAGGAGGAGGAGATGTGGGAGCGCTACCAGCAGCGGCGGCAGCGCGAGGAGGGGGAGCAGGGGGAGGCAGCGCAGCGGCAGCGGGGTGCTAGGGGACGAGACGAGAGGCGGGGTAGAGAAGCTGCCAGGCGGCGCCACCGCTCCCGCTCCCGCAGCCGCAGCAGGAGCAGACATAAGCGCCAGAGCAGGCGCAGCAGCAGGAGCAGCAGCAGAAGTCCGTCTGCAGCGCAGCGCAGCAGGAGTGCCAGCGGCGGCGAGGACCGCCAGCTCCAACAGCCCAGCCCAAACAGCTCGGCAGAGGGTGCGGCGCCGGCGCCGGCAGGTCATTCCAGTGGTCACGCTGAGGAGGGGGGTCATGTGAGCGACGATGCCATCGCCGCTATGGTTGCCAGCAAGCGCAGCAGGTGCGTGGCGCCGCCTCGGCTGCTGCCTGTCGGCCAGCAGCAGACAGGTGCTTCCGGAGGCCAGCCCGCGCTGGCCCTGCGGCCCGGTGAATGGGCTGCTCTGCGAGGCGACAGCATTCCTCCTTCAACCAACTTGTACAGCTGCTGTGTCATCTGCTTGTGTGCCCGCCTGCCTGCCTGCCTCCCGCCTGCAGGGGCCGGGGCGGGGTGGGGTCTCGCATGGATGTGCCGGGGCCCTACTTGCCCTCTGGTGAGACTGCTGAGCTGGCCAATGATGACACAGAGTTGGTGCGGCGGCAGCAGCTGGGACCAGCTCGCCCGGAGTGGCTGCAGAGGCAGGAGCAGGAGCAGGAGGAGCGGGAGCTGATTGCCATGGGCGAGGCGCTGCAGCAGCGGCGGCGCGGGAAGAAGCAGCGGCGGCGGGGCGACGGCGCTCGGTCGGGCAGCGGGAGCAGCAGCAGCAGCGGCGGCGGCAGCGGCGGCAGCTCCAGCGATAGCAGCGCTGAGCGGCGGAGAAGGAAGCGGCGAAGAAGCAAGAAGGAGAAGAAGGTGAAGAAGAAGCGCAGGAAGCAGAAGAGGGTGAAGGAAGGGAGCTAGGCCGAGCGTGGCTTGCTCGCCTGCCGGCCTGCTGCGACTGACACTGTGGACCTGGAGGCACCCTCAGCGATGGCTAGATCCTCTTGCAGAATGTAACTTGTAGCTGAAAGTTAAAGGCAAGCTTTAGCTGAGCAGCAGGTTGAGCTGCAGGCCGTCTGTCCCTCGCCCTTCACTGCCCTGGACGGCGGGGGGCGGCCGCCTGGGGGCTACAGGGTCCAATGCTGCTCGCCATTCTTCTTAGGTATCAGTGTTTGCATGCTTCCCTCTGGCGACAAGCAGCACATCCAGTCCAAGCGAGGCGCCGAAACGAGCGAGCTCACAACGATCCACATGGCTGACCCCTCACATGCATGGGCGCCCTTGTGACTTTCCCTGCTGTCACATGCCCCTTGCGATTGCAGCATCGGCACAATTTCCAGCTATGCCTCGCTGATACAGCGACCTCCTTGGAAGAGGTTGGATGCCGACCGCGCGGCTTGCGCCCCTGTTGGCGAAGCTCGTCTTGCTCGTCGCAGCACATTCCGCACTCGGACAGCAGCCTGCGCAGGGTGAGGCCGCCATCACCTTTTGGCTGGGCGTCCCCCGTGACTGGGGCCGTCAGGCGCAGCTGTTTTTGCTCTTGATATGGTGCTGGGTAGGGCAAAGAAGAGGCGCGAAAGCCAGCGACAGCAAGCAGAGGGGTCCTCGCCTGTTGGCAGCGGTGGCACCTGGAGCGGCGAGGCGGCCCAACCAAGTCAGCTATGTGCTGGTGCCTGGGCTCATGGCACGATGTACTGAATGGACTGCAGTGGCAGCTGAGGGACTACACGGCGGCCTACAGCAGCCCAGCTCCCTCCATTTTGCTGCTGTGTCGGCTGGCACACTTGGCTGTTCCTGACAGGTGTCCCGCCACGCCGCTGCCTTGCAGACGCCGCAGAGGCGGCAGCGCTGCTGTCGCTGCCGGCGGCCTGCAGCAACTGGGATTCGGCGACGGCGGAGCTGCCGGGGGCGGCGTGGCAGGCGGGCACCGACCCCTGCGGCGCGGCTGACGCCAGCGGCGAGGCGTGGAGGGGCGTGAGCTGCAGCGTGGCGGGCCGGGTCACGGAGCTGGCGCTGGGTGGGCTGGGGCTGGCCGGCACGCTCCCCGGCCAGCTGGCGGCGCTGGGGTCCCTGGCCCTGCTGGACCTGGGCGGCAACGCGTTCCAGGGCAGCCTGCCGCCCGGCTGGCTGGAGGACGGCGGCTTCCCCAGCCTGGTCAGCGCGGACCTGGGCGGCAACAAGCTGCAAGGTGGGCAGGCTGGGGGTGATGCTGGGCAGGCTGGGGGTGATGCCAGGCTGGCGTGTTACGCAGCACGCGTGGGTCGGACGGCGCCCGTACCAGGCGACCCTTTGCCCCAGTCCTGCCACCCTGCTGGCATGCACCACCCAGACGCTCTCCCGGCTGATGCCACCCTCTTTGCTGCGCTACGCTGCGCCGCGCCCGCAGGCACGCTGCCGCCGGATTGGAGCAGCACCACGCTGGCAGCGCTGGACCTCTCTGATAACCAGCTCACCGCCGGCCTGCCGCCCAGCTGGGGTGGCGGCCCGCTGCCGGCGCTGAGCCAGCTGGCGCTGTTCGGGAACAGCCTGCAAGGTGCGGCCCTGCCGCGGGCCGCTCACCGCACGCAGCCAGCGCCTGGGATCAGGACCTTGCGTGCTGGCCTCTGGGGTGCCTGAGCATAGCTGGCCTGTCTTTAAAAACAAGCAAACAGCTGTTACGTGCCCGCAGCCTAGCCAGCCAGCCAGGCCCGGGCCTGATGCCTGGACGTGTGACGCTCGCCCCGCTTCTGTCCCGCCCATGTGCAGGCATGATCCCTATGCCCGAGTGGACTTCCGTATCGGCATTTGCAAACCCCTCTGCCACCGTTGTGCTGCGCCAGAAGAACGCGGGCATTTGCGGTGAGCCGCCTGCCGTCGTGAGCGGCATGGAATCGGACTCAAAACCATCGCCCCTGCCTCTGAGCAGGCAGCCATTCGGTTCGATGTGCGGTCCTGGGTGTGGCGAGCTGCCCGCTCTGTTTTGAGTGGCCGGCCCAGGCTTCTGTGCAGGCCCCGTGATGCCCCTTGACCCCCAGCTGTTCCCTGCGGGCAACGTGGACCGGAACGCCACGCTGGTGCGTGCTGGCGCGCCTCGCTCATGGGCGCTGCCGTCTTGCTGCTGCTGTGTGAGCTCCCCACCCTGCACACACGCCTGCCCCGGCCTCACGCTGCCCGCCGCCCACTTGTTCCCGCAGATCCCGGCCGCCAACCTGATGCACACCGGCGAAGAGATGACGACTCTGATTGTGAGCTGCCGCCCCACAACCTGAAGGGAATCAGCACACACCTTGCCTTCGTCTGTTTGCTTGAAGCGGCGCATGGCTGTGCTTGGCACAGCATTGTACCCTCGGCTCGACCTGAGGCGGGGTGCCGTGCTGCCCACGCTGTGCATGCATCTCAGCATGCGGCGCTCACCTGCCTGGGCACCCCCCTGCCCCGCCGCCCCTGCAGCTCACCCAGCGCGACCTGTTTTCCCCCAACACCAGCGTCACAATCACCAACTGGCTGGGCTCCTGCATGACCCCCTGCGACCAACGTGAGCGCCAAGCCCACACCCCTGGTCCTGCCCTGGACTTGGTACCGGCGGGCGCGTCCAGCATGGCGGGGCTGCGCTGCCACAGCAGCTGCTTGTGTTTGCAGCGGGCAGCACGATGCCGGTGCTCTTCCCTCCTGCTTGCCTGCCTGCTGCCTGCAGTGTCGGGAGGGCTGGCGCAGGCGCCCGCGGGGGTGGCGGCGGCGGGCCTGCCCTGGCCGCCCTCCATCACCACCAACCTCTTCGACCTGGGCTGGCAGTACAATATGACGTGAGCGGGACGCAGGCGGGGCGCTTGCTGCCTCTGGCACAGCAGGGACATGCAGGCGGCCTGTGGGCCGCTCTCTCCGCGCGGGCCCAAGCGCCTGCTCCCCTCTGCGACACGCCGCCCCATGCCGCCCACGCTCGCGCCCCTGTCCCTGCCGCGCTCCCCTGCCCCTGCCTGGGGCCCTGCAGCATGGCAGACCTGGCGGAACTGAACCCTGGAGGCGCCTGGATGCAGCCCGGCGACGAGCTGCGCCTGCCCTGCTACCCCGCCCAGGGCGCCATCGCCTTTGCGTACTACGGCGGCGATGTGGCCTTTGGCCAGTTCTCAGGCGGCAATCAGCTGGCAGGACCTGAGGGCCTCCCCGCGGCGATGGCGGCGGCGCGGGTGAACGCCGGCATCCCAAACACGTGAGGGCAGCCGTGGGCGCCGTGCTGCGTGCAGCAGGCGCGGGGTTGCATGCTGGTACCGGCCGCGGTGCTGTCTCCCCAATCATCTGCTCATGCCCCCCACCCCACCCCACAAACGCGCGCGCACACACACACACACACACACACACCACCACCACCACCACCACCATGACTGCATCCAAGTACACGCACACGCATCCACGCTGGAAACTGTTACCTGCGGTACCTGCACCCCACCTGTCCCGCAGCTTCCACTGGCCCTCCATCTACACCGGCAGTACCGCGCCCGAGGCCCTGGGGGGCGGCATCGTGCAGCCAGTCTACTGGTTTGCCGACATGCTGGCGCCTTACCACGTGAGCCACCCCGCCGCTTGCCGGTGGCGCGTATCCCCGCCGTCGGCGTGGCCGCGCCTGCGCTGCCGTGCTGCGCTGCTCCGCGACTTGCTGCGTCGGGCTGGGGGTCACCGACTGGAAAGCACTCCACCCGTGCTGCCGCGCCATCGTGGGTGGCTGTTGGGCCGCGCCCTGCCGCACACGTGCCAGCACGTTCACAGCCGTGGCTGCTGCCTCTTGCTGCGCAGGTGGCCAGCGTGCTGGTCACCGCGGGCGCCATCTCCACCAACGTGTCCATCTATGTGGGCAACAACAGCACCTCTGTGCTGGCCAACACGAGGGTGGCGGTGCGCTCCCAGCCCGCCGCGAGCAGTTGCAACACGCGCATGCAGACAGCGACGCGCGCGCTGAGCGCCGCTCGCCCGCTGCCTGCTGCTACCTGCGGGGCCCCAGCATGGCTCGCCCGCTCGCCTTGGCTGCCTCGCACGCTCCCACCTGCCCGCCCCCCTCGCCTCCCTACCTGGTCGCAGAGCGGCATCAACCTTGCGGCAGGGCAGCAGCTGGCATACCCTGGGTGGGGTGTGCTGGGGCGGTACATCATCCTGTACACAGGCATGCTGGAGGAGGTGGGTGCGGGGCGCTGCGCAGCCTTGCTGGCGAGCTGTGCGTAGGAGTGGTGTGAGAGGTGTGGGGCTGCCTGGCATGCTCTGCGGCCATGCTGGTGATGGCAGTTGCATGCGGGTCGGGTTGCGGGCTGCGGGTTGCGGGCTGTTTCCCCGTGCTGCTGCCGCCGGCCACTTCCGGCCTGGCCCCACCTCCACGCACACCTCCGCCGCCGCCCTCCCACGGCCTCTCCTGCCCACCTGCAGGGCTCCATCAGCCTGGACGATGTGCAGGTATACACATACGAGTCCAACGCCGCACACAACAAGCCCGTGGCCGCCTCGGGGCAGAGCCCCGCCAACCAGACCGGCGGCGGAGCGCCCCCCCTCCAGGCGCTGGTGGACAACAACGTCTCCACCTGCATCTGGCTGGCCGGCGGCGCCGACGACAGCCCAGGTGGGAGGCCCCCCGCACCTGCCTGCCGGCCCGCACGCGCCGCGGCCGTGGCGCGGAGCATCCCGCAACCACCACCATCGCACCACCACCACGCCTGGTCCCCCAGTCATCGCCCACCACCACCACCACACTACACCCCCCACCTCATGAAAAGAACACCCCCCGCCCTGCGCTCCCTGCCCTGCAGCCTATGCCACCGTGGATCTGGGCTATGTGGGCAACGTGGGGTCGGTGGTGGCGGTGGCGGGGGCCGAGGTGGCGCTGGGCACGCTGGCCCGAGCCTACGTCACGCAGGCGCCCGACGAGCCGCTGGCCGACTCGGCGGCGTGCAGCAGCGAGGAGCGGGAGCTCTGGGCGGGGGCGTGGATGGTGGGGGCGTGCAACCGGCGGGGGCGGTGAGCGCGGGCCCGCTGCGCTGTGCTGTGCTGGGCGTCCTGTGATGTGTGTGTGCTGTGCCGGGCCCGGCTGTCCCTCCTGCGCCCTGCTGCGCTGCGCTGGCGAACGATCGAGACCGAGGGCTGCTGCCGTGTGCTCCCCCGCTCCCGCCCCACTGCCGCAGGTATGTGACGCTGCAGGTCCTCGGCACGGCGGGGGAGGCTAGGGTGCAACTATGTGAGCTGCAGGCGGCGCTCACCCTGCACCCCGAGCCCCCCAGCAGCGACGACGACACTGACGGCGGCGGCGGCCTGTCTTCAGGTGCCATCGCCGGCATTGTGGTAGGCGGGCTGCTGGCAGCGGCGCTGCTGGCGCTGGCTGCGACGTACCTGTTGTGGCGGCGGCGCTGGCTGGCCCACCAGCGCAAGATGGCGGCACTCAAGGCAGGCAAGGGGTTTGATCAGGAGGAGTGGGACCGTCAGCACGCGCCAGACCTGGAGAGCGGCAGCAGCAACCAGACCAAGCGGCCGTCCTGGGACGGCGGCAGCGGCACGGCGGCGGCGGCGGCCGGCGTCAAAGTCGGCGGCTTCGGCGGCGGCAGCGGGGAGTTGGAGGAGGGCGACGTGGAGGCGGGCGCAGAGGGCAAGGGTGGCAAGGATGCGGCGGCGGCGGGCGACGGCAAGAACGGGAGCGGCAATCAGCAGGCAGAAAAGGCCGGCGAGCACTCTGAGCTGGCGCTGCTCAAGGAGTTCTTCCGAGGGGTGAGCGGGTGATGAGTGGATGGCGGGCGGGGCCGCCCACGGCGCTACCGCTTAACCGGCCCCAGCCGCCCAAGGCCCGCCAGCGCAGCGGCACGCCCAGCAGGCGCCGATCGCAAGCGCCGCACCGCTCACGCTCACAGCTGCCTCCTGCCGCCTGCCCCTGGCCCTGCCTGGCCCCGCCTGCGCCTCGCCTTGTAGCTTCTTGGGCGGCGCACTTTGGAAGACTTCTCCGGCACCCTGCGCCACCGCAGCCAGACCACTTCCGCCTTCACCATGGTCAAGGCGGGCACTGTCAGCAACGCGGACACCGACCTCACAAAGCTGCCCCAGGGCTTCTCTGAGGGTGAGGCCTGGGTGATGCAATCCCTGTTGGGCATGCGTGCACGCCTGCCGCGCATGCCTCCCCTCCCGCGGTGCCGCGTTCACACCACGC